AGGAATGATAAAATAAGCCTTGAGGGAGATTTTTATACCAAAGCAGTAAGTATTTCAGATTCTTTCAGGTGCCATAAGGAAGAACTTAAGACCTTCCAATTTCCTAGTTATAATATAGAGCGTTTGTGGTAAGCAGCTTTTATACTTTAGGAGTCAACGCCAGCATTTTGCAAAGTAACCAATGGCAGTTTTAGTCAAATGCGTTCATTTTTTGTTTCCTCGTTGTCATTAGGAGTTTTCAAAACAATTGCTCCTTTTGCCACCGGGATCCTTTGGTATCGTTGTGATGCAAATTCATATGGTACGATTTTTAGAACGCCCAACCGCTGAGGTGTTTTACTAAAGGCCTATAGCTGTACAAAGAAAAGTAACTGTTGCCAAAACTCTGAACGCGAAAATAAACACGAAATAAGCTGAGCTAAACTGACTAAATAGGAAGAATAAATAAGATAATTTATGGGAATTGTATGGCGAAGGGAAAAAGTCATTAGATTCAGGGCTAATGCGTAAAGAAAAAGACTGAACGTACGTAAAGGGGTAAGAGTTATTTCTTTTTAGGTCCTCAGGTTAATGTTAGACTATGTATGAAATGTTTAATCTGAAGTGATAAAGAATTTCTTCGTCCCTAGACCAGTTTGTTTACTAAAATAGAGATCCCTTCGGAGCTCCTTAAGCTCTTTCAACCACATAGCTCCCAAAAGTGATTAACGTGTAACTTCTCCCTGTAATTTCTAAACATTATTCAGCAAGCAGGTCATGAGAATACTCATACTTATCAGGTCGAAGTAGTTATCTCGATCCAACACCAAATTCTCGTAACTTATTTACAAGGAAATGTGTAGCAGCTAGAGGGGAGAATTAACAATCAGATCTTGGGAGTTAAAAGGTAGAGGAAATATAGGAGGTTAGACAAAGAAGAAACAGTAGGAACGGTATGGAATATCAATTTTCCCGAGGCTTCTGGTTCATTAGAAAACAAGAATATGTTATTGTAAGGAGAATTTCGCTACATGTTCCTTGAGAAGCAAGTTCAACTAATTGTGTCATGACCATCTTAGTCGTGGCCACATTATTATGCAAACATTTTTGATATGGATCGCTGAATAGTTAAAATTTTCAGCTTTGGAAGCGACAAACTAGTTTGCAGGCATTTCACACATCTTATAAATTCACATAAAGATCTTAGAGCTTTGGTCAAATGATGGTCCGTCTCGCCTTTAAGACCAACTTTGTGTAGATATCCGGACAGTGTTTAGAGAAGAAAAGTTAGTCTCCTTCGGGAAGTGTTGCATGACATCCTAAAAAGCGGCTGTGAAAGAAGTCAAAGAGGAGTGTGCAATGTAGATTTATTTTTGACTGTGCAATAATTCTAGGCGCAATTAATATTATTTGTATTTAAATAAATTTCAATACGAACAAACGTAAAATATATATACTTTTTTATTCACTAACGCCAAAAGATTTGTTATGACCATGATTCAAAGGGAGGAGATAAAAGGTCTTGCATGTGCCTTGCCTATCAACATCACCTCCGGCCGACGTCATCGGAACCCTGTGATCGAAGTTCGTTGTTTAGGCCGTGTTTCTCACGGTGGCCTAGAATGAGGTATAGAATAAAAGAGAGGTCTGCTATGTCGCTACTAAGCCACTGTAATTTTGTAATACTCGATGGTGATTTTTTTCAGATATTTTCAGTGAAAAACTAGTTCTTTCCCGTGCGTTGGCGTGCTTGTTGACGTATCTACGATTTCTCAAGATCTCTCAGGTTTATGAAGCACGTATTTTGCACGTGAACAAACTCATTACTTCTCTCAAACTACATGTACAAACTTGATTTTCCAGATTAGAAATTCAAGCCCAAACGAACTATGTTTAGATGTATTATGTTGATAGCAACTCAAGTTAGATGATTCCCGCTGTGTAAGAATATACTATCTGCTTTACCGTTTTCTAACCTAAGCCGGTTGTGGCCTCGGAAATGCATTTTTTAAAAAATAAATTCTTATGGCTTTTGCTAACGAAAGGTCAAAGTCAAGCTAAATAGGAGAAGACAAGTATTAACCACAGCATTTATTTTACCCCCATAAGCGTCGTGCAGAAATCCGGCGAGCGCTCTTTTACATTTTTGGAGGATTTCAAAAGTCATTAATCATAAAATGTTTCCCTAACAATTCCTTTCATTTTTTTTAACATTTTTTCCCAACATGCAGTTCCCTACTGTATTCCATCGCGTAATTCTCATAATACAGTTTAAAACGGTTTATATCTTAACGAGGCGCTAGCAATATTCACATGACTTCCGTCGATAGTTCCATGGTATTTTCACTTGGGGTGAAGGAATCTGTACTTTGAAAGGTGCCAATCATCCTGAATTTGGCTGAAATACATTAATGACCTTCATGTTTTAAAAAGCCCTTCAAGGCAATGCAAAGATGACGATGCGCTATTTCTGGCCGGCGTACATGTATGGTAAAGGAAATCTCTATAATTAATTAGATTAATGAGGAAATTACGTGATAATAACCACGTGAATGGTCATTTCTGAATAACAAATAGTGACTTACCACTCGTAATGACTGAAAATTTGGTTCTAAAGAAAACCCATTCTGGTCTAGCTACAAACAAATTAAACAGATAGATGTAGATGACTTCTCTAATCAGCTTTCTTACATCAGAGGAAAAAAATATAACAATTGTAGCAAATTTCAACCTTGAAGTTGCTGCAGCCAGCGAACAAAGAAAGCTTTGCAGTTTGCACGTGATATCCGAATGTTTTTCCAGTGCAATCAGAGACCAGCAAGATAACCTCCGGCTCAGTACATGACATTAAAAGAGGATCAGTCAATTGATTCTCCCGATTGCTCTAATTACGAGACTTAAAGTCGCCTTTCTCATCCCAATCGGTAAAGGTGTCTCCTTATATTACAGATGCAAGCTTGATCCATCTCCCTCTTTCATGGATTATATGCTTCTTATTGCTTTTTTTAGAAAGCTGTTAACCATTAGTTAAGAAGCACTTGAAAAAATCTCTGATTCTGAACTATGAAAATAACATTTCGTTCATAAGAGCCGACTTTTGTTTTCTATCTTCGCGAGCGTGTCTTTCTTTAACTTTTAAATAGATGCTGCTTTTTTTCTCTTTTCTTTTCCTTTTTTATTTATTTTTTAAAGACCTGGTAAAATGTTTAAGTGTAAATTTTTTTTATAAGCATGCCCCATAGGAGGTTTTCGAAGCGGCATTCCCCATTTCAGCTCTAAAAGGAAAACAAATCATAATTTTTCAGCGTCTTCCGTCGTCATAAATGTACTTTTTTTAATCAGAAGGATTTGTAGATGCATTCTGTTGCACCCTCAAGTGATTTAAGGGTTAACTAGAGCACATTGGGGTCTACAGTGTACCTTTCAATTGCTGAAAGTCACGAGTGTTTGATCAAAATTTGCAGGTAATGTGCAGACTATAAGCGACCAAATAAACACACATATTTTGGATATTTTAAAAGTTTTACAGATAAGTCTTTAACGTCTTCCTTCAAGACTTTGAAAACTTGTGACTTAGCGGTTATTTCAAAGCGCAAATGTTCTCGGCCTTATCAGGGAGTAATATTAAGCATCATATTGAAGGGTGCATTCCCTCTTCCAGGGATCCTTCCCTGCTGTGACTTTTCACGTAACTTGTTACTTGAGACTCTACTCATAAAATAAAATGGTAATTTTTTTTTTACCCCTACTTTCTTTAGTATTCGTAAGTGCGTTTCACGCTGCAGACAGCCTTTACCTTAGGATTTAGATTCCATGATCAAGTCCTCTTAGCCTTGGTTCTACTTTCACTTGTCTTCTTTTTGCTTATGTAAAAGAAAAGTTGAAAGTTAAAAAGTACGTGCTAAGTGCCTTAATGCTAGCCTCATGATACAGATGTGATGACAGTCAAGCATTAGCCTCTGTTCGAATTCGTTCTGGAAAACGAGGAGGGAAACCTCGAGCTCGTGCAAAGTAGAGTTACTATGCATGTTTTCCAGCCTGTCCTCTTAAGAGTTTTCACGTGAGAACATTGGCATGAGTCACGGACTAACATTAACGCAATGTAGAAAAAAAATCGAATCAGGAAAACAACCTGAGGGACTACATCAAGTGTTGCAAGAGACCTAAGGATTTTCAGTAGCCGGTTCAATATTTAAAAAAAATCAGAAAAAAAATTATAACCTTTTTGGGTCAAAAGTGTTTATTACCACAGAGGGTTATTACATTCAGGTCGTTAATTCTATTTCTAAAAGGAAGCTAGATTGGACTTCGATTTCATTTTCATTTCTAAGAATTGTTCTTCTGAAGTAGAAATATCATGACCCATTGACCTAATTTTTAAATCCGACTTAGCTTTTTGCAGTTAGTTTTGTATCTGCAACATGGTTAATTTTGCCCCACCCTACTCCCCTCCCTCGACTCTAGGGATATTTTGAGATACAAGGACCGGAAATGAAGCTAAACACCTCAAGTTTGGTTGTTCCTTAGGCTCTGTTCTTCGATATCTTGTCTGCCTTGCATCACAAACCTATCAACACTGGAAGAGCAAAAGCGATCAACGCTTAACACATCGAATAACAAACCTGAAAAAAATTATTTAAAATGCAAACTACATCAAGTTGGAGATGACCTTCAAGTTAAAAAAGCCCGCACGAACTGTAAAATTATTGTCAAAAAGAAATATTGCACCGAAATCATTTAAAATCTATATAGACTATATCATTTTTCTAATATTAAGATCAAGGGTGAAGGGCAGCTGATTATTTTAAGTTCTCTTTCCCAGCATTCCTGTGAATATTGTAATCCTAGATTGACACCGGATATTCGTTAGAGTTTGTAATAAGATAGACTGCGTAAGATATCTTGTTACACCACCGGCATCGTTGATGTACTGTCAGTATAAAAAGATGAGTTTTGGCAAACTGCTTTAGTAGCTACTCGTAGCTCATCCCAGTAGCTCTTGCACGAAAATTCGGTGCAAAATGAGAGTACTTATTGCTTTTCTGCTGGTTGGTGGAGCCCTGGCAGGTAAGAGAAATGTTTCTCTAAGTTAGGTCTTGTGTTTGGTGGAAATATTTTGTTGTGCTCCGTAATTCGTATTCGGTTATTTTTTAGCGAATCGTTGCTACTTTCTTTCCTTTTTCGTTTATTTTCGGCCCTGTAAGTTCTTGTGCAAATATAGCCTCCCAATCTTTATTCCAGTATTGTTTTCTTTTAGTCCATTTTTGCGTTTAGCCTAAGAACTTGGATCTATTGCGTAGGAAAATTTCTTAAGAACACCGGATATATTGGAAAATAATTTCTACGCCATCCGTACTGTTCGATTTTCGATGACGTAGGTGACATCTTTTCATTAGTTTTCTTGACTTGTTCTTCGGTGCGGCTTAAAACCATGGGCTCATTTCTATTCAGTTCAACGAAACCAAAGTTTGACCAGCTCAAATTCACGGGAAAACCCTCAGTGGAAATTCCTAGCAAATACCTAAGTCACAGGCAGCCCAAACATTTCTTAAGGGATTCCTGCATCATGAAAATTAACTAATAGATGTCTTAACAGAAGCACAAACCCAACGTTTCCTTACTTTGAAGTCTGTGTGTTTGTATATTTGTAACAAAATCACTCATTTGGTAAACTAAGTCAATATTTTCTGCAGTGTGGCTCGGGACTTGAACCTCTCAACTTCAGATTTTAATCACTTGCGCATCATTTAAAAAATTCATAATCACGCAAAATGTAACTTGTACAATCTTTTCAATCCATGGCTACTCTGTGTCCTGCAGCCGAAAGCTGCACCGATTCGTAAAATTTGTTTCCTTTGAAGACAAAAATGTATTCTACCAGGATGGCTTGAAAGCCGATTTAGAGGCAAAAGGCAGCCTCGACAAAACGATACGTAGCTTCTAGACGTTATATTTTGCGTGACAACGATATCTCCAAGGAACACTAGAGGGCGTGAAATTTGAAGCATAACGGTTCAAATTGCGAGCAATACTACGGGAAATATCGACTTAAATAGCTAAAGGGCGTTTTTTTACCGCAGACGAGCACGTAGACGAGAAACTATGGAAAACTAACTTTGATTTCCTCAATTAACACACATATTTAGCATAATAGATATTTCTGCAGCGCTTGGGCTGCCTGTGTCAGAAGGGCTTATCCTTACTAGCTTGCCATCTGTTTCATTGCAGTTCCAGTGCCAATCAACAAAGAAGAAGAAATCTGCGATCAAGGTACTCTGCAAAAGTTAAAGTATTAGATTTCTTTGCTTAGGGTTAGGGTTGGGGGCGACTCTTGTTCTCTTTTCATAGAATTGATTTAATCAACAGAATAAAAAAAGAAAAAGAAGAAAGAGAGAGAGATATATATAAAATAAGAAAGGTGAAAGATCGTTTCCTATCCAACAGTAAATGAATATTTATTTAGAAGAAAAAAATTCTTCGTTGTAAACTGTATTCGGGTGTCTTAGTGTTACGTGCTGATGGTATAACGGTTATCAAACTAACAGGAAAAGGATCACCAACATAGGGTGCCTATCTCATAAAACTAAATAATTGCGGTTTGTCTCACAATCAGGAATTTTTGCTCTTCTGTCGTCGAAAATCCTCCTAATTGCTATTGTTCTGAGCAGAACGGAATTGGATTACAACGATAACATCTGAAAGAATCCTTACACAACGAAAATGCACACATCTTTGCTGCGTAAATAAAAATCGCGGGGAAAACTCCAGAACACTATGAGGCAAAGTTTGCATCCGGTTTTTCAATCCATTTTAAAAGTGTTGAGTGCTCGATCCGCTCCGGTTTATTTGCGTTAATTGACCCCGAAAAAAACCTTCGGACGATTTGACCTACTCTGTTGACATGTATGTGGAAGATGATCCGATCACATGTACACCTCGTTTTCTCCACGGATGTAAGCATGATAGCTCGTCTAAATTTCCAGATTCTTCCACTAATATTACGCAGTCATAATAACCCTTTTTCTCGATGATGTTTTGGTTATTACGTAATATTTCCGGTGTAATTAAGCCTCCTTGGTTTTTTGTCGACGTCAGAACATCAGGGGGAAAGCTCGCTTCTGTTCGTTGTGCATGTGGAAAAGTAAAAGTTTCACGTGAAAGGTTTGTGTTACGTGACCAAAATCAGTGCGTGTTTCGGCTTGCTTTGTCATGCCAGTTATGACAATAGGAAAAATTAATTCGAAAAAAAAGCATATTTAAGTTGACATTCTAGCCTTCGCAGATAAGTCTTACTATTTTTAACTAGCTAGAAAGTATTGTTCTTATTAAAATTTTCTCATTTGTATTTTTTATTTACCTTTCTTGGTTCTGTCAACTTTAATATACAATTTGCAATTATTGGTTACCAGTTACCTTTGGTTAAACAAATCGCTCCACTTTTTAAAAATAAAATTTAGGTGATAAAGATCTGCCATCTAAAACCTGCCTTCGGATGCGCCAATCGGTCATTGTTAATTTTCCCTCCGTCCATGGCAGGACAATCTGGCGAAACAGGTTGCGGGTCACGTTTAGTAATTTCGTTTGACATTGTTGAAAGGTCAAAGATTTGATGATTGTTTTGATACATGATTCATGTCAGTACATTTGACATATATCAGGAGAATTTATCCTCTTGCCAAGTCTCGTGACAAAGCGTTAGGAACATTTGTTTCTCGCCATAACTCAGGGAATGCACGATACAAATAAACAACACAAAAAAGAACGATCAAAGAGCCTAGACAAGCATTTCAAAACTGGACAATTGTTCGTTTAAAGTTTTATCGCGTAGGCTCATGACGTATTAAGGTTTATTTAGTTTTTAAATCGGGGTGAATTGAACCAATAGTTTATTCTTCGTGTTTTTATGCATTTTCCGCTTTTCACGGGCAAAAGAGGCGTTTTGTATCTCGTCACTTCTGTTCAAAAAGAAATCATAGCCTTTCGTGCCAAACTCCTGAAAGCCTTTCGTGCCAAACTTCGGCTTTACAATTAATAAAAAGCAAATATCCGCCCCTTACACGCCCCCCGACACGCACCAGTTCACGCCCCCAACACGCCCCCTTCCCACCAAACACACCAACAAACAAGAATTCGTGCCGATTGCCGATTGGTAACTTTCAGTTTTCTGTTATATTGAAACGAGGAGATTTCCTCGATAGTTTACATTTGGAGTTCTGTAGAGCCACAAAAAAAACGAAAGCCTTTTTTTGTTTTCGAAGACAAAGTTAGGATTCAAAGGTTGCGAGATAAAGAATTTGGGCAAAAAACGCATGAATCAAAGGTATAGGATTAACAGAGGAACTTTTGGGCTAATTAATTTAGAAATCCAGGTGGTCTTTTTTTTGTGAATCTCGGCCAAATCAACTTGTTTTTACGGAAATGCGTTGAAAAACGTGCGCAATCAACATGACGCACAGGAACAAGGAATAAGAGAGACAGATAAGTGTTCACGTGGAGGGGTCGTGATCATGCGTAATGCATTAGCACGTGATCTGTAAAACTAATCCGTATTGACGTGACGTTTTCTTTTTCTCCCAGCATTTACACGATTTGTGCCCAACCAAAGGTACACTTATCGTTATGTCGCTACCACCGTGACTGGTGTGACAGGAACAACCAATCAAACGACTGGACTTCGCATTGAGGCTACGTGTGAGATCAATGCACTAGCAGACTGCCGCCGTTCTCTCTGGGTTTGTTATTTTGTTATCTTTTCTTGCCTTTTAAAAATGTTTTCTTTTTCGTGGTCACTTGTTCTCAGTGAAGTCATAATATTGAGCGTTTTTGAAACTTATCAAATTAACCCTTAAACTTCCAAATTCTGATTGATAATTCTCCCCTCCAGCTACTACATATTTTATTAGAAATTAGTTGCGAGAATTTTGTGTTAGATCAAGGCAACAACTTTTACTTGATATGTTTGATTATTCTCATTACCTTTTTGCTGGATTATGTATGGATATTGTAGGGAGAAGTTAGATATTAATCACTTCAGGGAGTAAAAGGGTTAACGCGCTTTTTGATTTAATGTGGACATAAACTGGATAGGAGCGACCAAGTTGAGGTTTTACATATGATTGGTCGAGCACGTCTTAACTGGTTTTAAGTATGAGTATATGGGGGATGAACGATGGAAAATTTTTTTGGAAGCTGTAATCTTGTTACAAAGTTGGCTCTTCTCTAGATTAGTGAATCTTACTGTTGGATTCATTTTGCGTTGTTGAAGTCTTAACACTTAGTTTTATCCTTGGTAATAATAATAAAAAAAAAAATGATAATAATTATGGGAATTAACCCTTTGACTCCTAGAAGTGATTAAAAAATAACTTCTCGCTAAAATATTCGTACATTATCCTATAAACAGGTTGTAGTTCTTGCAGTGTTCAGTTAGAGGACGAACTGAAAAGAGAACAGGAACTTTTGTTGAGATATTGTTGTGACTTGGCTTTTCATTTCATATATTCTTTTGAACAGCTTCAAAGAACATAATCGAGATTTTAATCGAGGAAGTCCCCGCACATTCATAAAACTTTAACATAATCTGCAGGTGAAAGATGTAAGAATCTTCGAAGCCTCACCTAACGGAGAAAAAGACTTCAAATCATCCCCCAACCAGGAAAGTTTCAAGAGGGCACTCGAGGCAAACCACCTGGTTTTCTCAGAACGCAGAGGCCGTTTTGTCATGGTGCTGCCGGTTAAGACAGAACCTGTGTACATCACCAATATCAAGCGTGGTATTTTGAGTGCACTGCAATTGCAGTTTAGCGAAAAACCACAAGAAATGATTCACGAGGTACGCTTCTTTAGTAAAATTATACATTGTGGTGAACAACAACACAGGGTCCTAAAGTTAAAACCAAATGTTACTCTGGGGAATATTAACATATGAATTATACTTTTGACTCGAAGTACTGAACCCTTCTTCATAGGCTCAGAGATTGTATTTCTCCTTGGAGAGACTGAAAGATTTTAAGCTAGTGTTGTTTCTACTTTCATTCAATAACCTGCGAGAAAAAAAAAACAAAACCTGGGGAATCAACGAGAAGACAATTAACTTCTGCAAGCCATGAAAGACAATCTTTTGTTTAAGGATCAAAGTTGAGTCTCTCAACTTTGTTTTAAAATCTGCCACCAAAAATCGCGAAAACCAAAACGCAAGAAAAAGTTAAGATCTCCTGCAAACAGGTGATAATTTCGAAAAAACATGCTAACTGATATAATAACAAACCAACTCTTAAAAATTGTTTTAGATGGACTTGGTGGTTTTAATTAATTCTCAGCCATAATGACGGTGTCACTTGGATGCCATAATTTGGAAAGGATGATTAATTTAGAATCAGCTAGGGGGTAAAAATGCCATTCCAACCATTGGGTTACAAAAAAGGCAAACAAACAAACGAAAAACAACAGCAAATTAAAAACAAAATTACAACTAAACACTGCACAGTTGTTTCAATGGAAACTATCCTGTTGATCAAGGTATCTACCTATAGAGACAAAGAAAAACAAAACAAAACAATAGCTAAACGGCTAACAAACCAACAGACAAACAAAATAACAAATTTTTGATCTATTTTCATATCTTCTTACATTTCAGGTTGATGTTACAGGAAACTGTACATCCGAATACAAGATTGTGAACAAACAAATAGTGGAAAGCGAAATCACCAAGAAAAGGGATCTTTCCAACTGTACCAGTCGATCACACAATATCACCAAGCTGAACCCAGTTACATATGATGTGAACTCGGTGAGTAACAATCAAGAATGAACCGTGTTTAATTCGGTAATGTCGATAGTAAAAAAAAACGTCGCCAAAATAAGTATAAAGATGTGAAACTCTAAATTGACGAGTTCATTACAAAAAAAATTATAAACACTGCACAACCATTGCCTTAAGTTCAACGCACACAAATCTAAGCAAGATTAAAGGAAAAAGACTAAGAGAGATGATAGATTTTAAAGTAACAAAAAAATTTTTTTTTTCAAAAATTTTAATGATAGAAATACCTTTCGTTTAAGCTGCGGATTGAAAATCGAGTCAAACAATGATCCTAGCGAGTAGCAGCAATTTAACCCTTTACATTCAAACATCAGTATGCATATTATCCATACTGTTCTCTGTAAATTTCTCGTAGAGCTGACAAATAGAATTTGTTTAAAAATCGAGAGCTTTACAAGTTGGTAATCATTTCCTTGATTCTCGTGGCCTCAATATTTGATTCAGGGCTGATTTTGTAAAGAGAAACTAGAAGCTGGTCATTCTTAGAGGTTAAAGGGTTAAATAATTGCAGAAAAGAAGCCTGGAAAATTCAGGCTTCGTAGGGATTGAACCTTTGCTTCTCATATAACAATGTGGGCCTTTCTACCAACCTAGCTACGAAGCCACACGTTGAGAGCAAGGCAAATTTCTGTCCTGTCACGAGGGTAAGACAAAGAAAAAAAAGCCGAGTATCCATGGGGAATCGAACCTCAAACCTATGCTCTACCGCTGAGATAATGGAAACTCTATGGCGTAAGCCAGGCCAGTGCTAGTTTCCTGTATACTGTTAAGATGAGCAATGTCGAAAGCGTTGTTTAGGTAGGTAGAATAAGAGAGAGGGTAGATTTTGATCTTAGGAATGAAATCAAGATAGTTTTTTTTAGCCTTGTCACGAGCTTGAGTGTTTTTTTGCAGCAAATACAAGGTCCTCTCAACTCAACAAGCTTCTGCCGTTACATTGTGCGTGAAAAGCACGTTAAGACTGTGGAATGTAACGAAACACACCTTTTGCGACCATTCAGCTACAATGCGGCTGGAGTGACAACTAATGTCACGTAAGTGTTCCATTGGAAACATAGTGCGTTACCTATATCATTTTGACTCGTGTATTCTTTTGATGTCACATAGTATATAAAGAACAATTGCTCGCCGGCACTTTAAAAGGCGGGGAAGTTAGACTTTTCTTTTTCGCAATTTCTTACAGGGTGAATTTGACCCTTGAATCGGTACGCATGACGTTCTTCTTCGCGGACGAAATGAAATTTCCAGGTAATGTTCTCTTTTTAAATTCTACACACTCAAATTTGGAATGCTAACACTATTTCTGAACTCTTTACAAAGCAAAATAGATTTCGTTAATCAGAGTTGCTTAATTGTAAGAGAAGGGGGCCTATCAAATACTGTCTGATGTACTGAAAACTGTATGCATTACGTCCATGCGTTTCCCTGGGATTTTTAAAATGCTTCCTAAGCCAAACTAGTATCTACTATTGTAGAGATTTTGACATGGTAGGAGGAGTGCGAAGCTGGGTTTATTGGGAATGAGCGATAGCTTGTTAAGGAAGGAAGCAATGTAGGAAACCCAATCCGCAATCCTCTCTTGAGAATACGGATAATTTCTAGGTTGAAGTTAAACCAGCTGCGAATAGAGGTATCTGCGTAGACTAGTAGGAATGCCATTTTTCTGTTGCCTCCACTAAGTTAAGGAATTCGCCTCCTTCTCATCTACGTCATTTTAAATTCTCAGCATCTTTTTCCATTCATGACTTCACCATTATATGGAATATTTCATCGTTCATGCGTCGCACTGTTGCCTTGTAATTTATGAGACTGTTGTTAGTACCATATCAGTGTTGCGGTTTCTAGTTGTCTACATACGAAAGCTTAGCTTTCCCTTAAGACTCTGTAAGAGCATTTAGGCTTTGTAAAATTTATTATCGACATTATTATCAATAGTATTGAATGTTATCGTTTTCTATTTTTGCAGTAGAAGAAGCGGTTGTGTATTTGAAATTGAATTTATAATTTTCACTCTTTGAACAGAGATGAGAAAATCAGGCATGTTTTACGAGCAATCTTTGCCGAAAGCTGAGGCAGAGCCAGTTTATGAGACATCCTCTAAGAGCACAGAGGACGTTTTAGAGGGATTGATCAAGATCCTTCCTATCAACGAAACCAAACCGAGCACGGTGACTAAATTCACCCGTTTGGTCTTCTCAATCCGGAAACTCGACGTAAACGCTCTGAAGAATGTCTGGACTCGATTTTACAACTGCGATGAACAACAAGAAGGCGAGTTCACGAAGAAACAGTGCAAGAAATCACAGTGAGTCTTTGTTTTAACATTAGTATGCATATTCTCCATACTGTTCTCTATACATTTTCTGTGTTGGTTGACAAGGAGAATTTTTTTAACAATCAAGAGCTTCTTGGTCACTTTCCTTATTCTCCTGACCTTAATTTGTGATACAGGGATGATGTGGTAAGAAGAAATTACATGCTGGTCACTCTTAGGGGTCAAAGGGCTAACTAAGGCAACTCAGGGGGAAGTACAATTCTACATGACGTAAAGAATTCTATTCTATCCAAACATACTCCCGCTGGGTTAAATATTTTCTGCATATTAACAAATGTTGCTTGGATTGATGGTTCTTCGAATCTTGATTTGAAGTCTCCGTTTCCCTCATTCCCTTTCCAAACAGAGGCGAACTACGAGTACAATTTGGGAAGTAAAATAGTCTCCTTCGTAATCGCCCTATAGAAAGTCAGCGATGCTCCGATGCTCACCCCCTCCCCCTTCCCTTAGGCTTTGGTAGGGGGAGAAGGGTTACATCAGAAAGAACAACTAATAAGGCGATGGCGAAGGTTTATGGTACATTTGTGATATTACTCTTAAGGTTTTCATAAGGCCAGAATCAATAGGATCGCAACTGCTAATCAAAACAAAACAGAAATACCACAAGTGCCAGCAGAACCTCAAAGGAAAAAACAAGCAGACCTCTTGAAGCGCGGGAAAACGTTACAGGTCGCGATCAGCTTTCAGTACAAATCTAAATGCAAAGCAAGACAAAACAAAGCTAACTCCGGATCCATTTCAACAATCAGTCGACATTAATTACTTTTTCCTTCTTTGTTTTTTCAGGGCGTATTTGCTTGACGCTTTCACCCAGTGCGGTACCACCCCGTGCTTGAGATACATAATTGAGGCCATCCGCGACTACAATCAAGTTAAACCTGAACATATGGCTTACCTATTGAATGGAATCAGTGCCGTGCGAAATCCAGCTCCAAATCTCTTCGACGAAATGATCGTAAGCGATTTTTCATTTTTCTTATATTTGAATCGAGAAGATTTCTTTATAGCCCCTTGGAGCTCCTCAACTGCTCTCACGTTAAAAAATTTAGTTTTCACGTGATTTTGTTTATACATCCTTTCCCTTGAAAGGTTTAATTTGCCCACTTTTGTAAGCCTTTAGGAAAGTACCATATACTTTTTTTGTTACCTTTGCAGGATTTTCTAAGACGGAGGAGTGATTTACCCACAACCACACTACTTTCCCTTGGAACCATGATCCGGAAGTACTGTCAACGTACACCAGAAGATTGCTTGAGAGAATCTGTAAGTTTTGTTTACAAGCATCACAAAGCTTTTAACATAATGACCTCATCTATGCATGCCAATAAAAATCCACATCGAATTTCTGCAGTTTTTCCGCTCTTTTCTTTTTTTAACAATTTTTGTTTGTTCTTGTTTGTATTCAGGACTCTGCTGTGATGCGTGCGGTCTCCTTCTTAGAGGAGCAACTTCCAAAGAACTGTGAGGCCACCTCATATGACATTGATGACGTCATTATCACCCTAAAAGCTATTGGCAACGCAGGACTTATGCACTCCAAAGCAAAAGAGCTTGTGAAATGCTCACAAGGAGCCAACTTCCTCAATATCTCTGTAGTTGCAATAGAGACCATTCGAAGCATGCCTTTCTGCCCGGATACGTGGAATGCTCTGGGAAGTGAGGTGTTTGGTGACTATGGCAACGACCCCGAGGTGCGTCTGCAGGCTTACCTTGCCCTAATGAAGTATCCCGATGAAAAAACGATCAGATACGTGGCACAAGTACTGGATGGTGAAGTCAATACCCAGGTTGGCGCCTTCGTCAGCAGCCATCTCAAACAGATGAATGACTCTGTTGAGCCCACTTATGGCAAGAGGTAAGTTTTTGTAGTTCAACACCCCCTTGATACCCTTTCACACAAAGCTGATGTTGCGTTTCTCTAAGAGGTGCAAAAGTTTGGGAAGGATAAATAAATCCTTATTTTGTGCGTATAGAGAAGGGGACATCACACAGTTGCAGTTGTTGTCGCCCCTACGTGCCCCTTAATTTCGAAATGATGGATGACTCTTTTTAACAATACTCTAATAGATTGAGTGAACTAATCAAGAAAGCTCTGAAACAGCGGACAACCCCTCTGCGTGATTTCAACACCACCTACAAGTCGCAGTTCTTACAGAAAAGTTATTTGAATGGTGAGTGTCCGCTATACATACACGAAATCTCTGACCTTTCTTCTTATTGCTCCTGTTGTCTGTTCTGTCTGCAACTAAACTCTATCTTACAATTTGATTTGTTTCTTTTTCCTTCTAGAGGAAAATAATCTGGGCTTCAGCACAGAAAGTCATGTGATCTATCACCCGGAGAGCCTTGTCCCGAGAAGCGCAGAACTCAATGTGACCCTTGACCTATGGGGCGGGGCTATCCCGGTGGTCGAGACAAGCACAAGGCTTGAGGGCCTGGAGATCATTTGGGAGAAGCTTTTTGGACACAAAGGGTACTTCCCTGACAGTCATATCTCGGGGCTCATGAAAACACCAGAGAAGAGCGAAAACGAGGCCAGAGAAATTCAGAAGAGGAGTGCAGACAACGTAATTGACTTGGAAACTCTTGATAGGAAGGTGAGAACAGCTTCCGTGGGGCACAATGAATTGAGAGGCATCCCATCTCGGGAAGGCCAAGCTAAAGTACAGGCTACCCATCTTTTTGTTTTCCCATGGCGAAAGGTTTAAGGCATCTTAAATAAAGAAACAGTAATACCTCTCTCTTTGACTTAATTTGATCAGGAATTACTTTTATTCATCCATTCTTCTTTGCTTTTTATTTTAATTCATTCTTGTTTCTCTGTATCAAATCATTTCGTATAAGTGTCAAAAGCAATGTGCTAGGTGTTAAATTTCGTTAAGAGAAAAAATAATGTTTGGATACGGGTACTAGAGTACAATAAATGTTGAAAGACTAAATTTACTTATGTTATTTTTAACGCAGGTTAACCTTCGCAAGATGACGCCCAGTGGTCTTCTTTCTCTGAAGTTATTTGGCAATGAACTTGACTTGTTCAGATTGAAGGATCTGGAATGGTTGGAGGATGATGATATTCCCATCGCTGATCTGATCGAACTGTTGCGAGCTCTTTCAAAAGGAGTTGACAAGACTTTCACCAAAAGTTTTCTGTTCTTGGAAGAGACTCATATCATTCCGACATGCCTTGGAATACCGCTGAACCTAAGTATCAATGGTACATCTGTCACCAGTGTGCACGTACAAGGAAAGGCTGACCTATTGAGCCTTTTCTGGGGTAACAAGAAGGCTGTTGTCAAAGGAACTGTAAAGCCAAGGTAACGAAAAGAAGTATTCATCAACTTTTAGGAGGTATCATCCTAAATTTTAGTTCAAGTGACTATAAATCTACTTATAATATTGATTAAGCGAGGTCTTTGAAAAAGGGATAATCCTAAGGTCCAAAATATACTAACAGCAGACAAATGATACAAGAGTTATACGCATTTTTAGGCTAACGTTTGCTATTTTGGTATAAACCTAAACTGGAATTTCATCGATCATAAATTTGTTTGTTATTTAAATTAATTCATTTCGTTCTTCTATCATTCCATAGTGCTGCCATCGTGATCTCTGGAAAGGTTACATTGGATGCCTTCCACCTATCAACAGGCGTTCTTCTGAATGGTTCAATTTCCACTTCCACCGAATTACAAGGAAATTTAACCTACAGTCAGGAGCAAGGATTAAAGTCACATGTCAATGTCACCGACAAGCCACAGGAGATTTTGAACATTACGTAAGAACAATAGCCGTCCTTTTTGTTTTGTTATCACGTACTTTCCGTCGTAGCGTCTGTTTAAAGTACCGATTGTAAGGTCTATGACGCAACTTCACTATATAGAACAGAATCGTCACATAATGTTGCGTTAACCCCGATTCGAGCTCCATTTTGAAGGCTCAAAATTATAAATTTATGGTTGTTGACACAAAGCTCCTCGAATGCTTTCCACGGCGTCATTTGACCCCATTGAAATTTATTTATTTTTTCAGTATTTTTGTCAGTTGTAGTTATCCTGAAAATTCATCTTCACTTTTCAGTTGATCTTAATTTTCATCCCGTGTAACCTAGGGGATAGTTGCATTTATAGAATTTTTCATTGTGTTTAAGTTGATTCATCATCCATCGTCTTTCCTCTTTAGAACTTCTCTTTTCCATCATTTCAACAACGAAGAGATCCCGATCCGTGGAGTGGACCATCGCAACACGGTATGAATTTCCGCTTATAACTATTCATGCAGCGGGTTAGGAGAACCTAGTTTCATTTGCTTTTGATTTTTTCGTCTTATCCCGGATAAATAAAAATTCGAACGATGGGTAACTGCCATACCTTAAGTTACTATTTTGAGGAAGTTATCGATTTTTCATTTCAGACTGGTATCTGCACCACCGACATTTTCAACAGTACTAAGATACTCGGCCTCAATTTGTGTTCCAACATCTCCATACCAGTGGCCTGGTACAATAAAACTGCTCCATTCTTCCCTCTTACTGGTCCTTCCAACTTCTCCGTCTACTTAAACAGAACCGATCCATTACTGAAAAACTTAAAAATGGAGGTCAACTTCACGAAGCCAGACAAACACACGAACAAGACGGCCATTTCCGTTTCTACTCCTGGAGCAAGCTACGAAAGGAGGTTCTTCTGCAATATCACCTCTAACAAAACTGAAGAGATGTATCGCTGGAATATAAGCGTTGGTGCCGACCACGAGAACGCCACCACGATTGATTATGTCTTCGTTCCCATCTCCAAAGCCGTTAATATCACTCTCAATGTGACAAGGAATCTCACAGCTTTCTACTTCCACCGCACCTGCCACAAGACACACAAAATCAAGTATGGGTTGGCAATGAATGCCACTCTCTTCAACAAGTCCTTTCACCACAGTTTCTTTATGATGAATGACACGCACAAGTGGCACTTGGAAACAAACACCACTGTTAAAAACACCACAGAGAGCATTCCTATCTCCGTTCTTTACCTCAACACTTCCATCAATCTCAACGGAAACACGACAGGTAACATGACGCTGAACATTACTCACCGCCCGCTCAACCTGACTTTGCACTTGCGCGGCCAACATAACATGACTACTCGTACCTCGAATGTGACTTGGAATGTTAGCTGCCCAACGTGGAGCACACCGATACTGAACAATAACATCACAATAAACGTTAGTTACGTCAATACTACAAGCTTCTACAAGACCCATGTGAACGTATTCAACAACGGGACCCAGGTGCTGTCCTGTTATAAGGCATATCGTAACTCTACGGAGAAAAACATCACTGTCTTCTTCTGCAACGCCACAGCCTTCAACAGGACCTCCTCGCTGAACATGACTGTGACGAACGCAACCGACAGTATCAAGATTTGTCATTTGAATATCACTCACCAGAATAGATCACTCGCATTAAACACCACCTGGATGTACAACCACGAGGTTAGAAATGTCAGCCTAAACATCACCTATTTAAACCATTCAGTTGTGCTGTCAGGCTCTTTGAAGAACTACACCTTGGAGAAGGGATTCTGCTTCAACAGCGCCTATTTCAACGGAACTCACCATAACTTCACTCTATTGTCAACGTGCTTAAGCTATTTTAATGCTACTGAAAGGAAATCCTTGATCTTGAACATTACCAGCCTCAACTCAACTGCCACTATGAACACAACCTGGTTCGCCAAACCGACAGCGAGAGGAATCTTGGTTAACTGCACCTACCAGAACAGGACAATTTTCAACATGACAGCAACTTACTCAAACACCACTACTACTAGGAATCTCCATTTCAACCTGTCCATGGGTAACTGGAGTGCAGAGTTAAATCATACTTACTTCTCCACTGAAATGTTGCCGGAGGTTGATCAAATTCGCAGCATTAATATCACGCACAGGATCAGGAACGGTACATCTTCCTGGATGAATGCCTCATACGTTTTCACTTTCTTCAATACTACCGCGAAAAAGGACCTCATTGTCAACCTCACCTTCACTAACCGTACCTATGGAGCACAAGTTAACATGGTTAATAAGACCACGACTGAGATGGTTCATCACATCCTTAGAATTACTGGTTACACTCCAAACAGGACAGTCAGCTGGATGGGTGTCTTGACCAATTCCTCCAAGGTGTTCAACTTGACATCCGTTTTGCAGTACCAACCAAAGAAAATTCTCAACCAAACATTTGTTTGGAACAAAGAAATCAGTCAGGTTAATGTCTCCATCGATTTCTTGCCAAACGTTTCTTTCAGTCTAAACTGCTCTGGAGCCTTCAATACCAGCATCAGAGCAAACGCAAACGCCACGGTTTACAACAACACCCTTCTGTGGAATGGATTTGTGAGCAACATGAGCGTGGTGTCTAACTTAACCTTATGGAACCGTACAATCGAATTTGTGACCAAGACATGTAATAAGTCCCACAGTGCCTTCTTTAATCTGAGCACATGGCATCACTTCAATAAAACGGCATTTAATGGCTCCATTACCTGGTCCATCAACGCCACAGAGAGAGTCTCCTATTTCAATATCACCTCAAGGAACGTTACTTGGTTCCTCAAGATGTTCTCACTCAACGACACGCACTTCAACAACACCATTTACAGAATTAACGGCAGTGAAATGTATGTAGAGTGGAGCAGAGAGGTTAGAGGTGACAACACCGTATACGACGTATTGAACATGACATCTGTCAGATACGAATGGAGCGCCTTGAATAATCTCACTTTCCACATACCAACCAAGCTGGCGAACATTACTCTAAACGCAACGTTGGCTGGAGTAAACATGACCAAGTTCCGAACACACTTCAAATACGTTTTGAAGAACATCACTCAGGAGATGCTGCTGTGGAATTATACCAAAGAAAATATTGCCCAGAATCTCTTTAATCTCACCATACATCTACTTAATACCACCTCCCACGGCATCCCTAACGTCACCGTAAATTACCAAAGGTACTTCCAAGGCGACACATTTAACTATTCACTCTTCTACAACAACCTGGCAAATACTATTCTGAAGATCAAAGAAAGCAATGTTACGCTGGAAAATATTACGGAAGAGCTGATCGTGATTCTCCAGAACTTCACCGATCATGTTAATACCACTGCTTTTCTGGGAAACATCTCGAACATCATTGGGAACACGACATGGTACAATCAAACATGTGAAACATTTATTTTCAATTTGACTAAGTGGGGAAGAAACGCTTCGAAAAATTTTACTATGTTGTTGAATAGAACAGTCAGCGAGATTGGAAACTGGACAATTAATAACAAGACAGTAAATTACTACCTAAAAACTTACCTACCTGGTGTCCAAAATCTTACGATAGAAATACTCAATGAAACTGTCAACTTCACTCAAGCTATGGTCAACGTGAGCTTGGTGTTTAGAAATTTCACCCACAATGTTACTGAGTATATCCTGAATGTCACGCACCCTGTGTTATACAGCATCTCCAGGCAAATACTCGTCAACATAACAGGATATATCAACAATTCTTCATTCCTTGGAGGAGTCGCGTACCCAGTCTGGCAGAACTTTACCGAAGTGGCTGACATCAGTGTTTTCAATTTAACCTACGAACTCTTCCACAACTGGACCATCTGCGATTCATCCTTCGAATGGTTCCTATCATCGCTTCACTATCCAATGAACATCACCCTGTCCTTCCATAATATCACTTCTGACGCCACCTTGTACCAAGCCATCGAAGGCCTGTTAAATAAAACTCTTGAGATATACAACGCAACGGTCCGATCCCCGGCTTGCCGAATGAACCGTAGCCACGAGTGGCTGGTGAACGTCACAGACCTTGCTGTTATTTTAGTTAATGACACCGTTAATGTCCTGAACGTGACAAGCTTAAAGACCACTCAAGAAATCATCGAGCTCTACATCAATCGCACTCACAATATGACATCCCAACTTTGGAATATGACAGTCCAGATCCTCACTGCAACCAATTTCAGCGAACCTCCACAGAAATCATGGGAAATGTTGAATTTCACGGCTCACTATCACAACTGGACCCACAGGTATTAAAATAATGATAGTGGAAATAGATACTGTACGAAGAAAAACTTTCTAGATGGACCACTATTAAGAGTAAGTTGCATTGTACAGAACATGATTCTCATGCAATCTTTTATAGGTTAGACGAAGAGGACTTAAAATCGTAGAGCATACTGTTGAGTTGAATGTAAGATCAATCTTGATTGCCATCTTCCTTTGACAGTATGCCTTGGACCCGTCCAGTTCTGAAGAAGTGGAACTCAACTATGTTGGAAGTGATAACTGTTATGCGAAACCACAGTTGGCAAAATTACACCCGATACTACTTCCCACGAGTGGTTCGATACACAGCTGAGCCAATAGAGAGTGACATTTATGTCACAGCGTGGTTCCTTCGAAATTTCCCATCTAACACCACTCTGAATCAGAAGCAGATGAACAGTTCCTTCACTTACCCCATGTACATGCGGATAAACTACACTCAGTTCCTCCATCTTTGGGCTGAAGGTTACATTAACATGACCGCCTGCTCTCTAAATGCCACCCGAAACGCGACAGAATTCATCTTGAACGGCACCTACAACTTCACAGTGTTGGCCGTTAACATTACCACAAATTGGACGCAGACCTTTTACAACTTCACCTTCACTCTGGTTAACTCTACGGCCAGCTTTGTTAATGGCTCGCTGGTCAATGAGACGATTTTTCACAATGCACATCTCCCAAAATACTTCTACTTCAATCTGATGAACTTCACCATGAATATCACGGATCACGCCTTCAACTACTCCATGTGCATGCTGGACCAGGCTTTGCGTGAGTACGTGAATAAGACCCTCTCACCTGTAATTACGACATGGAGGACACTGAAGGCCCTTAATGAGCTGAAACCAGAGGATATCGTTGAGATGCTTCAACCGAAAAGTAAGTCCTATGGCGTGGCGTTGGATTCCCGCCGTCTCTTATCTAGGGGTCATAAACAAGAACCCTGCCTTTACAATCGTTGTGACACAAAATAAACGTCACCTTTTTTCAAGAAAACATTTGCTAGACACAGCCTCCTTTGACCAGTAACTGTGTCAATTGTTCAAAATTCTCTATGACTGATTTTCTGGTCTTCAATTTGCAATGATGTTTTGAATACTTTTGTTCAGGCGCGAATAAGAAAATTAGTTGCAGCTCTTGATAACCCTTTGACCAAACCTGCTCTTTATTAACTTGCGCATTTTTCACGTATCTCCTAACTAGACCAAACTGGTATGATCTTCGGAAAGAATATCTACACTTTTGACAAGCGTTACTTCCGCTTCCCTTGGATTAAGGGATCTAACTGTCAGTATTTGGTGAGCCGTGACTTCAAGGACGGAAACTTCACCATACTTTCTTCGCCTGAGGTTATCGTCATCATCACACAGGATGCTTTAGTGAATATTCACCGCAATGGTGAGGTCATTTCCCAAGGAATCACCGGAGAGGAAAAAACAAACGGTTTGACGCGCGATTTCTTTAAGGAGCTTCCTGTGAAATTCGAGAACACAACTATTGTACGAGATGGTCCATTCATCAATTTGACCAATGACTTTGGCTTCTCTGTCGAGTGTGATATGAAGCACTTCGTGTGCAGTTACGAAGTGTCTGGATTCTATCATAACAGAACGGCTGGTATGTAATGAGACTTTTAAATACTTTAATCAGTAGAGTTAGTTTTTTCGATAGGGCAAGCCGATAAACGCATAACGCGAAATCGACTTACGTGGTTCGATTTGGCACCATGACGAGATGGAAATAAAATTTTGATAAATCTTGACAGCACCATTCCTCAGAACTACATCTAATTTTCTGCCGAACAGTTAGGCTTCAATATTACCTGCAACCTTCAAATGTATGTCAACATTGATTTACTTTGTAAAACGACAGATACATAGAAACATTCTATTGAAGTAGATCAGAATCGTGAAAAAGGAACCTAGGTCGCAATGCATTACTGACGTGTTCATGTCTTTGCCGGATTGTTTTTCCTCTTGTCTAAGTTTAATGTGGCTCGTGGATATATGAAGGACTGGTAACGAAACTAGATAAAGAAGTAGAGCTTTTCTTCAGAAATGAATGAGTAATTTTCCTTTGAACTCAGGTATCCTTGGTACAAATAATGGTGAACCTAGTGATGACTGGATATCTCCAAATGGCAAGAATCGAACTCAAGTTTCCGACTTCGTCAGCTCGTGGCATGTGGCCGGTGACTGCAATGTGAAACCTGGTATCGAAGTAAAACAAATACCTTGCAATAGAGACGAGTCAGCGATAAAACGCTGCAGTAAGCTCTTCCTAAACAAGTCCTCGCCGCTTAGCAAATGCTTTTCAGAGGTATATCACTAGTTTCGCTAGAAGTTGTTAAGTGGAAAGTGAACTTGGTTTACACTCCAGAACCTTTTCAAATGCATCTCTTCAACGGTTTTTTTTAGGATACACAACAACGGCAATAAGCATTCTTATTCAGATTCGTGAAAATGTTAAGAATGCTTTGAAAACTGGACATTCTTTAACCTTATCATAAAATTCCGCATGGATACTTAGATTATATTAACTACTTTAAATAAGAGCCAACAAAGTGCTTACTATTGCAAAAAGCTGTGGCGCTCTTATAGCGGAATTATCTAGACATTATCTAGAGTTTTCATCGGGGACTTCATGATGACTACATGAAGTCTCCGAGGACTTCATGATGATGTTCAAACTTAGGGCATGTACGCTATGAGGGGTTCAATTCTGCCCGTTGACGTAAATTTCAAAGGGAATCGTGAGAAACAACCGCTGTCTTGCAAACCAAGGTGAAAAGAAGGTTAAAACGTCGGATTCGAATCATCGCTGGTATCTTAATTCTTACGTTTCATTATTTGCATTCTGTACCTTAACTTGGCAACATTTCTGAGCTTCCCTGTTCTCCAATTTCAGGTTAATCCAGTCGACTTTGCAGCTGCATGCAAAGCAGAATACAAGGATTGTGACGTCTCTGCACCGGTGAGAACCCTGCATTGCAATGTGACGGCAGCTTACATCCGACAATGTAAACGACATGGAATTGAGGTTTCTCTGCCTGACGAATGCAGTAAGTTCGATATTCTTCATTTTTGTGACAAATTGAATAGTTTTTTCACCGTAGGGACGAAAGAAAAGATTGTCCTTAATCCGCAGAAAACAAACCGCCTCGCCCCTTCTTTCTTCTTCAACCCACCAAGTCAGTAGAGCATTCGGTGCAATATTTCATCCTTATCTCTCAATTTTCGAATGATTTTTTTTAATTTATAAGCTCTTCTACAAAACAAACATGTGAATATAAGATCCGCCAGAGTTAGGTTACGTCTATCGAACCTTGCGCATTATTTGGTATTTACACAGATATAAACATATACACGTCAACTGAAAATTTCTTCTTTCGAAACGGACTGCACCTAAAATTACAATCCACTAGCCAGAAGTGATAAGGAACTAAATTTTTTGACTTATTATTATTAGTAGTATTATCCTCGCAGTTTTGTGTATAGCATTGAAATATTGCAAAAGGGATAATGGTATATTTCAGCATTTTTTCATGTCTTTCTTTTAACGTCTGTGGTTCTTTTTCCTATCAATTCCAAGAATTTTCAGTCTCTTTTCAATCTTTTTATATCGTTTGAGTGCCCTGATTTTCACTCTATAGCGAAACCACCTTTACCACAGTAAATCAAAAAAAATTATTCAGTGATAGTGATATTATAGTGAATGAAGGGTTAAATCAAGTTGTTGATGAATTACTGCTGAGGAGGTTTGACGGCTAAAGCAAGCAACCACGGGGAATAATTTGGTTTGAATTCATTGCTCGGCCCGGCATTCAAATTGTCAATGTCAGTGACCTCGGAAACAGCAGTCCCACTTTAATCTTGTTGAGAGAGTATTTTGGTCACCTCGTTCCTTTTGTCCACAGCATCTTGTGAAGTTGGAAGCAACATGCATGAGAAGAACTCGACATGGAAAGAGAAACCCTCGAGTAAAGTGGACATTGTTTTCGTGTGCAGCGAGGGTGAAGATATGGAGCCTGTGGCCGCTCTATTACCTTCATTTACACAGCAGATCGACCAATATATGAAGAAAGAGGGGATGTCACCGCAGTTTGGTCTTGTGGGGTTCAGCGGTAAAGTGCCAGTGCACAGGCCCGGTCATGAGCATACTATTAAGGGTCAGCTCTTTAATAGCGCCAAGTACTTCACAACTGACGTCATCAGGAACATGAGATTCGTCCCAAGGTTAGATTTGAATCCTTGCAAACCGTACTTGGTGAAGGGCAAATGAGCTTAGTGTAGAACCTAGCTAGACAGGCTTTCCGTGGCTTTTAAGAGACCTAAAAAATACTTTGGTGGGAAAACAGACACTTGGAGACACTTTGCCATTGAAACACGGATTGAACGGCTGCTTATCCCATGAAAAATGCAAGTGGTGCAGTTCGGTAAATGGATGCCCACCATAACACAGGGTCTGAAAATCGTGCATTCAAACCTTTCATAAAACTATAACATCTTAGGCGGGTAGAAAAAATGACTTGAAAGGCTTGAAGGATAAAAACAAACAGATACAGATAAAAATAGCGCACATGTCTTAAGAGATTTGTATCGTTCAATTTTCAGGAGCAATAGGGAATTCCCAGAAAGCGATGGCTATCTTGGCTTGATGAAGGCTGCCGAATATCCATTCCGACCTGCTGCCTCCAAGCTCATTGTCCTCGTCACGAACAGCATCCGAGTCAATCATAGCAACATTTCCAGTGAAACAGTCGTCAAGGCTCTGAAGGATATCGGTGCAAGACTTGTCTTGATTGGGAAGTTTCCGTAAGTAACTTGTGGATATTTTTATATGTAACAGAATTTTGGCTTTGTGGCCGATGAAGTCGCCCGGAACGTTTAAAAGCGCGATGCTGTCGATAACCAACTGCACAAAACCTTGATAAGTTTGCCAATTGAATGGGGTGGTGATAGATTAACCTCTTTTTGTCGTTAGGGTCTGCTAGTTGCGTAAAGTTAATAGATCAAGTGCAAGGAGAATTTAACATGATCACTCTGTCCAATTTTAATGTTGATAGGTTGGCGTGCCGATCAAACGCTCAGTGAAACAAGTTTCACTTGTTCGTCACCTATGTATCCGAAGTTTCACCTTATTGCAATTGACGTTCTCATATTCTGCCACATTCTCTTGGAGTGGTCAACGGAACCCAATCGCTTCACAGATAGAAAAAAATTTCGGGGATTTAACCCTTATTTGCCTTATTTGGTGACTTTACTAGTTACTTATTCTTTATTTATTTCTTTTAATTGCTTCTGTCATTTAGGCTTAAGAGGGCCATTGCAATAGACACTTTCAATAATGCCTACACGAAGAAAGGAATTTCGAAAGCCGAAACGAAGTCACTTATAAAAATCTACCGACCACCTCAAAATGACGAATACTTCCAGGTTGTTACTGAAACACAAGGTGTAGGTATCAACCTGAAGCCCGCTTTCGAGGGACCAAAAGCTAAGCCATACTCCTGGCAAATGCAGATGATTTTGGAGAGCATTTTTAAACAATTGAAGCATGACACTGCACAGTGCAGAGAATGTTCTTGTGTCCCTGATATGGTTGGAAAGGGAAAGACCGTCTGCAAGACAGTACCATGCAAAGCTTAGAAAAAAGGTAAGACATTTAATGGTATCAACTCATAGTTCTAAGGTCAGTTGGCCCCGCATTCCAAGTCATATCTACAGATAATGTTTATGAAAGCGGGGCAGAGAGAATAAAAATAAACGTTACTCGTAGTTGACCAAAGTAGTACTTAGCCGAGATCGATAAAAGAGAAGGGAAGTGGGAGAGGTGAACTCGTTGTTTAAGCAATTTTCGTGGATGACCGTCGAAAATTAAGAAGAGTGAAAAGGACAGGTTCAGAGTAAAAGGCGCCCTCTACTAAGCGTCGTACGCTCTTTAGCTAGTGTACCACTGACTAAACTACAATATTAAAAAAAATGCCAGGGTACCATCACAGTCTTACTTTCAGGAAACAAATGGAAATTAACGTTAGCTTCATTCGTGTAACTGACTTATTGGCTACCTTGGAAATCATAGACTGCCTAAGTTTGGAATGCAAAAACATCTTGTAGGCAAAGGATCCATATTCTCTTTGAGAGCTCGTTAAAAAGGGGCCATCTTACTTTGACACGTCACATGAATTTACTCGGTAACTTAAGCCGTTTCTTAACTTGTCTTACTTTTGTGTATTTCAGGCCTACTGACCGTGAAATTGCCCTGAATGAACCTTCATATTATGCACAGTTATCAATCATTTTAAGCAAAAGCATTTAAGTTGGAGTAGACTAAAATAACCATGAGCGTCGAATATGTGTTAAGCTCTTTTTCATTATTTGTTTTGTTTTGTTTTTTTGCTTCTTTGGTTTATTAAGGTGCAGCACATTAAAAAGGTGTTAATCGTAAACTTTAGTGAGTAGTATAGGAGAAGTTAGGCCGAACGGTTGTCAGCCATATTTAGCGACGGCTCTGTCGCTTGCAATTGCATGTAGAGTGATCACATTAAACTTCCATTTAAGCATTCATCGCTGGTGTTTTGTTCTTTCATGTCCTCATCAATAACCCGTTCCCACTCCCTCCTCAGTTTTTCATCCCCAGCCCCTCCTTTAAATGTGCCACGCCATTGGGAATATTGAAATGTCAGCAGCCAGCCAAAACACCCGGTGAAGATGAAATGAACTTTCCTATCTTAAATTTTGCTACCATAAGTGCATTCGACAATTGTCAAGCTCAAATGAAGATCATTCAGGAGTCACCGTGAAATGTTGATAGTGATGTGAAGAAAGAAATCACTGTACATCTTAGGGAAAAAAAGTATTTCCTAAAGTAATATCCTACATCCTCTTAATCACCGATACTTCGTGGTGATTATACTGACAACCTCCTCCTTCTAACGATATATGTTGCGGTGAAGCGAAACGCTAATAAGGTCAAGGAGCATACTCACTCGTCTAAATAATTTGCAAGTTGATTTTGTTCTCAAGCTCGTACCGCAGGAACCTGCGTCACTCTTGTTGCGTTTCAATTGGCAGTATGTTAACGAGCCTTAAGTTCCTTAATCGCCTCGTTTGACTCAGCGTTAGTGGGGGCAAGGAAGAAGAAGGATAATCCCCCCCCCCTCCCCTTCTTCGTTCCTTTTGATTACTCTCTTGAGATAAATTTCTTTTCCTCTTTACCTCTCCTCAGAAAGCGGTGACTGATCGATAGGCTCGACTAGGCTACCGCGGCGCCGAGGCCCGAAATCAAATGATCAGGGAGGCTTTAGTCGAGAGGGATGAAAATATGCGAAGGATAGGGATCTTACCAGCGGTGGAATTGGGATTGGAAGTTTAAAAAAGGCACATAAAGCCATTCTAAATAACGTTTCAATTTTCCTTTGTCATAACGAGATCGATCATGAAGGAAGTGCTTCATTCTAGGTTATAGAAGGTCAAAATCATTTTACTTGGACGTCACGAGCCACCACCTTGACAACTTTTTTTCGTTTTGAGTTTCATTTGTTGGATATTTTAGGAGTGGTTGGTTAAATTCCCTTTTCTTTTCGCTTCTCCACAGCGCTCTCTTATCTGATTTTTCTGCTAATTGCTATAAAAACACTGCTCGACTGACTGACTCCCTTTTTCCCTTTTTTTCTTTTGAGTCTCAACACAATCTGCTAAAAGGAAGGTAAATATAAAAGTAATAACTTAAACTCAACTTTCCGCCGGTGAGCAAAGGTGAAACCGTTGAGTCTCGACCAGTCTCTGGGTTTTACGCCCCATACCATAAAATTTCAAGTAAGATGGGCTCGCTGGCCTCCTTTTCTCTTCAACGTTGTTCCAAGTAAAGCAGCGCACAATCATTGTCGACAGAGAATTTTTAAATCGCCGTTTGAGTCCTTTCAGTTCTCTTTCGTTCCATCCCAGGCCCCTAAGTGCACCCCTGGTCTTAGCCTCGTTTAGAGGTTCCGTTCCCTGCTTCAGACGGTACATTGCGCCAGCGGTATTTTGTCAAATATTACACGCGCATTGAAAGTTGATATGGCTGCGGTTAGTTCTCATCTAGTTTTTGTCGCGTAATAAGGTAAGAATATAGATTAGTTCAGGTGAAATGCAAATATCAGATGTAAGTGTCAGGTAGTGCTGCCTTTATTACAGGGCTTTGTTCGTCGAAAAATTCTGACATGCCTTTAACGTTAACCTTCGTTGTGTTCATCAAGTCGTAAGTATTTACTCATGCTATAAGAGAGCATGCAAGTCTAAAATCGTGCTCACCTTCTTACTTTTCTGTGTATTAAACCAAATGGTCTAGCTCACCACATGTCTTCCACACTGTATGTGTAGTTTTACAGTTGTGCAAACTGAAGAGTCATTTCATTGTATTGAAAATTACTCTTACACGTATTCCACGTCCGTAATCCTTTACACCTTAACATCAGTATGCATAATCTCCTTACCGTTATCTGTACATTTCCTAAGTTACTGACAAGGAGAATTTGTTTAACAATCGAGCTCCTTAAGTTGTTGATCATTTCCCTTATTCTCATGATCTTAAATGAATGATTCAACAGTATTATTGTAAAGAGAAACTAGATGCTGGTCACTCTTAGGGTTCAAAGGCTTAAGAAACTGAAATTTTTATATTTCCACATACCCTTGAAAACTTGAATATGACTCATGTACTAACAGGCTATATTGATACATTTAAGGTAAAAAACTTGGTGAAATTACAAGAAATGTTTACATCCTAGAGATAGAGACCAGTTCGTCATAATTAATATTACTTGTCAAAGAGGCTGAGGCAATTTATTGTTGAAATATGATTTCAAAGGTGATCAGTAGAGCAAGAACATTTGGTTAATTGTATTAATTTCTTTATGAGGAAGGTAAGTAACTTGTAAGCATGCCATGTAAGGGAAACAGTAAGTTTTTTTTGTTTTTGTTTTTGGTTGTCGTGTCAGGGGTTCCTGAGAAAAACTTTGACACATCAAAACTCGAGAGGAAACAAAATTTGTTCAAGGCTATGTGATCAATAATTAACTAACTGCAATGATACATGTATTAAGAGCAAGGGAAATCTAAGCATTTTGTTAAATATATGGGGCATGCATGCAAGCACTGTTCTGCATGCAAAAACATATCACTTAAATGTAAATAACTGATAATAAGTTCTGCTTTTTGTTAGAATGTAATCAAGACAATGGCAAACTTTGGTAAAGGCAAAAGAAATGGGCAGTACTGGCAGAGACAGTCAGTATACACTCCATCATTCATGGATCTTGAGAAATACCTTCCGAAGCCTAAGGATAGTGATCTACCTGCATTCACCCGGAAAACCCCAAAGCAATCTACAGTTATTAGACCAACAGAATATAAGTCAAACAATTATGCACTGTATAATGACAGAAGCAGTACGAACTCTAATTCTTCAACCTCTAAATGTACAAACACAGCAACTTCTTCAGATCACACAGCAATCAGTGTGAATGTCACTAATGAGCAAAGAACAATAAACTTAAGTCATGGGAAGACACTGAACAGCTTGAGTAGAGAAAGTATTGGGAGAAGACCACCTAAACGTCGTCATCACTCCACTGTAACTCCAGACTTTCAAGATGAAGTCATAACCAAACGAGTGAAAAGATATTACAGTACCTCCCAAGCAACATGTAATAATACTGCTAGGTCATTTAGATTTCAGCAGTTTGAAGTAGAACCCCCTGTGTTTACCCTGGAAACAGTAAGTATTTTGCTTGGAGTGTGAGTGACACAACCTAAAAATTGTTCACTAAATTAGGGTTATTTAAATGGGATTTATGCATTTGTGCGGTTACAGTGTATATGTATACAGGCGGCTATGTATTACTGTAACAATTCATAACTCACTGGCTGAGCAGAAATTTTGTGGTGAGAAACAAAATTTTCACAATTCAATTGTGTTGAACCTCACACAGTTTAACCCTTTAACTCCCAGATTAAATTTGTCATTCTCCTTACTATTAACCATACAATTCTTTTAATGTTAGTTCAGAGAATTTAGTAGTAGATCAACTAATTATTCTCAAATTGATATTTTCCTTTACTCTCATCACTTATCTGGTTGATATTGTATTGATATTGTAAGGAGAAATTCTGTCTTGGTCACTCATGGGAGTTAAAGGGTTAAGCAATCAGAATGAAATTAAAACCTAATTATTGAAGCTACACCTGTACAGCATCTTAAACTCTAACTTACATGTATAATAATTGATAGAAAAAATGTTTTTTGATGCTGTTGCCCTGTAAACAAGATAGAAAGTACATGCAGTTGAATAGATATCCCAACAGCCCAACACTTTCATGTTTGTAGCATACGGGGTTGTTCTGTACCCAAAATATGAGTAAGATGTGAAAACTCAACAGAGATTTATATACTGAATAGTGAGATGATCCCTTATGACACACATTATGGGTCATACACCACAATGTTAACAAAAAAACCCTTTAGTGGTTGGCAGTAATGATTTTTCTTGTTTCAGCTTACCCAAGAGATACAAGAGGAAACCTTGAGATGTGTGCAAACTGTTGAGACACTACAAAAGAAATTAAAGTTGAAATCTTTTCTAGAAAGAACTTTGTCACCCTTTTTTCCAGGTACATGTACATTACTGCACTTTCCACTGTATGTACTGTAAATTTCATATGTAATGGGCTCTCCCCCTCTTTAGGGAATGAAGTTTCTAACAAGCCTCCCTATGAGATTGAGGTTTTTGAGTAGTAGTCTTTGTTTGCACTTTTTCTTGGTACTGGGTGGTGTACACGTATTTGAAAGCCTGTTCTACTTTTAGCTTTTCATGTTGTAGGTTTTTTGATCAAGACATTTCGCAAAACAGGGAATTTATTAATCTTGGTAATAAGCCAGAAGATTCCTCACCTGATCAACACACCTTCTAGTAGTAAGGTGATGAGGATACTATTTGATTATAAAACAAATTGTCAGAGCTGCAATTAAACAAAAGTATGATAAACAATAGGGTGAATTGTTATGTAGATCTTGGGTAAAAAAGAGTTAAGTTAAGATCAATTTTGAGCCTGTTCTCTTTTCCAGGTTGTTCTTTACATCTTTGTGGCTCGTCAAGCAATGGCTTTGGTGGTAATACTAGTGATGCTGATTTCTGTTTGATTTTAAAACATCTACAGCAGGTGAGATCATGTAAATGAATGGGTGGTTTTAAGTTTCTCTTATGATTTTCTTCTTTTAATTTCCTTTCTAATAAATTGTTGTGAATCCAATTTGATTGTAGTCAAATAACCGGAAAGAAGCTCTGCCAATTTTGAGGAAAATTCAGAGAGTATTGGACAATGACCCTAAAAACAGTGAGTAATCAAATACACAGTCTCCTCTAGGAGTTAAAAACATTTTTTGAATGATATGTCACCATGTATATGGAAGTTGCAGCTTTCCTACTTGTATGTGTCATTGTCAACAAAACCATCTTGAAACTGCCTCATTATTTTGTAAAATGGGATCATACTGTACCTGTATCTCTTGTATGCAAATAGTTCTTGACAGTTCACATATTGGAATTGTTCAACAGCTTTCCTTAGTAGATGTGCAGTTATTCCTGCAAGTGTACCAATTTTGAAATTCAAGGATATGATCAGGTAAGAGCTCTGTATGCTTATAACAAGTTAGTACATGTTTATACTGAGGGTCCAAAATACAGTGTACGTATTATACACTTCTGTTTTACAAGCTAACCATCATCCAGAGAAGATTTAGCTTTCAATCAATAGCTGCTGATATCATTATAGACAAACAACAAATTTTTCTTCTGTTTCTTATCCTTCCATAGTGGCTGTGAGTGTGACATCAACATTAATAATATTGTAGTAAGTTATTTGTTTGTTTTCTTTTTTAGTCTTTAAGTAATTAATTTTTTTGTGATAATGACCAGAGGAAATGGAATCATGATGCAGTATTGTCATTAAGATTGGCTTGCATTATATAAATGCTAGCTGAAATGAAATCTAGGTTTCATTTTTGTTTGGTATTTCAGCATTCTCTTTAGACTGTATACTCAAGACAAACTTTTAGACCTGTTTCTTGAGTCTTATTATGACATACAGTTTGTTCTATTTCCAGGGTTTGAGGAACACCCACTTGCTCAGAGCTTACTGTGGAGGCAAGTCTTTACTTTCTCAATGGTTGTCTCAAATGGGAATTTTCAATGATTTTCTCGCATGGTTTAAACTTTTGTGTTAAAATAAATTCTGTAAGATCAGGCTCTCTAACACATTTCCTATTTTTTTGTTTGTCTAATATGGACTGAATCAAAGATCATTGGAGGTTGTTTCAACAGTTATTATGTCATCATGTGCATGGTAACTCTCACATGTAGCACATCTTGTAATGAAACATGTAAATGAAAAACATGTGCACTTTGCCACATTAATTTGTCTTTTTACTTAGTGCCTTTAGTCCTAATATCAGTGGTCATATTTTCCAAACTGTTCTCTGTAAATTTTCTCTAGTACTGATAAGGAGAATTTGTTGAATACCTACGAGCTTTCTCAATCCGTGATCATTTCCTTCTTTCTCATGACCTCAATGTTTGATTCAGGGGTGATACTGTAAGGAGAAATAATATGTTGGTCACTCAGAGGGATCAAAGGGTTTTGATGTATACATTTATACTTATTAAAGTATTATTATACACTAGGTAGTTATTTATTTCTTTATTTCTTTTTACATCAGTGGATTATCGTGTCCAGCCACTGGTGATGTTGGTGAAGAGGTGGGCCAAAACACACAACATCAATGATGCTAGCTTGGGTACACTCTCTAGCTATGCTCTTGCTCTGATGGTCATTCACTATCTACAGGGTATGTTTGAAATGTTACCAACCTGAAATTTAGTTATTGTAAGTTTTGCTTTTTTTTACTTCTTAGTTAGGGATTATGAGTAAAAGCAAGCTCCCCTGACATGCACATGTGTACATAGTACATGTACATGAGCATATCCAGGAGTTAATGATTTGGGAATGGGGGAAGTGAAATGTAGTTGGTGTGTTTATTCAAGAATAATTTTTGTATGCAATGCATTTTTTTGTTTGTTCGTAAGGTGTTTGTAAACCTGCTGTAGTTCCTGTCTTACAAAGGCAATATCCAGTAAGTACGGCATGTGCTCATGCACACCTTTTTTTATATAAATTGCAGAATAACTTAGATTGGTTGTCATCATATCAAGTTATTGCATTTGACTGTTTAACCATTTAACTTCCAGGATTGATTAATGTGTAACGTCTTCCTATAATATCCATACATTGTCCAGCAAATGATGAGAATACTCAAATTTAATGGGTAGAAGTCGTATCTTGATCTATCACCAAATTCCTGTAACTACACTGTAATATACAAAGAAATGTGCAACAGCTCGAGGAGAGAATTAACAACCAGATCTTGGCTAAGAAACGAGTAGCATATGCATGAGAAAGTAAGATGCATGATAACAAGAGAGACATGAGAAATATTTTGATATGTATGTACGTTGTATTTTTTGATAAAATGAAAATGTAATATTTTGGTGGGTTTTCTTTTTTCGTTTTGTTTAACAGGCATTGTTCAGATACACAAGCGATTTCTCGAGCCTTTTAACCCTGAATCCGTGTAAACATATGGTCTGCAACCAGTAAGTCAACATCACGTTTCCTTCTGCATTATTCTGGCGATCCAATTGTGTCCACAGTAACATAGCAATATTTTTTGCTTCTAATACTGATTTTTGCCTGATAATTCACAGATCAGAGAACAGACAATCTATAGGAGAGCTATTTATTGGATTCTTCAAATACTATGCTGCGGATTTTAGGTATGATTTTAATGCTCTGTTCGTGCTGATCAGAAACAAAACATACAGTGACATCTGTAATTTGGTATTATCAACTCAGTTGATAACGAAAGAGTTTTTACCCTCGAGAGTTTTAGCTTTGAAACTCCTAACGGTGGCCAATTTACGTTATAAACTTAGTTGATAATACCCAGATGGCCTTGCTATACTCTCCACCGACGCAGCACCACAGTTTTTTTTTTAGAATCTTGCCCCCTTTAAACAGTGACATCTTTTACACTTATCTTAATCATTAAACCCCCATAGGTGACCAATACGAAATTTTCAATATCATTTCAATATCAAGCTGACAGGTGATGAGAATATAGAAAAATATCAATCAAGGGATTGTTAGTTGATCCAATACCAAATTCTCTGAAATAACATCGTTAGAATCGTATGACAGACAGTAAGGAGAATCAGTATTGCAACCTTTGGAGTGAAAGGGTGGTGGAGGTCTTACATTCACTTTTATTTCCTTCTCAGCTGGAGTACTGATTATATTTCCATTGCACTTGGTGCTGCTTATCCACGAGACTCACAACGTAAAAGGAAGTTGGTTTGTGTAGAAGGTGAGTTTTTTTTCCCTACACAATACGCATTTAATGTCTTATTGCGAGGGAAACAGTTAGCTTTGTTTGTCTTTTCCCAATTAGCTTTAATAAGTAATACCTTTTCTTGTTTTATTACAGAACCATTTGATGGAAATAATGTCGCCAAAGCTGTCTGCAGTGTTGAAAAATTCGAAAACATCAAAATGAAATTCAGGCTGGTAAGTGCAATTTGGAAAATGCGTACACTGCTCGTAATTTATAGTTTCGATCATCTGACGTTTCAAAACGTGTCCATAATCTAAATGTCGCATTCTGCGTCGCTGGCGGTTTATTATGCGCTAAAGCGATGAACGGCAAAGCTGCAAGAGGCTGGGGTCGAAGGCTAGTTTTAAAACCCCTTGCGGCCTTCTTGCTCATCACGAAGCTTACATATAGCGTTAAAGTGTACGCAAAACTGTCAGTTGTGCACGCTATAGATGACGTGAAGAAACAAAAAAAGAGGAAACGGATGTTAATTACTAAATTTCACGCATCACCGTTTTTTGTCTGAAACCGTTCAGTCGTTATTGCACATAAATTCATAGATGATCTCGAATTTACAGTGCACAGTAGCTTAATAGGGGTGTTCGCGCGGTTTTGTAACGAGCTAATAATTCGTGCTCACTGGTTTTATTGCAGGCGTGGCATACACTCAATATATCACCAAGTCTGGAGAGTATCAAGGTTACCTGAATAAAACATTGAATGTAAAACCACGCGAATGGCCATTTTTGTCATGCAATGCAAAATTGAACTCGAGTATAAGATAAGACGGTGCGATTGCCGGCTTGGACAACCTCGACCTCGGCAAACCTGGCTTATCATGGCAAGACCCTACACCAACTCTCATAAGTCTTCTTGTTAGAGTAGAAGGTGCGCTATGGATAAGGAAATACACATCTCCAACTGCCTTCGACGTTCAAGATTCTTCAACGGGAGCACCGTACGTGGTTCTAGTTTCAATCTTGTATATACAGCTTACTCGTTAGAATTTGGAGAGCAATTCGTCTCGTTGCTCTTTTTGTTGTACCTAAGATTTCCAGTACACACGCGTATGAGCAAAAACAAATTCAAGAAGGGTTTTTTAATGAAACGTGGAACGTTTTTGATAACGTTCGGTTACCATTGCGTTTGATTAACAAGTGCAGATTTGTAAAACTTTCCTATCATTGCATTTAATGATAAACGATCACCACTAAGCTTGATATATATGTATATCGTAGTTAAATTTTTAAAGGCGACCGAAGCTACTGCGCCATGTTGAACTGCGTTTATGGGTCTGAAAATGACATTGCCTCACCATCTCCAAATTTTATTCACATTCTTAAAATGTTTTCTACATTTCTTTGAATCGTGATGAGCATTATAGCGTTTGAGTCGTGACTAAAGCCTCAGAGTTTAGAGAAACGATACATGATATGAATTTTAAGACCCCTCCTATTTATCTAAGAGTACGACATAGAGTTTTTTATATATAAATTACATATTATAATTTAATTAATGAATTGTATATGATATTTAATGATATCGTGGAATTAAAATGTGTTAGTCAATCTACCCACAGTCTCCGCACCTTTGAATATTTTTTTCCTTTGAGCAGCACCCACAATGTGATGGTGGTACCTTTGATGGGCGCTCTTGATAGTTCAAACCTGGATGTAGCCACCGTTGTCTTCAATGTTTCTTTTTGTTTGTTTGTCTTTTTTCTTTTAATGTAGTAACCTACACCCTGTAGATGTATACGCATGTAGTTTGCAGAAATATTATCCATCCACCTCGTCTGCGCACAAAGTTGCCTTTGGAGCGAGGAGCGAGGTTTAACTATGAAAACTTCGCCGCAGCTAAATAACAGCTTTCTCTCAGTAGTTTACTTCCCAGGGTATCATCTTAAGCACGACAGACGTACAGGACTACTAATTCGCAAGACCAGCGGGAACAGAGCGAGGCTTACCTATGGATACTCTGTTGTAGCTCAGATGCAAGAAAATAGGACAGTTTCTTCTGTGATGAAGAATTTTGTTCAGAAGTTTCCTTCTCTATGGTACCGCATTTAACACGATGTGCATGTATGCAACTCCCTGTTCATTATATCAGCAAGAACAGGGCGGGAGGCAGCTTTGGAGTCTCAGTTGCAGATTAGATATAAGAGCCCAAAATAATGACTTCTGCCAAGTAGAATTTTCTCAAAAGTTTTATTCTACATGTGTTACCACCTTGTACTCAACGTACATGTATAGGACTTCTCATTTTCTAGACATGCAAGACCAGAGCGGGAAACCAATGCGGAAAGTTTATTGCAGCAAACAGCCTTTCTCACCCGCAGCTTTTAAGTTGGAGCCCGGTTCGTTCTCGCTATAATAGAATTTTGTCAAGGATTTTCTTCCATTGGCACTCCCTTTAACATCACATATGGAACTCCCCACTCGCACGACCAACGAGGCCAGAAGGATAAAGCCGGGCGCAATTGAGGAAACTCTGTTGCAGCGTAGAAGTATGAACCCAAAACGCAACCAGTGTAGCATGCAATAAAAATTAGAATATGCCATGCGCAGTGAAGGTATGGGAAAGAGACAGACCGCCATACGTCACAGAATGCACGATCATTTATCCAGAAAACTACAGCGACAAACCACCATCCAACACATGCGAATCCTAATCTTTTAACTTTTAAGTCCTTACATCTGCAAAGTACAGAGGGAGAAAAATAGTAGAATTGAAAAAAAAATTAAAAAAAAAATTAAAATAAAAAAAGAAAGGAAACAAGCATGCGAGGTTAAAAGAAAAGTAGGTTGTTATCAATGAAGGAGCAATATAGGAGCTATGTGATCGATGGAGGATCAATGGAATATCAATGTTATCAATGGAGGATCAATGCTTAGAAAATTGGTAAATCTATTGTGAGGTTTACATAGGGGAGACGCAGTGTTCACTGGTCAAGAGGTCTGGGTTCGAGACTGAGCTGGGTCAATATGCTGTGATCCTGGGTAATGCATTTTACTCGCATCTTGTCGCTATCTCTCCACCCAGGAGTATAAAGATGTGTACCACAATTATCAGGGAAGCCTACTAAAATACATGGGGTAACCTTAAAATTAATTGGCATCCCATCCAGGGAGAAGTTGAGATACTCCCAGTCGCTTCATGCCATATGCTGCCCTTTACCTTTTTAGCACGTAAAGGTCGTCTAGTAGTAAGCGTCCTTAACTCTTTATACCCCAATATCAGTTTGCATATTCTCCATACTGTTCTCTACATATTTCAAAAGGTGCTGACAAGGAGTTGTTTAACATGAACAAGAGCCTTCCTTAGTCGCTGATCATTTCCTTTATTCTCACGCTCTTAGTGTTTGATTCAGCGGTGATACAGTGATGAGAAACTAGATTCCAGTCACTCTTAGTGGTTCAAGGGTTAAAGACGGTTTTCGGTGACCGTGCAAGACACTTCAACAACCTCAATGAAAGTTATAATCAGAAGCAAGAAAGAAAGTGAATCTTTCCAGCGTTTATTTAAATCTGGCTCGAGGAAACCTGTCGGTCAATTTTATGGTGTTACTCTTAGTTGTTAGAGTCAAGCAGCCCACATGTACCGTAATGATTCAATTTAGCGCCCGGGTGCTTAATTACTTATGATACCTCTAAGAAGGGCATTTATTCGAAACAGGGCACTTCTTAGGGGCAGGGTGCTTATTTCTTTTTTGAGAAACAGCAGAATGTGCTAAACTAAGCTTCGACGTTCATTTAAGAGGGCAGAGGGGCACTTAATGTAACGAAGGTGCTAATTTGAATCAGTTACGCAAATCAGTTGTGCAAATGAGTCACCTTTTAAGTTCAGCAAACAGCATGAAGAGAAATGGAGCTCCAAACGCCATCAAAACAAATGCATTTGCCACAGGATAGATAAATCCTAACCACGTACAAACCAAAGACAAGCCAAGGACAGCGTACTGGAATGTTTCTCTAAGCATAAACAAAACCGGCATAATGATATATATCAGTACTTTCCCGGAAGATGCGGCACAAAAAAATGCAAACGGGAGAGAAAGAAGGAGCAATAAAATGTGGAGTGAGAGGCCGAAACAACTGCAATCAACGTCGAAATTAGTTGACATATCGCGTAACCATTATGAACTACGCGACTTTAACTTCAAATGAGCCATATTTTGCCACAATGCCCCACTTTCTCACTGAATGCACTGTGCTGTACTTGATCACTTTGAGGTGCATACAGGATGACAACTTTTGGTTAAAGCGAAAAACACTTCTGTGGAGTGCGTTTGAGAGAAAGATCTTCAAGGCCATTCAAGCTGGAAGAGTTTATTCAAAACTAACACGTTTGAAATGACCCAAACGTTATGGGTAGAGAACGAAAAATAGTTTTCTGGTGGTACTGATGTAGGAGCTAAAATAAGCAAAAGAAAATTAGAAAAAAAAATAGAAAGAAAGAAGAAAGAAATGGAATGGAGAAGAAAACTGCTATTTGTGTCAAAATATCTTTTTCTCACAGCCCTAGCCTCTTGTAGAGTTCAAATACCTGTCTCCTCCAAACGGACTGAGAGCTAACATCCATTTTGGTGTCCATAAGGCTAGTGCTACCATCAAAACCCACAGGATAGCAAGTTCGTCCAAAAGTTGACCCACGAGACTAAGTGTTGCGTGAAAATAGGCTGAACTCAATCCAATGACGACGAACAAAACCCAAATGATATTGATCCCAGAGCAGACATGCTTTGAGTACGGACGAAACAGGTATCTAAAAAATACCAAAATTGTTGTTTTAATTTTGAGGGGACATTGTCAAATAATTGTGCACCAATTTTGCAACCAATCAAAAACAGGATTAGAGCAATTTTCGATTCACTCTCCAAAGTAATTGGGAATTGTATTAGCTCTGCCCTACATCGTCGTGTGATTGGTCCAGAAAACACGCGACGTACTCAACCAATCAGTTTCAAAACTAAAACAAAGGGCAACTTGGTCACCCGTACTTTTCCCGCGGCTCAAGTAGTTTAGTTATTTTCATTTTGAGCCCTTATTGGTACTTGAGTTTTTTTTCAGGTCAGATTAGCTGTTGTGATTACTTTGGATTTGATTTAACGACACTCGGTCCAGTGGTGAAATGCTCTCTAATTTAAAAACCAGTCGAGATGTAACAATTTCGCGCATTCCAGTTGTGGTTTCTCTGGCTCTTAGTTTACAACACTCGATCCAAACGCGCTTTGAAACCAATCGTAATCAGGCATATTCCCGCGCTTGATGGTGTTCACGTGCGTTTTCCATTTGTTCCCATTGGCTCTTCGTGATGTTGAACTTTGCTCCGATTGGCTCCTGGTTGCATCGTTTGTTTTGGATTTAGTTTGACAATTTTCAATCGAAGAGTGCTGAGAATTTGATTTTTGTGTTAGTTTTTCGTTTTAGCGAGATAAGTAGGTCCGACAGAATTTCTTTAGATACACGTAGTCTGGGGTCAAACTATATTCCAATTTTGTTTTCATTACGAAAAAAAAATGAAACAGTCTTCAGACACTCATACACAGTGAAAATAAAAGATCGACGCAAAGTTCTAATTATCCCCCACTGGGAATATTCAGCAAAGCAAGCGCTTTTCTGCTTCCCACGCTCACTGTTGTGCAACATAAAGCCTAAAGGCGTTCATATTTTTTTCCAAATAAATCTGCTTTTTATTTTCTCCGCGGATTTAACGCACTCCTTGTAAAACGTTTCCATGTTTGCACTATACGTTGGGATTTGTCGTACCTGACTTCAACATACATAATTTATTACAAACACAGTAAAGTTTACAACAAATTTAAATTGAAAATGAAATATTTATTGCCACAACAGCCTAACAGTGGTGGCTGACGCTTTGGAAGAAGATTATTCCTTTTGCCAATTTTTTTTTCCCGCCGACCTTAGCCCAGTATGGTATTGCAATTTTGCAAATTTTTTAATGTTTCGCCTCCCTTCCCTGGTCGATATGTGGACATTTCGACGTCACTCTTATTCTATAACCATTTCATCTCGAAGAAGAAAAGCATCATGCCTGCTACTTCAACCGCAACCTCAACACTCAAACACGATGCTGTTATATTGTTTTTGTTGTTTACCACCTGACTGAACCTGTCAATTTTAACACCGATACGGCAGAGACCACGAAGCGGTTTACTGATTAATTCTATTCACAAAATGAACGCCAGCGAGTAAACGAATCGCACAAGGACAAAAAAAAGTCGTATCGGCGGATTTTCAAATGCGGTTAATAACTATCGCCTACGTTTTGTGGGCGCCAATTTTCAATTTTGAAGCGATCTCGATGCGCTTATCATTCAACTGGCGGCTTTTTAAAGTGCCGCTGGCGGTACGCAGAAATTTCAGACGCTGAGTAACTTACTATGAAAATAGTCCGTGTGCAGTACATGCTTTTAACCCCAGCTGTTCACCGCTGAGAAACTTTCAGGTGGTATTATTCTGAATTCGTGCAACATGGAAAAAAATTTCCCACACTTACGTAATGGATTTTTCCCTCGTAGGAAAAATCAGTGGAATTAAAATTTCGAAATTGTTTCTACTCGTTCCCTGACTTAAGTTTCACGAAACGGGCACCATATTATAAATTTTTTCTTTTATTATTGAACACTTACTCTTACACATGCAGATTTTATGTTATGCAAATTCCTAATCATGGTTTCCAGGTACTTTTCGATTACCTGTTATGTTTTGATAAGTTTTACTCACGAGTAATCTGAATACCTTTAAAAACTGACGGTCTGTATTTATTCCTTCGTTTTAAATTATTTTGCTTTTTGTTTTGCTTTGTTTTTTTCATTAAACCCGCTGGCAATTTTAAATCGTTCTAGAAATAAGAAGAAATATTCGATCGAGGTCTTGTCGTTCTCTGCGCCTTCTGTTTGGAATGCACTTCCATTCGAACTTAGATCTTGTAATTCCCTTTCTTCTTTTAAATCTAAGCTCAAGACGTGGCTTTTTAAAATTGGTTATGATGTTGTATAGAATGATGATGTTTTTAGAGGATGACAATGTAGTTTTGTAGGTTTAGGATTTTGTTCTTATTTTTATTATGTAAAGCGCTTTTGGACCATTGGGAATTTTTATAGAATGACAACATAGTTTTGTAGCTTTAGGATTTTGTTATTTTTATTATGTAAAGCGCTTTTGGACCATTGGGAATAAGCGCTCTATAAACACTGTATATTATATTATTGTCGTTCTGCACAGAGCGTTTATCGTTTGGGCGTTCGATCTGAAACTTCAACATGTCAGTTTCGAATAAATTACATCTTTCAGCAATGTTTACTTTGGATTTAGTCAAAACAATTAAACCTGTTTCATTATGGACATTCTCAAGAAAGTAACGTTAAGTCAATATAGAAATTTTTTCTCAGTGCAAGGAGAGCAAAATCATTTTTCTGCAAGCAACCTTCGGCAAATTTAGTAGATCTTTCTAATTCTAGTTTCAGTTAAGGTCGAATATTTGCGTTCTTAAATATTTCACACGATTTCCTAGCAATAAACATTATAACATCGACAGGTGATCTTACAAAAGGTACGAGAAGAAAAGACGTATTTTAAGAGATAAAGGTAAACAAAGATGATTGAAGGACGGCAAACGAAGGATTATAAAAAAAAATAGTACTCACATAAAAAATGGCGGAAGAATAAGGAATACAGCGTTGCTGACCTGAATTGAAAATATATATCTCAGTTAACATCGTATTTGCTTGGTATGGTATTCAGAGAAGCGACGTTAGGATCGCTTTCAAACAATTAAGAACCTACATCTCTTTCAATTGTAAACTCAAAGTCGCCTATTTGCCTTACCGTGTTATAAAATTCAGCGATGAAGGTAACATGGGCATAATTTGATTCACACCAATCCACATCCGAACTACCTCGTGCGAAATGCGCCAGCATCTTGCTTTGTAATAGAATGCCGGATTTGCTGTCTATGAATTTCGTAGAAAAATTTTGCGCTAACCATGTGCGTTGTTTCCTTGCGACTTAAACAAAACAAAACTGGCGGGCCGGCTGAAATATTCCGGGCGAGGCTACAAAGCTTTCCGATTTCGAACAGGTGGCTGTTCTTGCAGTGGTGGGGTGGGCGAAAAACGCACATTTTTCCTCAAGCGCCTTGCTCAGGAAAATTGTGATGTTAACTTGCGCTTTTTTGAGAAAAATTTTTAGCTGGCTGGTCTACTCTCGATCACAGTTCTTATGAGTAATTTAATAATTGAATTTGTATCTTTGAATACCTTCAGTTTTAAGGGTTAGATTTTAATATGAAACTCACTTTCAAATTAGTAATTTTAGGAAAAAAATACGATCACATCTTACCCTGGTAGAGTCTGAATGATGATCCTGTAGGAAATATCATTTTATTGCGTATTGAGTTATTTGTGGATGGATATGAAGTATACAAAAGGTTATAAACAGTCTATAATCTCTTGAAAATGGGAATTTAGTTTTTTTTTTATATTATAAACATCATCATTATCATTATTATTATTATTATTATTATTATCATCATTATTATCACTATTATTTTTATATTCCATAGATAAATATAGTACCTATTTAAAAAAAAATTTTTAAAAATTTCTAGGCGACACGGGTTGCATTTAATTTCAAATGATCCGACCGAGTCCAATCCCTCTTTATAAAATTTTATAAAATGTTGTGATCTCGTTCTTCATTTGCAATTTGACTATAGGGAGTGTCTCTCTTTGATGAAATGAAATGGAATGAAATATGAAAATTAAGACCATCATTAGCTGTGAAATAATCAGATCAGTGGGCATCCGAGTGCCTCTCTTTCCACGCCAGTGGGGGTTTTAGCACCTCAAAACCACCCCGGCCCGGATCTCAAAGCCCTCTTAGGCACTCTTCAAATGGTTCTCAAAAGACCTTACGTGTCTACACCAGTTCAGTCGCTGACCTGTTAAATGCTGATCTTGTTTCTTTGAATTTCTTATTATTGGTGGGTTTTGGGTATATTTTTGGATTTTCGATCAGCCCTCAGCTGAAGTTGAAACGAAGATTGCGTGACGAAATACTCGTTTTGTGTCGACCTGCGCGGAAATAACTAGCATTTAAAACCGTATTTGTGTTTCCCTCTCAAGACCAAACAGTCTCAAGACTTGAATTAAAATATGTCTCCCAAAGCGATTGTTTCCGCCACATTCCACATTGAATTAATTGGAATTGAAGGAAACGTTGAAGGAACATGGGTGACGCCTTTCCGGTTTGCGTAATCTGCGTGACATGACGTAATGGAGATGCTACATTTGTGTTCCTGTCACGATCAGGTACCACGAGTCAAGCCAACAAACGTATGCCCAAGTGCTTCTTTACTGACATTCCCATTCTGCGAATACGTCAATTTTCTTGAGAAATGTAAAATTAATTATTGCATTTCTGTGCCTGAAAGGAAATTTTGGAATCTGAAAGGATTGATATTTAGCTGAATCGCGCTAAAAGGAAGTGTTATTGATAAATATTCAAAATTCCCTGCTTGTCACATCATAACAAGGCCTGGGCTAATTAATTGGCGTAGAGAATCTCAGTCAGCGTGCGTGATCAGTTTCATTAGTCGAGGTGAAGGAATACTTTTTTACAGTTGAGGTAAGTGTCACAATCACCATATCAATTCAAAGAATGATTGTCATCGCTAAAAGCACAATTATAAACGATACAACGCTTCGCTCGACATGATTTGATCTATATCTGAAGTTTCCGAAAGCTGCGTTGTAGTCAGTATACTATATATACGTATATACATGTACAGCTGATGAAGCAGTTTTTGCGATAGAAGAGGTTTCTAATGGGTATCAGAGTGTAAAATAAGGCCGCATTGCAATATGCAGAAGAACTGAAGACGCCGCTTCAAGCTTTATACCGAAACAATCTAAACTATTAGGACGCGCGCCTAAGACAGCCTAGACCCATCGAGTTTCGCTTTCATCGCTTGGAAAGCTGGAGCATACTATGTGCTTTTTAGAATACATTTAAACCGGCTGTTCATTTTCAGACGATTTCATAGGTTATTATTAACTTCTGTTTGTGAAAGAAGCCAGATGCAGGCGAACATGTTGAGCAAGTCAAAAGTTGTGTTGACCTCACTAAAATGGGTCGTAGCTACGGAACGGACTTATTCTTGTTCCATTGAATTAGAAATCGAAATTGATTCTTATCAGCAAAATTTGAGAAGAAGGCTGAGAAGTTACGTTAGAGCTTTATGCAGCACAGTTACTAACTACTCTTCGCTCGGCTTGGATTGTCGTGTTTGACGGAAGTGATTCCACGTGCGTTTCACGCGCGCCACATTTTCTTTTAAACAATAGAGAACTTTCAACTACTTCTGAAATGATTAGATGCATGAGAAAGACGTATTTCGCCGTTAAATAAAATCCACAGCTTTGACTAAGAAAGGCTACCGCTCAAAAGTCACTGAGAAACTCTTTACGGTGGCCAAACAAAATTATCGTGCAATAACCCCCGCTGACGTAGCATCACAGTTTCTTTAGAAACTTGCTCCCTTTATTTTAACTGCCTCTGCTAAGATTTGACTCTCATTACTCCCTTTATTAATTATTCGAAACTCCGCCACCACAATTTTCGTCGAACGCCAGCTGACAGCCTCTAAGCATATAAACAGTTATGCTTCCGCTTGCCGCTACTTGGGCTTTATGGGAATCAATTTCGCAGGAGTAAGCATTTTTGAAACTCGGTAGACACAATTAATTTCTTCATCCCCAGCATTTTAGCATAATGTCTTCTAAATATTCATTTCAGATAAGGAACCTTTTCAGTGCTCGCATCTCCCAACTTTGCCAATTTGCAAAACAGCTGAACAATCAGCCTGCATTAGATCAAAGCCTGTCAGGATGACGTCAAAATATTTCTGGATTTTGGTGGTTTTAAGTATGCTTGCCAACCAAACAGAAGGATGGAGGAGACGACGAAGACGGAGGTGCCCAAGAATAAACTGTGCCGTCACTACTTTCAAGCAGTGGAGTTCATGTAGCCTGCCATGTGGTAACGGAGGGACACAAACTCGTACACGCACTGTATCAAGGTATCCTTCATGCGGTGGGTCCTCGTGTCCTCCGTTGATAGAAACACGAGCTTGTAATAGAGGATGTTCTAATGGAGGTACACCTCTAATTGGCCGATGTCTTTGTAAGAGCGGATATGGCGGACAATGCTGTACTAGAGGTAGAAAAAACTTAGTAATTTATGAAGAATCTAAGGGACTGATTTCTTCTTTGATCTTTTCGGTCGCCTCTTGCTCGGTTAGTTTTTTTCCTTTGTGCGTGCCTTACTTCAGCTTCTGCACAATAAAACACACAGAGATTTAATGAAGAGGTTAACCGTGCCTTATAAGGAAGAGATTTCGATCCCAAAATATTTTCCTCCCTCGAGAAACTAGAGGACAGGGATTAAAGAGTTCCTTGGTATCTTCCGCTTTCCTCCTTTGCACTACTTGCACTTCTTATCATAATGCAATTACCTTAAACACTAATAAATTATACTAATCAATCATAACTTCTGCCCTTCAGTTAACGGAGGTTATTCCACTTGGAGTAAATGGAGCGCATGCACCGCTCTCTGTGGAACTGGTAAACAGTTGCGCACACGAACCTGCACAAATCCGTCTCCAAAAAATGGCGGCAAAACTTGCTCTGGCTCATCGCAGCAAGAGCGACCCTGTGTTCTACGCCCCTGTCCAGGTGAGGAAACAAAGATAGATTTATAGTTCTGATTTTTTCCCCCTCGTTGTTGAAATATTCTTGTAAGCTAGACACCGGAGAGGTGAGTAGACTTCACTTTTACCTGAAGCTTAAAAGCGTCAGAGACGAAAAGCAGAAGTTCAAATGTCTTGAGTTTCTTTTTAGTAGAGGCCCTCTAGTGTTTTCATTGAATTTTTAGAGATTTTGGCAATCGGATATGGTATATTTTGGTTTTCTACAAACGCCTGATACCTCTTTTTGTACAGTCTAGAAATTGGTACGGAAAAGAATGCTCCGTCACGCAATTTTTTTTCCTCCCAGTAGCTTTTGCATTTTTCAGGTTGTGTCCTACGTTGTGCTTCTCTCACACATAACATACAAATTTATCATTTCTTCCTCTTGCAATTTAGTGCATGGCGGTTGGTCAAAATGGAGTGGATGGACCTCATGCTCTCAAACCTGTGGAACCGGTTTTCAAGTACGTTCTCGAAGCTGCACAAATCCAAAACCACAACATGGCGGGAGACTTTGCACTGGCCTTAAGAGTGAAAAGAGGATTTGCAATAGGCAAAGATGCCCTGGTAAAAAAATAAATGTAGCTTCACTGAGTAGAAACACTGTTTCATTCTTTCATGAAAGGTCTTATTCATGATTTTTATCTCTTTTTGTACAGTCTAGAAATTGGTAGAGAAAAGAATCCCCCTTCACACAATTTTTTTTCCTCCCCGTAGCTTTTGTATTTTTCAGGTTGTGTCTTACGTTGTGCTTCTCTCACATATAATATAATAACATACAAATTTATCATTTCCTCCTCTTGCAATTTAGTGCATGGCGGTTGGTCAAAATGGAGTGGATGGACTTCATGTTCTCAAACCTGTGGAACCGGTTCTCAAGAGCGTTCTCGAAGCTGCACTAATCCAAAACCAAAATATGGCGGGAGACTTTGCACTGGCGTAAAGAATAATAAGAGGATTTGCAATAGGCAAAGATGCCCTGGTAAAAATAAATGTAGCTTCACTGAGTGGAAACATTGTGTTATTCTTTCATGAAAGGTCTCGTTCATGATTTAGATGGGATTTCTTTAAGACAGCCTGTTCCCGGAATGCTTTGACGATCAGACACGATGATCGTTTTGACTCTCAAAAGGCATTTTTGTGTTGTTTATGCCTTCTTTGATTTGTGTCTTTTCTTTGTTATTTGATCTGCTTGTTTTTTTTTGTTCATTTGTTTTGTTTGCTTGTTTTTAAACTTTTTTTTGGCCGTATTTACTCGTGGATATCCGAAGCAAAGGAACGAATAATGTGCACGTAATAATACGATGTAATAATATGTCCCTATCGCTGACGTTCTACTTCCATTTGCTACAACTCAGTTAACGGTGGTTGGTCAAGTTGGAGTGGTTGGACCTCTTGCACCAAACCCTGTGGAATTGGTTCCCAAGAACGCGCCAGAAGCTGCACAAATCCTCGTCCACAACATGGTGGCAAATCCTGCTCAGGGCCCGCCAAGCTGGAACGATCGTGTAACCAACAGCCTTGCCCCGGTAAGAAGCGAAGATTGCTGATCTTAGATATGTATGTCACTCTTCATGATTAGCCTATGGAACTCGCCTTTATCCTTACACCTACGAAATGCAAACCTGAAGCCAACCTAGACTTGGTCACCCTCGTTTCCTCATCCTCGAGGCTGTCTCAGGATTCTTTGGTTCTAAACAGAAGTTGTGTGACATGACACTTACGTATTCGCGTTAGGTTAAAAGTGAAATGGGAGACGTGATGATTGAAGCTATAGGTTTTTAGGAAAGAGTGTACTAAGTTTGTGACGTGGTGAATGTCGACGATAAACAATAAAAACAAGGATTTGACGACTGAGAGGAGAGTGTACCCACAAGTTCGGTACAGCTCCTTGAGATATTTTCCATTTTTTCTGATTCACCATCGTGAATACTGTAGTTTTGATTGAATCAATTTGGGAACATTTTGTTGATGTTCAATTTCCTCTTGTTGCAACTTAGTACACGGTGGTTGGTCAAGATGGAGCGGGTGGACTTCATGCACCAAATCCTGTGGAACTGGTTCCCAAGAACGTTTTCGAGGATGCACTAATCCTCGACCAAAACATGGTGGTAGACTTTGCACAGGCCAAACACGTGACAAAAGGAATTGTAACAAGAAACAGTGCCCTGGTAAAATTCAGATGTGACTGCACCAAGTGGAAAAACTTTGTTACTCTTTCATGCAATGTCCTCGTCATGGGAAAGATGGGCTTTCCTTTAAAGCGGCCTTTCCGGAAAAAGTTTATGAATGTATACGGGAATCGGTTAACCCAAATTTATTTCATTGTTTATTGTTGTTTTTGTTCAGTTTAGTTCGTTCTGTTTCTTTTCTTTGTTTTGTTTGGTTTTTATCTCATTTTTTTGCTTACTTCTTCGGACGTGTTGTTTTTATTCTGATATTATCTGTTGTTTGATTGGCGTTTAAGTTGATTGGACATGTTAAGTGACTAAAACTCGATTGATCAATAATTTCATCCTCCTCGGCAAATAAAGTATTTGAAAGCAATTCAGTTTTTAAGTATTTTCCACTGTTCCCCGCCCACCCATTATAAGAGAAATGAACTTTCCGCATGGTCGCACACATTTTTGTCTATACCCTTGGATTCCTTAATGTCTTTTGATTCGCAATTGTCTGCAGTCTCATCCAAAAGTCCCTAAATGCTAAATTTCCATTTGTTACATTTCAGTTAACGGTGGCTGGTCAAGTTGGAGTGGCTGGACTTCATGCACCAATTCATGTGGAAAAGGTTCTCAAGAACGCATCAGAAGCTGTACAAATCCTCGCCCACAACATGGTGGCAATTCTTGCTCAGGGTCCGCCAAGCTGGTACGATCGTGCAATCAGCAGCCCTGTCCCGGTAAGAAGGAAACATTGCTGTATGTCTTCTAAAAGTTTAAAAATCCAGTAACAGTGCTGGAGTTCTAAGCTCAAAGGGATTACAAATAAACAGCATCAAACTTAAACAGAACAAACAATAAACAAGAAGAATTGTTATGTACCTACACTTTCACTCAACAAAACGAGCTTTATGATTAGTTGATTCTTGGTCACGTGCTCCTGTTCAAATTCAAATTCATCCCGACCGGGATACAATTCCGCAGTTGTTACCCGCGCGCCGAATACTACAGAATGTTTTTGCCATGCGATTGTTTAAGGGAGAGTCTAAATATATAACAAAGCACTTAATGTATGGTCCCTCAGGAACCAGTTAGTTTTGCTTTTCCTCGAATTCTGTTGTTTCCCGAGACGAAGTTTATATTAGTGATAAGTGTATATTATTAAATAGAGAAGAAAAGGTTAAAAGAAAATCCATTCTACCTGTTTGTTTTTAATCTTAATCTATAATTCGTCACGTCTTTCTTTTCCCTTGTAGTGGATGGAGGATGGTCAGGCTGGGGTGTATGGTCAGACTGCAGCCATCCCTGTGATGTTGGAGAACAGAGGCGATCACGAACGTGCACGGCACCGTCCCCTTTATATGGAGGAAAATCCTGTCCAGGAGCAAGGAATGAGCAGCGGGTGTGCAACACGCATCCATGCCCAGGTAAATAAGGGTGATGTCATAGTTCTTCTCTTTCAGGAGTAATTTTTAATAATAAGTCACAACTTTAGGTGTACTACATACTTACCTCATAGATGAACATCCTTTAAACACACTTCACTAAAAAATTTCACTCCGTACATGTTGCTTATTTTCCAGTCAACGGAGGGTGGTCCAGCTGGTCTATGTCAATGCCATGCAGTGTGACTTGTGGCAATGGAGTAGAAATCGTTTCACGATCTTGCACACATCCTACGCCTAAACATGGGGGAAAGCCTTGCTCTGGAGAAGCAAAGAAGAAGCAGCCTTGCTCGAGAATTTCTTGTCCAGGTAAGGAAAATGTTATTGCTCTTTGATAGATTGTGTTATGCTGTTAGGTTTATCAAGTTAGGTTTAGAATAGGCTATGAAGAAAAGTGATAGGTCATAGGCAACAGGTAATTTTCTGTGTTTCCAAAAACCATTTGATTTAGCTCCCCAACTGTATCCTCATTTTATATTCTATGCTGCACTATTCATGTAGCGTGAATAGCCTGACCTGTGTCGATAACGTACATTCTACGTATCCAGTGCCAAAATGACGAGAAGGAATATATCAGCTGGTTTTGCTTAATCGTGTTAGTTTTTAGGAAGTCTTATTTTTTTCACAGTCAACGGTGGTTGGTCTGTTTGGTCTATGTCAGTGCCATGTAGTGTAAGTTGTGGCAATGGAACAAAGATTCTTTCTCGCACTTGTACAAATCCTGAGCCTAAACATGGTGGAACGCCATGTACAGGAAACACACTGAAGATACAGGCATGTGTGAGACATCCTTGTGCAGGTGGGTGTGTCGCTGTTTAGATCAATCTGATTTCATCTTTCACTTCAAGTGTTTTTTGCGAAGGTAACCATTCACGTTAGACATTCTTTCTTATACAAAGAAAACTGGACACCGTTTAGGAGAAACACATTTTAGGAGTTTGCGGTTTGATGTTTTAACTTTCTTAGAACACAACACTATTTGTGACTATGCTGTATCGTTAATTCGTTAATCTTTACAGTTGACGGTGGTTGGTCAGTTTGGAGTGAATGGAATTCCTGTAGTAAATCTTGCGGAACAGGTTTACAAGAACGGTCTCGGAACTGTACGCAGCCAGAGCCCATGCATAACGGAAAGCCTTGTGAGGGGGAACCGTGGGAAAACCGCCAGTGCAATGCGCATGCGTGTCCTGGTATGTAAATTGGAGACATCTCGTCCATTCCAATTGTCTTTGTCTGCCTTTTCCTTTCGTAGAAGCAGGCCAGAAGTTAACAGCTGCTAAATTAAAGCCTGCATCATTTTAGGTCTGAAATTGTAAACTTCATACTGATGAAAGCTCAGAGCAGCGACGCAAATACATAACAGCGCTGCAGAATAAGCGATATAAAGCAAATCCCTATAGTATGAGCGTTACGCCGTAAGCACCTTTGTTACCAGCATTAGACAAACCTATGATTGTTGTAATGTTAGTGGATGGCGGTTGGAGCAGCTGGAGCTTGTGGTCTCGGTGTGATAGAGTCTGTGGCGGAGGCAAGAGACAACGTCTTCGTTCCTGCACAAACCCATCGCCCTCCTCTGGTGGAAAAGGCTGTGGTTCTCACTACTATGAGTCCAAGGAATGTGCTGTAAATAAATGCCCAGGTCTGTCTGTCTTTGCTTTTCGTCCATTTGCTGTTAGTCCTTGGTCGTCTGTCTGCCTGTCTATATCTCCGTCCTTCTTTCTGTTCGTCTGTCTGCCCATTTATCTGTTTTTCTGACTGTTTGTCGGACAGAAGGACAGACTTTCTGTTCATTTAGCGGTCTTTTTGATTGTCTGTCTATCTTTTGTATTCATCTGGCGGTCTGTTTTTCTAACTCTGTTTCTGCCTGTCAGTCTGTCTGTCTGTCTGTCTATTAGTCTGTCTGTCTGTCCGCCTGCGCGTCTGTCTGTGCGTGCGTCAGGATTTCAGTTTATCTGGCGTATGTTTGTCCAGCTATTTTTTTTTTCTGTTTGTCCGAATATTTGTTTTCTTCTGTTTGTCCGTTTGTTTGACTGTTTGGCTCTCTGTCAGTGCTTTTGCTTTGTCTCTGTCTGCCACTCAAGTTTTATCGGTTTCGTGTGCCCTTTTTACGTCTTGTGGAGTGATGTGTTGTCTATCTGTCTGTCTGTCATGTCCATCAGTTTTCTATTTGCTTGTTATCTCTCTGAAGGTTGTTACAGTCTATTTGCCGATACTTTTCTGTTCTTTCCTTTTATATCTGTTACATACCTGTCTACCCACAATCATCATAGCTACTTATATGAAGTAACTGACGAAGCTTGACAATGTAACAAAGTTTGTAACGGTTAGTCCAAAACTAACGCACCTCACATAGAGGCTTTATAGACTGGATCTTTTTGTACGTTGCTTGAAAATTGGGCTAATACTAAAAGCTAAAATGGCGTATTTCGATCTGTTCAATTAATAGTTGACGGTGGTTGGTCAAACTGGAGTGCATGGACATTTTGCAGCCAGTCTTGTGGAACTGGTGTTAAGGAGCGCTCCAGAAACTGCACGCAGCCAGTTCCAAGTCATGGCGGGAAAAAATGCCAAGGAAAAGCACAGGAAAAGTATGAATGTAACACGCATTCCTGCCCGGGTGAGTACTTCATCTAAGATTAGGTTCGACTCAGAATACGTGTTATATGAAAATTTTGCGACCAATTGAATTAGTGGATTTTGCGGATTGTCTGCTATCCCCGTGACAAGAACGGTGACCAGATGGGAGAGACTAGTGCGAGAGGTCTGGGTTCGAGGCATGGCTGTGTCGTATGTTCTTGGAAAAAACACTAAACTCACAGTGCATCTCTCTACTCAGGAGCACAATATGGATACCTGCATACAGTGCGAGAAGCCTGACGAATTCCGGGGGGGGGGGACTTGCGATGACTACTCGTTTATATGTGTGTTCGAGGATTCCATATTAGACAGTCATACTTTTACTTTGATCTTTTATTAATAAGACAAAGTTTATTTACATGTAATCGTCATGAAACTCGAAACTATTGTCCAAATTTTAAAATTGCTTTAGTGTTCCAGTGTGATAAGTGTTATTATTAGTTTTTGTGTTATTCATCGCAGTGCACGGTGCTTGGAGCGTTTGGAGTTCTTGGTCAGCCTGTGGCAAAACCTGTGGAGGAGGCGTCAGAGAACGCACTCGTTCTTGCACAAACCCACCGCCCTATTTCGGTGGGAAAGGCTGTGGTGCTCAGAACCATGAAACAAAGGAATGTGCCATAAGCAAATGCCCAGGTTAACAATTTAAATTGGTTTTTTTCTTTCAAGTTAGTGAGACCAGTCTTGTAGCACCATTCTTTCCACGTGTTATTACTACTTTTTCAATGAGGGGCTTGGCCTTTGTTTTTTATTTTCTCGTTTTTGTTGTAACTATTTACTCACGTTTTTTTTCCTTTTTCGTTTTGCAGTTCATGGCGGTTGGTCCAAGTGGAGCAACTGGACTGAGTGTAGCGTGACATGCGGTTCTGGTGTGGTGACACGCGATCGCCATTGTAACAATCCCGAACCAGCCGCCGGTGGCAAACATTGTAATGGAACTAATAAAGAGAGCAAGTCGTGTAGGGCTGAAGGACAATGCATAGGTAAGAGTCAACTTATTACTGGGAGAAAGGAACTCAAAACCTGACAATAAACAAAGAGAGTAGTTTCCTTTGCATGTGTCGTTCAGTCTTGTCATGCAACGCGCTTTCGCGGTAGAGTGTTGCTTGACAGACGAAATCGGCCGCGATAAGAAGAGGGTCCTTAGCAGAGGAGAAAAGTGACAGGTTAGAGAGAGAGGGTTTCTAAGTTTTCCGCACGAAGCACTGGTTTAAATTTATGGTAACTATTCTTTTACTGTATGTTTTGTGTGATGGTTGACGAAATATCCGAAAATTCCTTTGACTTTAACTCTTTTTTTTAATTTCCGTATTGTTTTTCAGTCGAGGTCGGCTGTCATGAGAGCTTTTCTTCCGACAAACTTGCAAGCTTTAATGATGAGATTGACTGGTCCTCTCACATCTCTTCACAATTGCGAAAGATTGTAGCAAAATGTGCTAATTTAGCAGTGGAGAAGAAATACAGGTTCTTCGCAGTTGAGGACTTTGGAAACTGCCAAGGAAGGCATGTCTTCGTTAGTCGATCCAAGGCATCCAGGTGTAATCATGGCGTCGGTTTGAAGGGATATTACTATGTCTATGAAGTCTCTTTGTGAACCTTAGAACGATATCAGCTGACAAACTGCGATCGCTTGGATTGGTCACTTATCAGGGTCTATCAGCGATTGCAGACGAACGCGGCTTTAGAAGGTGGTTCGATGTAATCGCTAAAAAAAGTTCTCTGATTTCTGCTTCCTTTTCATCAGCGACATTTGTAGAACGTGTCAGCTTGTTTGTGCGCGATCCCTTGGGCGGTTCACTCACTTGAAAAATCGGTGATGTAGGTAATCACAGGCTTGTAAAAAGTGGTGATATCTTCGAAATCACAGATCAGTGTTTTTCGTACGAATTACGATTTTTTGGGGGGGAGGGGGAAACGATCCCGTCGATCGAAACTATAATCTAAAAGATTCAGCGTCAAGTCATGACGCGTGCCTAAAATGGAAATTTCAGCATCACACATGAAGATAGCTACACACATCTCTTCAGCCGCCTCGTATTTTTTTTTTCCATCGTCTTTTTTTGTTTTGTTTTGGTCGGTTTTATTATTGCTTTCAAATAGTCAAACTGTGAATTCATTCTAAGACGTTTTTAACCATTGAATTATTCTTCTCTCCGGGTGGTTATGCAGCCATACCGTGACTCTGATCAATTCAAAGGGACCAGGAGAATTCCAACGCTTTTGGCTTCCTGAGAAATACAAGAATTGGTTGTTAAGTAAGAACCACTGACTAAGTCAAACAGGAAAATTTAGAGAGTCACGTTGGACTATCGAGAAAAGAGGAAGCTAAGATATTGACAGATGACACTTGAGCTGTAACCTTCTGGTTGTAACGTGACTTTAAGCTATAACGTATTATTTTAAAAAAAGGCTGGTATTATTTATGGTGACGTGTCAGTCACGGGGCTTAGCAAATGATTACTTCTTGTTTACTTGTGCATGTTATCAAACCGATACAATAAAGGTACTCTATAAATTTGTTTGTAGTCGCCACGTAAATTATTAGTAACAACAGACGCTTCAGTTAAGACTGGAAAACGACCCGGTGTTTTAGTCTTCTGTTGTCTTGATAAAACCTTAAAAAAGCACTCTTCCCTCCGCAATCGGTAAGCTTTCACTTCCAACACGGCCAAAGAAAGTTATGGAATTTGGACTTTGCCAAAGGAATTTTTTCGTCCTGGATGTCTTAAGATTGTTCAACTGTCCCAACTCTATCAGATAATTTCAGTACAGACTTTTTTTCATTTAATGAAGTTTGCATCTTCTGCGGGGTTCAAGGGTCGTCAAAATTTTATAATTAAAGAGGCTTATAAATTTTGAAGGATGTAACGTGAACACACTTTTCAAATCCGAGGTGAGTGGGAACTCCAGAAGCGTAAGAAGCTTAGCATCATCATTAAAACTCTCGAAGTTCCAACGCTTCCAATGTTCGGAATTGATTCTGACCTCAGAACGGTAAGGAGATAAATAAAAACATTGAATGACCTAGTCGAGAAGGAATCAATGCTGAAGGAAGTTTTCCCAACACACGTTATTTCCTCTTCCTCAGTGGTTGATTCGATCTATATTAAGTAGAGCCAGTTCACGCATATTTCAGTTTATCTTGGTCAAGAAGTGCTGCAAAGACTGAACATTTTTGTAAGACCGTATTTTCTAAAAACGAGTCACAACCTGGAAATATATAAGGAATAATCTAGTTCAGGTAAGCATAATAATGTGACAATGCATATTAAATTTGATTTTTTTACATAGAAAACGTGTGAAAAATCAGTGACACGTACTTTGAAGTTTACTATCCGGTGATTTCAAACTTTTTAGCTCTCACAGTTCAAAGTTTTTATTTTCATTTATTTTGATTTCAAGTACTTTTAAGGCCCGTTTCTTATGCAACTGTTCACTCAGATCTGTCTGAAACATGCGTGGAGAATGGGGACGAAAACAATGCGAAACATGCGCAACTGTATAGAAGGAGGCTTTTACTTAAAAGGATAGTATGCAAACGCAACTTTTGCTAAGGGCTAGGGCTGCTTATCTTTGGTTGATCTAGACTCCCGACTCTTTTGTCCGAAGGGAATCTAGCATCTTTCCTCTCTCTCTATCAGTCACTAAGAACTAGTCTCGAAAATGTTTTTGGGTTTTTCACTGGCACTGAGATCAGCTTTCCACTATTTTTACTTGTATATTTCAGGCCCATGCTATCGCGTTGGTGATAATTTCCGCACTCTTTCTCGCCAACAGACTTTCACGAAGGCCTTTGAGAAAATGATACGAATGTCACTTTTATCCTTTACTGTGCTCTGCTTTGCGTCGATGGTAATTCAGGCAGATGGATGCCTGTTCAGCTCGGGCTGCAGTAAAAGGGACTGTATTGTAAGTTCCTGGTCCAAGTGGAGTAATTGTACTCAGCCATGTGGTGAGGGGGGAACACAATGGCGCACACGCCGGGTGACTAAAGGAGCCCGATGTGGTGGGTCGTGTTCGTACTTGCTCGCAGATATCCGGTCATGTAACGATGTATGTCCTAACGGTGGGACTCCAGTTTTTGGTAAATGCCATTGTAAACCAGGCTATAGTGGAAAGTGCTGCACTGGAGGTAATTACAGTTGTGCTTATCGATGACTGTCTAACTGCTTGATTGCTTGACTCAAGTAACGACTGACGTAGTGATTCTACCGTCTTATTTCTTCTTTAGTTGATGGAGGTTGGTCAAATTGGAGCAACTGGACAGCTTGTTCGAAAACCTGTGAAGTTGGGATCAAATCACGAACGCGGAAGTGCTCCGAACCGGTGCCGCAAAACGGCGGGAAATCATGTCAGGGGTTAGCGAGAGAAAAAAAGAAGTGCGGTGACAAGCAGCCATGCCACAGTAAGAAAAATCACCTGTAGTATCACAGTAATGTTAATGTATGAAATAAATATAACAATTGACAACGAGAAAAAGAGCACAGTTACTGGCGGCTTTACTTTGAAAATTTTTGTTTACCGCAGACCAAAACTTCACAACAAGCACAAATTTTGCGTTTTTTTTACAAATGCCGTAATCTGATTGGCTGCGTAACTTGCTATCAAGAGAAAATAATGACCCCATTATTTTCTCTTGTCGCTGTCTATTTCGCGATAGATAGCTTCGCCGTTATTTAAATCCTTGAAGGATCGAAAGCTGAATACGAGAAATCTAGGTAACTTGATCATGAAAAGCGAAGTCAAAAGTGAGAACCTTTTCTCTTTTATTACAGTTGACGAAGGTTGGTCGGATTGGAGTGAATGGACTCCCTGCAGCGAAGAATGTGGCAAAGGGATTCAAGAGCGTGCTCGTAACTGCACCCGACCGGAGCCTAATTTTGGCGGGAAACCTTGCGAAGGACAGGCTGAGGAAATTCGAGAGTGCAACAACAACTGTGAAAAAGACATATTCGGCCGTTTTTTATAAAATCGTACAGTGCTACCTTTGAGTTCTGTCCTGTTTGTTTTAGCCTGTGTCAATTCTTGAGCATAGTTAAGCAAATTTTGGCTTAGTTTATTAGAGCGCTTTCGAATTTTTATGTCTCGTCAGGAGATAATGAGCTTTTTGTCTCGTTAAAACTAAAGTAATTGCAAGAAAAAGCTGATGTGAACCCAGAGTAAGGAAAGGCTAACTTAATGAAAAATATCTTTGGTTCAGAGGGCATCGCTAGATTTCATAATATAATTTTGTGCTGTACCACTCAAGTTGTCTCTCTATTTTGCAAAATTTGGGGGCCTCACTCAGGGATTTGCAATTTATTTACTTACTTTTTCTGTTATTCACGGAATATGTTTTAGCGTCCTTTCCAACAGTATTCTGGCTTTATGACCGGTGCTGAGACATGCAACAAGACATTAATTTTATGAAGATTACAGGGGCTAAACTACTTCAGCAAACGGCGTTAATAAGACTTTAAAAGGCTACATCGTCGGCTAGAGTAACATAGATAATTATTATGCCAAATAAACTACTGCGCGAGCTAAAACTCCTTTCTGGTATTTTTCTTGTTTGTTTTGTTTCAAAATCTCGCCAAAACTAACGAAAGGATTGGGGCGAAAGGGTTTTCTTTGTAAGGTGTCGCGCCCATTTGACGAAAGGAGCGAGCGATAAATAAGGGGGAGGGGGGAGGGGGAGCGAGAAAATGTGGGTGACTCCTACGGTCTCAGAGGCCCGTACATCCTCGCTCGTTATTCTAAATGACAGAGAGCAAAAATCTTCGCCTAGCTTCTGTTCAATCCTTAGTGAACCTTTTTCTGCACTTATACCATCATCTGCAAAGAAGGTATCGATCTTTGTTCAACTGTAAACGCATTTGACCGAGGGAGACTGAGCGCAAAAAACGGTTGTAAGGAATGGGTACGAGACATCCGTAGCAACATGGCGCCGAAGATGAAAGTTGATCACAATTTTCGTTGTCGTGAAGCAGAAAATTGAGATAAGTGGCTCGGGAGTAAACTCATGGCGAGGGCTGGAGGTAATGCTATGGCCTTTTTAGAACCTGAGGTCGGCAAGAAGCGTTCGCAGAAGCTTTATAATGTCGCGCATCTGTCTTATTTGGCTATCGCAGGACAGTGTTTATTGTAAATGAATTCGGAAAGCTAGCACTAGCGGCGATCAAGGCTTTAAATCTAGACATTCCTCGCCAGATATCTTCCTCTCTTTTCCTTCTGGAGAGCTGTGGGTCTGGTTTGTGATATTAGCCAGTAAACTTATGTAACCCACCAAACTAAAATTTCAACAACTAAACCACTGTTAAGGCAACGACCAAGAGCTGCTCGAGTACCGTTTGATCGTGGCTTCAGGTCTTGGACTTAAAATGCTCAAATTAAAAATTGATTATCCGCGATAACAATAAATGTAATATCATGAAACGAGCTGTTACAAACCCAACAAAAACAAACACATGGTCTCTTTGTTGGGTTTGGTCTCAGGGTAATTATACAATCATCTGAGTCCATTTTTCCTTTACTTTACTCCAGGCTCAAAGTCTTCAGTCTTAACTTCCCATTTGCTTAAGAGCAGAACTGGTGAATTTGATCTGGAGAGCATCAGTTTCCTGGATCTCAGTGGAATGGGTATGTTCATCTTGATAATTAAATTGAAAATATTTCTGGTGTAGCTCATACATGTGTAGTGTTTTGGTTGCAGCACAGGAGTTCAATCTGAGGAAGAACGGGTAATCTTTCCCTCAAATGTTGCCAGCTTGTTTTACAAGCCATGGCCATCTAGGATAACAAAATGACTCCCACACAACATTTGAAAAGAGTTACTGTAGCTTAGCCTTACAGCATCAATTATGAAGGCTGTAGGAAGGATCAAAGAGGGTGACTCATTTGCACATTTCTTGAAAAATTAATTTCAAATTACTTATTCTGATTGTTATGTTCCAACAAGGGTTACAGGACATCAGCTGTATTGGTGACTGTATGGGACTTCTGCATCTGGACATTTCTGATAACAGCCTCTCTGACCTGAGTCATTTGAGTGGGTAACACTACTAGCTATTTTTTGTGGCATTCCTTGAAAAAATTTTAAAAAAAATACTTTTTCATGACTTAATGTTATGTGCTTGCATGTAATGTTTCTTATGAGATATTTTAATTTTCAATTCTAAATCACTCAAAGATCTAATTGTGAGTGCTATCAATCTTTACTCTTTTTCATTTCCTAAGAGTGAATGGCATCTAACCTCTCCACACAATATCACACTTGATTCAAATGTGCATGTAATGGTCATAAGAATAATTTGGAAATGATAGCCAATTTGAGAAGCTCCTGATTGTAAAAGTTATTCTCCTTGTCAGTGCTCGAGAAAATGTGGAGAGAGCAGTAAAGAGAATGTGAATATCAATGTCAGAGTGTAAAGGGTTAAAGTAAAAATCAGTCAGTAAAGAAGTTATCTCAGCACCAACCAAAATAAAGGAACATATGGTGAAAGTTTGACTAAATGTGTGGAAGTGATTTTCATCAAAAGTGACAAAAATAGCAAAGTTGCAAATTTTATATAGTCATTGATCTTTTATGTACATGGAATTAAAAAAAAAAAGATTAATGATATTTCTACATTTACCTCTGAGAGGTGATTTTGAAAGCACATCTGTAATGAAACATTTAAAACAAAACAGGTACATGTATAAACCTACTGTATTTTTTTCATATGATTATTCAATACACAGATACATAATATAAATCTGACTTTACTCTTTAGGTGAACTAAAGCTCCTTGAGACATTGAATGTTTCTTGCAACAAACTCTCTTCCCTCGGTAAGTATTAGAATAATTTGATAAGATTTGTGAAAACATTAACCATTTTAAACTGGTGTGAATCAAGTTTGATGTAAAAATTATCAACCAAAGACCCTTCAGATTTTGAAGAAAGATTATATGGTTATTATGATTCACAGTGCAAATTATTCATTTACACATCTGCTTCCATATATGGTTCAATATTTTAGATAAGCATTTTTGTTAATTTGATTCAAATTAAGTTGCAGCCTATCTTGTGATTAGTCACACGAAGTAGATTGTAAGTTTACTTTTTCCTTTGATTGTTTGCAGATGGAATTGAAGAACTTTCAAATATATCTTCTTTGAATTTGTCTGGCAACATGATAACAAGGTTAAGAATTTCAATTCAATTACAACTGTACAGTTTATACACTGTTCAATTACTTTAATTTTACCCACTCAGTTGCATCACTATACCTGTGTGTTTGTCAAACTACATTGCATCTACCGGTATCTAAGCATTCCAGAAGCTTATAACATTATTACAAAGAAGGAGAGGTACTTTGAAAAACATCTTAACCCTTTCACTCCCACAAGTGACCAAGACAAAATTTCTCCTTACAATATCCACACAATATCAAGCAGGTAGGTGATGAGAATAGAGAAGAATATCAATTACAGGATTATTACAGTAGTTGATAAAATTACCAAATTCTCTGAACTAACATCATAAGAATTGTATGGCAGATAGTAAGGAGAATTACTAATTAGATCTTGGGAGTGAAAGGGTTAAGAAACTTTTCATTTGATCTGAACCATTCTCTTAACTAATTTGATTGCATATATTAAGTGATAGCTGTATACATGAAGTATGGCAGTTAAAACAGAAGACTACATACATGTACATCTCTAAGAAAACAAAGTCATTTTCTTGGTAGACCTTATTTATGGTTCTAATATTTTGTTTTAACTTTAGTGCTAAGTTTAGTGAGGTGTTCCTCTGTGTCCTTTCCCTGCTGAGTCTCTCTGTCCAACTCGGCTTGAAGTGAATTTTGAATTGAAGTCCTTTGCAGTTTGATTGTACAGATGAACTTGTTATATTCAGGCAGTTAGAATGCATGAATGTTCAATTTTGAGTTTTTAAACTTAAAAGTAAATAGTTATCTTTCATGCACTCTTCAGGGGGTATGATATTCATAAGTCCCTCTTTGGATTATAGGTTACTTTAATAACTTTTTTCATCTTTGCAGTGTTAACAGTCTTTCATGTTTGACCAAACTGGAACATTTGCGAGTGCTTAGACTTCATGACTCAGTACAAGGATTTTCAAATCCTGGTAAGGGCAGAGTTTGATCAAAATTCAGTAAAATGAACCCCAAAAATGACTGAGATTTATTTTTACTGTCACTGCTCAAGTCAATATGTCCACCTCTTGAGATGGGAAAATGATAACATTGATTGATAGTAAAATTTCTCACAGTAAATCTATATTGAGTTCCCCTGTCAGCACAAGTACTTAGCTGTAAAGCACCTGAAACTTTTCTGTGTTTCACATGTAAATCTGATGGTAGCAAATATTTCAAACTGTGCATTTTACAGGTATATTTGAACCAAAACTAAAACTGTGCCCTCAAATGTAGTTCAATTTTAATAATTGTTACATGGGCATGGTGGAACATATTTTCTGTATTCTATTTTTGCACCCTTTAAAAATGGCTTGCTGTTTTGCATCTTGTTTTGGCTGCGAATGCCACATTTGATCACTATGTTTGCCTCATTTGTTTCAGTTTGTGCCTCTCAAGAGAACTACAAGAAAGTGGTGTGTAAACTTTTACCAAAGCTCAGGACTCTTGATGGTAATTGATTTAAGCTCTTACTTCTTCAATGCTGTGACTTCGTTCTTTATCAAAGGGAAGTAGAAAGAAGAAAGAATCACCTATTGAGGTGCTACTGCTAAAATCCAATTGTTCTCTTTCTTTTACATTTTACTGTAATTCTTCTTGTTAGGGCAAATTTTAATATGCCAGTCTCCTGGCTTCCAAGAATGATAAAAAAGTGTTGCCTAATTTCCTTTTTGTGTTGGTTTGTTCCTCAAGGTGAACGTGTTAGTGGCAAAGGAGCAGACCTGTATGAGATGTGTGATGAACTGGATGCAATTCTCAGAGGTAAAATAATGAACATGTTACCCTGTAAGTACTTGTTTGTCTAAATATGCCTGGCATCTGATGTTAACTTGCATTTTTCTTCAACTACAAACGAATGACGCTTCCCGCTGAAAGGATGAATTAATTGCAATGCTATTTAAATAGTATGAAGATTCTGTTAAATGAGTGAATGAGCTTTCCTCAAATCGTAAAACATTTTATAGTTTTATAGGTTAAATTCATATGTAGTGTTTAAACTTTTTCTGGTCTTTGGCCTCATTCTCTAGTCTAGGAGCAACAACTGAACTTCTTTTCTATTTTTTTTTCATTTTTTTTCATGATTACCATTATTTATCTGGGCTCACACTGAATTCTTGTTCATATTAATTTTGCAGATAACGATTTGCAAACAGAACATGGAGTTGCTCTCAAAACAATACCATGGAATACAGGTGACAACTTTACTTCGCATCCATTCAGTTTTTTGTGAGTCAAAGAGTTATGTGCTTGTACTGTACGACATGCATAAAAAAATTATACCACTCATTAAATGATCCAGTCACCAAATTGTTGCCTTTTTTGTCTCTACATTATCTATGAGAATTCGATTTTCTTTTTGGTGATATTGTTGATCGAAGTTTACCTTGTTTTGAATGTATATTGGTTGTTTATTTGTGTTTTGAAGGTTAATCTGATTAACCTTGTTACTGATTTAAAACTGATGCCAAATCCAATAGATAAACTGCTTTCTCTGCCGAATACTTCAATGCAAGATAAGAGTGTAGAGGAAGCTGAAAAAGGATTTAGTGGTAAGTTTTGTTGTTGACAAGTGTTTGTTGTTTTTTTCGTTTCTGTTGTTTTCTACTGGCCTCTGAATTCTAATATGTAAGTGCAGACTCTGTGTCCATCTTAACCTTAGCACTCTACTTGCAGGAGTTTAAAGGTTTTAAAACATGTAGATGTCAGTTTTCGTTTTCTAGTGAAAAAAGATTTTAGTTCAGAGACATGCACTAAGCGACTCATACGTTACCACTCACTCGTGTAGCAGTACAACACGCGCATTCCATTCGTGAATACAAATATGTGAAAGGTAACAAATCTAATACAAGCCATCTGTTTGTTAAAGTCCAGTCAGACTGCCGGAAAAAAAAATTCCAAAGCAAGTCTTCGGCTCTGAAACTGTTATGAATCTTTTGTGTTTCAGATGTGATGCTCCAGTGTAAGAAGATCAATGAGGATGCGGAGAAGGCCATTCGAAATGCCAAAGAAGCGTTGTGGAACCCCTGACTTCATTTTGTAATTATCGGGTTTGCTGCGGCCTCGGTTTGTGAAAGTAGGCCTAAATTACCGTGCATTGATAGATGTTACTGCTACGATTTGTTTTTGCTTGACAAGGCACGCAGAAACGAGGGTTATTTACTTTTGAAAGAAAGTAAGAGTTGTCCTGGTGTAGTTACTGGAGCGAATTGTACCTTCTACACAGTGTTCAGGTAATGTTCCTGAACGAGAATGGCTTGGACAAAACCTCGTCAGCCAAGTTGTGTTGAAACCGCGTTTGAAATTGGACGTCAAACTTGAATGACGTAAGCTGCATACCAACCAGCGGAAAAAAAGATGACTTTTGGAAAGAGTTTCAAATTCCACCAAAGACACTGGAAAAAATACCCCTTTACACCCAATTATTGTTTTGTTGTTGTTGTTTTTTATAATGCGTTGGCTTGAAGTACTCTGATCTCAGTCACTTCTTAATTTCACGAGATGATAAAAGTTGACAATCGTGAAACTTTCCCTCACATATAGACCCAGAGATGTTAGGTATTCAGTTAACCGATTGAATGTGAGGTTAGTATCTCTATTAATGCATAGAGGACCACATGGTGAAATGAACTATCTATGAACAGATGTTATAAAGCCCGTTGGTCCTAAGCTTCTGTGCAAATTTTTTAACGTCTTGGGCACACGATCTTCAACCAACCACTGAGAAGTTTTGAGGAAATAAACAGCCGAGATTGTCATGGTTAACTTGTTTGGTTATTAATAGCTCTAACACAAAAACGTAGGCGACAAGATGATTAATAGATGAGACTGAAAGGAATAGATCGATAAAAATCATTAAATGAATAGCAAATGTGGAGTTCCTAGATAATCTGATTTATCAGTCAATCACAATGAATTACCTGAGGCAGTCTTAATGACCTGAAAAATCTAAACTCGAGATTTTTCAAATACAATGTTTTCAGACTATTTCAATCACTGTTTCCTTTTTTCTTTCTTCTTTTGCATTTCTCGCCCTTTGGCCTTCGTTTACTTTTTTGAAGTCAGCATTAAGTTTTCCCCCTCGCATTTATTTAGATTCTTTCATAAACCTGTAGTCTTATTAAGGGGAAATGTGTGGTATATCCAGGAAAGGATTTCTTCAATCGGCGCGTTTTCTTTCGTACGCACTTAGGCCAAAGTTGTGCGCGCGCGAGAAGTTTGAAAATGGTGACGTTAAACACAAACGCGCGCGACAGTTATTCATGTGCGCGCGAGCTTATCAACGACTTTTTCCCGTAACAATCGACATTGGATCACATAAAGAGCAATCGGGTTGCTACATTTTGTTTTTCCCTTACATGGATACCCTACCAGGTGAACTTATCGCACAGATATTATCTTACCTTCATCCGATATACGAAGACCTTCCACGGTATTGCACAATTTGTCGAAGGTGGGAGCGCATCATTCAAAACACTGGACTTCTGTGGAGACATATTCACCTTCATGACGACCGAGACGCCCGTCAGGAATTTGAAGATGACTATGCGAGTATATTGTGCCACTGCTTTAAGAAATATGGTCATTTTATTCAATGCATAAGAGCAGAAGATCAGACGTATTTCACTCGTACTGAAGTCAGGAGATTACTCACCTCACTCCCAAACTTGACAAGACTTGACATTCCCGTGCTCTCGTGGAGTAGAGTCTTTGCGCAGTCGTTGAAAAGTGCAGCTGTGTTCAAGTTCTTAACAATCGATGACTACAGGGCGCTTGTTAAAAGACGTTCACACTTCGGCAATCGACGTTTACGCATTCATAAGCGCGGGATTCGAGTGTGGGATTTAAGAGTCCTTGCGCGTCAGTTCAAATCTTTGGAATCATTGACTCTGAATATAAACATTTTTAAGCTCTGTCGACATGGAATCGTTCCTATACTGGATGAGCTCAAGCTGAAGGAACTGCACCTTGAATGCGCTCCTTATGGTATGGAAGAGCTTCCAAGCGAAGAAAGTGTGTCGCTCCCACCAATCAAGGCTTTGATGAACTCTCGCCACTCCCCTACTCTTGTTAGCCTTGATTTACACTACCTACCTATAGGTGTCTCCGACTTAGTGAGTTATTTGGAGAATTTTAAGTTCTTGAAGCAGCTTTTTGTTGCTTTTGCAGACGGAACAAACACTACCTCTTCAAATTCTTTAGTTCTGAAATCGAGCAGTCTTGCAACGCTGTTTTTAACCGGCTTACCAAGTAGAAATATCGATAGTCTAAAATGTGTGCTTCCTAACTTGGAAGTTTTACTTATATCAGAATGCCATTACTTGACTTCTGTTGAGATTCTCGCAACAAACATTTTGACTTTTATTCTGCAAGGAAACTGTCAGCTTTCCAGAGTGAAGGCCCATTGCAAGGGTTTACATGACTTGCTGATGTACGAGTGCCCTGCAATTGAACCAGATTCCTTTAAGGATTTCTTGTCAGAATGCCCAAACATAAGACAAATGGAAGTATCCGTGGACTGGGGCGTTATTGAGCTTGACAGAGAACACTGCAATAGCTTAATACAGCTTACAATTCGTGATGTGGGTATGAGTCTGTCAAAGCTCAAAGTGGATTGTCCAACCCTGGAATACTTCAAATGTTCTGGAGACGTATTCCCCAAAAAACAAAAGAACAGTAAGAGTGTGGCCGGCTGCGACATCGAGATATCGGCCAACTCTCTCAAGAAGGTTCAAATTTTTGACATTGGAAGCGCCAATCGCGTCACTGTGCACTGTATCGAAGCTCATATGATTCAAGTCACGGGCCTACAGCCGTGGCAGAGACCGCTGATTGTGGAACTCAATGCGTCACGTAGAGTGGGGACGGTGTTCTTAACTGGTCTGACCATAGGTTTGGCTATTATTAATTCAACTGATGTGGATTACTTGATTATTGAAAATTGTTCACTAGCGCACAAGAACAAGCAACGAAATATGCGATTTAAGTGCAAAACTATTCGCGGACTAAGCCTGTTGCGTTGTTCTGGCATGAAGAGTTTCAATTTACATGTATCTTGCGTGGAGAACCTTTCCATAGACTCGTGCTCAAATCTTCGCGATTTGGACATAAGTGCGTCGAGGCTTCACTGCATTCGAATTATCGACTGCCCTCACTTGGAGCCCGTTAACGAAATGCTTAAACCGGAATTATACGACGGTAGAATTTCTTCTCTCTGCGTAAGAGATCTAGTCATTAAGAAATGATACAGGGCTTGTAGGTCTCTTCACAGGTTCTCACATAGATTATCAATTAAGATATTTTGAAGTAAAGGCGCAATAAAAATAAACCACCTCGCGATTGCTTAAATTCTCACTGCCTGCAAGCGCGTTTACAGAGGGTCGCGGGGGTATGAGGCGGAATTAAGGCGTCTTGCTGGTTCTTCAGTGTCATAGCGTTACGTCAGTATTTTACGGGTTCATTCAAGTGTTAACAGGCGAGTACATGCACGGATCCTGCAAAGATTCAATGAGGAATATACGGTAGTTCGATTTCACACTAATTCAAGCTGTTCTCTCCGAAAGCTACGCTTGGCAAAAGTATTTTCGCTAATGGTTAACCAATCGGTTATCAGTGAGTATAAGAGTTTTCACTCGTTGTCGCTTTATTCAGTTTTTTTTTCTAATGTACACTTGTCCATTTGCTGCTTTTTAATTTCAACTTGACATTTCTGTGAAAAGTAAGTTGCAAATTTTCTTCAATATAAAAGGAATTTGACTCAGTTTAGCAAAGAAAGGCACATGTATCACGGATGAAATTGTTCGATTACGTTCGCTTTTCAAGGAAGATAACTTTTTCTGCAAGACAAATTGAATCGAAACAAAGCGCGCAACATGACGCGTGAATCAGCTGCAATGTGCGAACGACGAATGCGATTTGCACTTCAGGCGTTACGCAACTATACATGTCAGTGTGCTTCACTTCCACGTGTGCAAGTACTATTTTCATTCCTAACATTTGGGTATCTAATTGATCAGTATCTCTCATTGTATCAATTCACTTAACTTACTTTACACGCGATCAGGGTTTTTAAACTATGAAAAAGCAAGGAAAAAAAATGTAAAATAACCATTCTAAATAGTCTAGCCATCAGTTCATCATGTCGTCATTTTAAACATTATAACAGAAAAAGTCTCCTTGCGCCATATACTCGTCGTTATTTGCCGAAATCAACCTTGTAGGAGGCGATGTACTCTGCGTAACTAGACCTGCTGGATTGCGTGATTCGACTGTCACGTAAACAATGCTTCCTTCAAACAACGCGTTAATGTCATTAAGAGGTAGCGTGACATTTGTCGTGACACCGACGTCTTGGAATGAAAGAACGTCTGTTGCGTTTGGATGACTGCCGACTGCAACGCGAAATCCGCTCAAACCTGATTCTTTGTCGTAAAACCCAAACCAGTGAGCCCGCAGTGTTTGGTTGAATAAATGGCAGCTGGAATGAAGTCCAAAAACGTCATGCGTGCGGTCTGGGCTTACTATTACCGAACCCTGTCAGGGAAAAAACAAAAAAACCAATAGGTTGAACAGACAAAAAAAAAACAACAAACAAACTGAACAAGGTAACATGTTTTGCGGAGAAGGTGCTTGAAAAATCGAAGCCTTCCTAAGGAAAACCGCCTCTCTTCATAATTTAAAGACAATTTTAACTTTCTTATCCAAAACGGTTTTGTTCGTCTTAATTCGACCTAATGATAGAACACTTCTTCATTTTTCGGATGAAGAGCGGTGTAGTTCGTTGTTTTTACAAAAACATAGACCAGAGTTTACTAATCCCGATGAGTACTAGAAATCAAATCACCCGATCCATACTAGAAAGTGTCACCATAATTTCCTTAAATTTACTGCCACATACAGGCCGCGTGTTTTGTTCCCTAAGATATTTGGCTAACCTTAGTTGGTGGAGTGTCATCAACCAAGACTGGTGTAGTAGATGATCTTTCTGTGACAAGTCCAACATTGTTTTCACATCTCACAACGGTGTGGTACCTTTCACCTGCAACTAACGAGAGCCCTGTCGCTGCTATGGTCGTTTTCAAACCATTATTTACAAAGTCGCCAATCAAGTTTGTACTGTTTCTTATAGCGTAACTGCATAATTTTATACCACTTTCCTCGTCCTGGAAGAAGGTGACGTTAGAGACCAGGGTGCAGTTTGTCACACATGATGTGACGTCAGTGGCCGGCAGCACTTTACCGACAGACGGTGGAGTGAAGTCCACCTTTACTTCGTCCGTTGTTGCCAATGTAAACAGGCCTGCGCCGTTCTGAACTCGTATGGTGATGTAATATGTTTCTTGGTGTCTTAAGTCACAGTAATTGCAGGTTAGTTCTGTTTCATTGTTGGTTATTTTGGTCATAGATTTAACTTGGCAGCCATTGGATACTGTTCCTACGCAGAATTCAGTCTTGGATATGCCACTCTCGGAATCTAGTGATTTCCAAGATGCCTTCAGTTCTCCTCCGGGTCCAAGCCACAAGAGGGAACCTCGCGAAACCTAAAGAGAGTAAAAGAGAATATTAAGTGAGACCTTCGTGGACGGGTCATTCCGAAAGGTACAAAGCCTCTGTTTTAAAACGAGGTTGAGTGCGCAGCCATTAATGTGGAGCAATTATTTTAATATCATGCAAAGAGGTCATGCACTTAGCCTCATATTGAAAGTGAAGGTTTCGGAACTCCGAAATGGTTTATTTTAGACGATAAGTTAGCTCAGTCTGGTGTAGAGGATGGAATGACATGCAGTTTCGAAACTAAGATAAGACAATACGAGTTTGAATGTGGGATATCTGTCTCGCCATTGTTCAGTAACTACTAGAATAACCAAGCAATTGCTAAGCGAGGGAGGAGATAAGAGAGATCAGTGAATTAATCGACAAAGCTTCACACTTTACTATTTTTGCAAGTCACGAACAAGGTCATCATCCAGTCACGACAACCTTGCCAGGGCCTATCTTGTCCCATTATTTCACCCACAATTAATCAAATGAATCATACCTCTGTCAACTTGGGTGTTGACGTGTCAACGATAAAGCCGTCAGACCATCCATGTGACGTCATTCCAGCACCATTCGTGGCCTCCACTGTAATGTAGTACCTTTCCCCATGTGTGAGGGTAAGGTTTTCCGCCATCGCTGAAGTAATCATGCCGACATCCTTAAAATCTATGACGTCAACACTGGCAGGAGTGGTTCCAAGGCCCCAGCGGTAACTTACTATGCCACTCTCGTGGTCGCGGAATGGTTCCCATATTGCCGCGACTGTCGTTGTTGAGAATTGAAACTGAATATCAAAATGGAGAGATGATCCGTCGTGAACCAGACCAGAATTGGGTGGAGTAAGGTCAACAATAACACCATCAGAAGACGAAGTGCTACTAAAGCCATCACCATTTGTACAGGTTACTTGACTGATGTAGCGAGCGCCGGGAACAAGACTAAGATTTCCTTCAGTGAAGTTCCCACTGCTGTCCACGGCTTTTCGAAGGACAACTGTGTCATTTCCAAAAGAGGAACTGTTATCTGATGCCGTTTGCTCGATCAGTGCCCAAGAACACCCAGAAATACCGGATTCTTCATCCTTAAAACCTTTCCACTGGATTGTCAAGGTACTAGTTGAATTTGTGAAGTCGATATCCTGGCCAATCCCGTCTATTACAACGCCCAAAGAAGGTGGTTTCATATCAAATATCAGTTTTTCTGACGACATAACAGATGTTAAACCGGCTCTGTTTGCAACAAACACAGTCACATAATATCCTGCACGGATTTGAGGCATGAATGGGCCAATGACACCTGAAGTAGACAAACCTGCAGGTATTGTTTCCGCCACACAAGTGAGGGGTGTTGTTCCCAAACAGAACGCACTGCTTTTTATACCGCTTTCATCATCTTTAGTCTTATTCCAGGAAACATCTATCTCAACGCTTTTTTTTTCTTGGTCCTTGACTATGTGGTGTATGGTGACCTCTGTTATCATGGGTGGAGTGGGGTCTACAGTGAAGCCATTGGACGAGCTTACACTGCTAAGTCCTCTGGCAGTGAAGGCTTTTATGGTATTGTAATACTTTTGACCTGAGTTTAAAACATCGAGGCCTGGTGCGTTGGGTTTCAAGTCTTTCTCAACATGTGCGCTCAGCCCAATGCTAGTGAAACGCGAAATGTCATCTCTACCAGGAGCGGTTCCTATGCCCCACTCATAATCAACAACTGGATCCACAATATCGTCCATGAAAGGATCCCAATTAGCACCAATTCTCTTTGTGCTAGTTAGATAGTCGAGGTCTGTACCTTCCGCTGATCCATCGCTGACCTGTGTTGGAATGGGCCACAGATATTCTACTCGAAAGCCATTGGATCGAACAGTATTTTGCATACCCGCGTTATTCCAACATGTCAGTACATTATGATACGTTACGTTTTTGATGAAGTGAAGATCTGCGTACCTCTGAGAATTCGAAAAGGCTTTCCTTTTTCCATAAGTTGAGCCATTGGTAATGTCAACTTGATGGAGTTTGCTCCCAGCTTCGCCTTCGATTATCCATATGCATGATCGCACCCCACTTTCGCCATCTTCAACGCCAAACCAAGACATAGAAACGTTCCAGTCCTCGAGAACGACATTATAGTCTACTCCTGTTAAATCGTTTCCGTCAATGACATCACCCATAAGCGGCGGACTTACATCCAAAAGTATTCCATCAGAGCTGCGTGTCACAGAAACACCAGCTCCGTTGGTCACATGTACCGTTACATACACTCTCTCCCCCGCATTAGCATGACAGGTCGGACAGGTGAATGACAAGTTGGCTCCAACACTTGTCATTCCTTTTATCTGACAGCCTCGAGGCTTGGTCCCTAAACAGTACTTGCTGTCTACAATGCCACTTTCTGGATCTCTTATGTCTTCCCAGCGTGCTTCGATGGCCATGTCTGGAGAGAAGTAATCGATGTCATCCCCACTTGCGCCATCGTGGATATCACTGTCAACAGCTAATGGAGGAGTTGTGTCTATGACGAGTCCAAGCGACGACACCTTTCTACTTAAACCCGCTTGGTTCGTTGCTATAACTGTCATGTAATAGACGTTTGCATGGGAAAGGCTGAGGTCGTTCTTGGTTACCTGCGTTGCCAGGCGCACGTTCTCAAAGCTGACGATATCGTCTTGGTATGGCCGAGTACCGACGGCAAAACGATAATTCCGGACAGCGCTCTCATATTCGGCAAACGGAGACCATGTGGCTACAATGGATTCTGTGTCTGACTGATATTGGAATGACCGATTGCGTGATACCCCGGCTATAATGGGACCTGTCTGAAAAGGTGGCGTGTTATCTATGGCAAATTCAACGGTTGAAAAAGCAACGAGCCCTGCATTGTTTATGCAAACTACACTGACATTATAACTTTCACCGTGAAGAAGAGCACTCAAAGACAGCGAAACATTACCCGAGGATGCGTTGCTCTTCTCAAGAAAGAGAAGTTGTTCGGCTTTGTCCCTAACGGAGATGTTGCAGTTTTTAATGCCACTTTCCATGTCTTTAAACTCGTCCCACGAAACGACGATGCTGCTGTTGCTGACAAACGTTTTCCTCCCATTTTGACCAGATGACTGTCCAACTTTAACTTCTCCCGGATTCGGTGGTGTGCCATCAAAGACCATTGCATCCGAGCATGATCGCGAGACGAGACCAGCTCGGTTTCGAGACGTTACAGTGACGTAGTATTTTATTCCGGGCGTAAAGATTAGATTCGTCATCGTAGTGTTGGCGAAGTTGGACCGTCCAATGTTAATGAATGGTTGAACTTGAGTTCCACATCTACTTATACCTATGGCCCACTTGTAGTACCAAAGTTCACTTTCGGGCTCGGAGAAGCTCTTCCAGTAAACTGCGATGTCAGATTCAGAAGCCGTGTAGAAAGTATTGTCTTGTTCGTTATATCTCCACTCAGTCTGTGATTGGAAGCCTGGAAGAATTGTACTCGGTACTGGTGGAGTGGCATCTGCAATGACACCATCCGAAACCAATTCCCTGACAGCGCCAGCCTGATTTGTCACTTTTAAATGCACATAGTATTTTGTTCCACTCTGTAAAGTAAGGACTCCTTGACTTCTGACGTGTGTCGAAAGACCAACATCCGTGTAGTCTTGAACACTGGTTTTGTCACTCACAGTTGTACCAATACTCCACTCAAATTTTTCAATTCCGCTTTCCAAGTCCCAGACTCCTTCCCAGTTTGCAGCCATATCTGATAGAGAAGATTGATACTGAAGATCTGGTTCAATGACTCCATCGTGCACCACACCATGGCTTGGAGGGTTAAAATCGATCAGCACTCCGTCAGAGCTCATACAGTCGCGCAGTCCAGCGAAGTTCACAGCGCAAACAGTAAAGTAATATACATCGTCAGCTAGGGAAAGACCGTTAACGGTAGATGAGGTATTTAACCCTGCATTTTGAAACGGAGATACATCAACAGCTCCTCCACGATTTCTGCTAATTCCATACTCATAATACTGGATTCCAGACTCAGGGTCAGCAAAACCATTCCATTCTGCTGACAACGCCGTGGTATTATCCTGATAGTCGATGTCTGAACCTGAACTTCCATCACGCACTTGAGCATTTTGTAAGCTTGGGGGAGTCACATCAACAACGAAGCCATCTGTAGACACTTCTGAGCTAATTAATCCAGCTCTGTTTTCAGCTTTGATTTTGATACAGTACTGTTGACCATTAACTAGTGTGATATTTGTCAGCATAAAGGTAGTGGCTTGTGGAGGGTTAACTTTGAGAAACGTATTTCCCGTTACATGATAGTTACCAGGGATACAGCTACCGACGGCAAAATAGTACTGCTTCACTCCAGTGTGAGGTTCTGGAAATTTTGTCCAGGAACCATGAACATGCTTCACGTCTGCCTGATAGTCGATATCTACTCCTGATGTTGCTCCGTCGTACACATTTCCTTGGGACGGAGGTGTGGCATCGGGTATGATAATGACTGAAGGGGCATCTTTATGCAGTTTAGCACCATTGTATGCTCTGATGATGACTTGATACGCTTTTCCTTGGGTTAGTGCCAGATTTGTAAACGTTGCAGATGTCCGTAGATGAGATCCTGGCATGGTTTTGAAGTCGGAGTTTGATGGTGACGTACCCAAGGGCATAACAGCCCAGTCGTAACGCCTCAAACCGCTGTGAGCATCAGAGAATCCAACCCAGTTAACTGATAATGACGAGACACTTGGCACGTAGACGCACGCAGTTCCATTTAGGAAATCATCCTCACCAGTCACTCTAACTGTACCAGTGAACACAGGATGAGTTGCGTCCACCGTAACGCCATCTGTAGTGACGTCAGTAGTGAGACCAACTGCGTCGATTGCTCTGACAGTCACGAAATACTTCGCATTGTTTCCCAACGTCAGTCCGGTATGTGTGATGTTAGTTGCATTTCCTGTCGACGTCCAAGAAACAACAATGCGTCCACTGCTATCTGTCACTCTGTATTTGTACTCTACGATTCCGCTTCCTTTGTTCCCATCTGAGAAACCATTCCAGTTTGCTGCCATCCAGGTATTGTCGGATTGGTAGTCAATATCAGTAAAATGTCCGTCATTTACAACTCCAGCTTGTGGAGCATCATGGTCTATTAGTACGCAGTCTGATTTGACTTGAGTAAACAGACCAGCCTCGTTGTAACCTCTGACAACCGCACAGTAGCTTTCTTTAGAAACAAGATTGAGGTTGGTCAAAGTGGAAGAGCGGTGTAAAGCTGTCGTCTTAAAGGAAGTGATTAAACCAGCCCCTAGTCTCTGTATTGCCCAGGTATATCGTGAGATAGGTGAATGTGGGTCGGTAAAACGATCCCAGTTCGCGTCGAACGTAGTCGTCCATTTGGCGTACTTGAGATCTACACCAAGTTGATTGCCATCGTAGATCTTGCCAGCTGCAGGAGGGGAAGTATCAACAATCACTCCATCGCTGGTGAGGTCAGAAAACAAACCGGCTTTTGTGAAAGCGCGAACTACGAATGTCACAGTTGATCCGTCTGTGACGCCATTGAAGGTCTTACCTGCGTTAGTATTTAGATTTACGCTAGTAAAACCCATGAGCTCTGTTGTTTGTTTACCGCTAAAAGAAGTTGAGAGAACTTTCCATTCATACTTGGCAACACCATGTCTGGTTTGAACTCCTCCCCAATTTACTTGCAAGAGTTTAGTGGCCTGGTAGCTCAAGTCAGCTCCAGCCCCATCGCGGATCCACCCGCCTTGTGGTTTTGATGTGTCAATTGTGATCTCGCCACTGCAGACCGGTGGCGCATTGCTGTTTCTTATATCAGAAGCTTGTATTTTAACTTTGTATTTGCTGTTATCTTGAAGACTTAGTCCAGTCAGAGTTTGTTGAGAGTTGCCATTCGAAAACGTTCCTTTTACGCCGGACAAGGTATTGCAAGCGGAGGATGCTGGTAGAAGGAACCACCTAAGTGTCAATTGGCCACATAAAACGGAGAAACCGGACATCTTAAGGTAAAGCTTATCTGTAGAGTGCTGAAAGGTGATGATTGTCTTAAATGCCTGGTCCTGAAGCTGTACATTGCCAGTAGTCAGGGTAATGCTGTCTGTTACGCCACCAGGGCATGTTCCAAGGCGTCCGTCACACCTGCGAATAATGATTTCACAAATAAGTACAACTTAGATGTAGTTTTAAGATGTTTTAATAATACGAATCATCCTCATCCTTCGAAGAGTTTTTCCTTAACGTAACTTTACAGCCATAACAGCTTAGAAGTGACCACCAACAGAATATTGTGTTATCTCTCACCTCTCAGGGCGATCGCAGGCGTCCGCAGCCGGGCGGCAGATTGTTCCACTTGGCCTCATGATCGCGCGGCAAGATCCGTTACCAACACACTGAGAGGTTTGGATACAGCTTGTGGCAGGATAAGATGCTTGGCAAGAGTAACCTTGTCCTATGCATCTAGAAAAATACAGAGGCAAAGCACATGTAATTGAGAGGCTTATCAGTGCTTGTCTGGCACTCACTGTTTATTTTCACTGATGTTAAATCAACAAAACAATAAATTTTTTAAAGGCGTAGCGAACGGGAGAGAGGGGACACAACATACCAACCCCCTCTTTGTCAAGAAAAAGTGTAAAATGAACACGATATGACCAAATACGGGAAGCATAGCGACGGAGGACCACCCTCATGGAGGCTTCTGCCTAACTTCCCTCCCTAACTTCCCTCCCTCTCCAAGTAGTTGAAATAGGTCATATAATTTGCAGGGAATTTTTCAAACTAAAGACTTTTCAACTTCGGAGTTTCCTCTTTGAAAGTTATATGCCAAGAACTCGTATATATTCAAGGGATCATATCGTCTTTTTTTCCGCAGCTAAGCAATACGGGGTGATACTCACCTGCCAGCATTACACGTGTCTTGTTTTGTACATTTGTTTCCATCGTTACAAGGCACCGCTGGACGATTGCTCCAGGCTCTGTTGGTACGAGCGGCTGTATCGTGCAAATCACACCACTGACACTGATTAGATGGATTTACTGCTTGGTGGCTGTAGTCCCGGCCTACAGGACGATAAAAGGTTATCACAAAATAAACCAATTAACTTAAATACTTGTGCCTACAAAAATAAGCTTCGTGATATAACTCCTTTAAAGCAATGAGTAAAAACAACGAGAACTGCGAGATTGAATGGACAAAAAAGGCTTACAACATTGCCTAGTCTTCTTCGGCGCGTAAATTCCAGTTTGGGTAGACACACCCTTATTTAATTTTGTTTCAAGTATTGCGAGAGAACGAGTATGGCGTAGAATGTTCTTACCCACCTGCTATCTTACAAGTACACTTGCTGTTCAAAAAACCAAACCCAGTTTTCAGACTGCAACTGTTGCCATTACAGTACTGGCAAACCGAGTTGCATTTGAAAGGTGTAGCTGTGCACTGGCCGCTGCGACACGTGTCTGCACGTGTACATGCGTTCCCGTCATCACATGCCACGCCGTCTCGATTAGACCAAGTGCTGATACTACTGCCAGGGTTACACCACTGAAAGGAAACAGCAACAAGAACAAATATTTTCGTAATAAGGTAAGACTTTCCACGTTTTCCTAAATTAATCATCATATCTTTTTTTCTTTTGATTTTTTAGTGGCGTAATTTCCGGTCATTGGTGTGTGTATAGAAACATCCATTGCCCTCAGAAAGCACTATTAAACATTTCATTGAGGATAGTTGACAACAAAGAACCACGCTATTATATTAGTTCGAACGGTGGCTTACTTGACAAGGATTCCCTGGCTTATAGTGATTCTTGGCATAACATGTCCTTTTGCCCCCTTGCAGTATTATGCAATATCCAGATTTGATTGGACAGCCATTGCCGTCATGTGTTTCACATGGCAGACAGTTGTAGGGCGTGCCGACGCACGTGCCACTTGAACAGCGGTCGTTTTTGGTCTTCAAGTTGTTGTCGCTGCACCTAAGGTTGTTGTTGTTAGTCCACCGATTATTATTATTGTTGCTGTCGCATTGCTGAGGAGAGAAGAGTGTGATTGATGCAAAACTCATCTATTGACCATTTTGAAATTCATAAAAATCCTATCAACTGCAACGTTCACGAAATAGTGTATGAATTGTTTTACACAGGTAAATAGTGCTTTTCGCGCGCATTGAGTGGCTAGTTCGGAAGTGAGTAGCTACTGCTATTCACCTCCAAGTAGCCGATGAGACAAAAACGCACTTGACGAGTTTAACTTCCGAGCATTTTTCGGTATATTGAGAGAAATAAACTCATTTTTTGGTGTCTGTCTGGCATATAGCAAAATAATTATTCAGCTCAGTGTTGGTGAAAGTGGTGCACCATTCACCTCCACTTTGGTGAAAAATTGTTAATTATAAGCCTATCTTTTGTGTGGATAAAATATCCAATGTCTTGACTATTCAAGTTAATGATCTTGAGTGCTTTCCCGTTTATTTCAATTTTCGTTTTTGTGAAATAGCTTTTAAAAAGTTCCAATTCGTTAAAATTTCCGCGTAAAACTCAAATCAGCTCTAGGTGCTTCTTTGAGCGATGGAAAAATTGGTCGTTCTCTGATAGCTTCTCGTTGTCCTCTTAAATGTATCATATAAGGTCATTCATTTGATTTGGGCACCTGATATATGATTGACTCTGTCCATCAAGCCGAAAGAGCTCAACCCTTTGACTAACATCCAACATCCAATATCACTACTGAAGAGAGTGGAGGAAATGAGCACCATATTAAGAAGTACTTGATTGTTGAACAAATTCTCCTCATCAGCATCTTAGGAAATGTACTTAGAACGGTATGGATAATATGGATACTGATGTTAGGATTCAAAGGGTTAAAATGCTATTTCTCCGTGCAATTCTAAGTTAATCTTCCCAATAATTCAATGGCTGCTAAATATTTTACCTGGCATTGATGTCCTGGTCGTAAGGCTCCGTGACGAAAACACTGTCGTCTTCCACCCTCATTGATCACGCAGTATCCCGGTTTCACGCGGCACGCGTCATTGTAGCACTCCTCGCACGGGAGGCACGAGAAAGGCGTGCCCGAGCAAACCCCATTAGAACAGCGATCATTTTTAGTGCATGCCTTTCGGTCGTTACACGGCAAATTGTTGTTGTTTGTCCAGGCGTACTTGTTTGCACTATTGCAATTCTATTGGAAGAGAGGACAATACACAACAAACGTTAATAACTAAATAATATTTCCTTGCATCACTATACACCTAATTGCGGTAATACTATCCCTGTAGTTTTTATTTCTCTATTTAGTTTTAGTTTTTGTTTTTTCTCCAAAAGCGTTATTTCAGCAAGGTCTACCTTCTTCCATATCTAAGTTGTTGAAATGCCGTATCAACTCAAACAGCCGCCGCCCCCGAATAAGCCTCTCTCGAATGAGCATCGCATTTAGGACAGCAAGGTTAATAAGCGCCGCGGTCTCGGTGCAGCGTTAATTCAAAGACTTATTTCACTCGTTGTAGTACTTCGCAATTGGATATCTTGACGGAAGCCCTTAAGAAAGCATAGACTCAGACGTAGAAGTGCCGTATGCTCTCACGCTGGAACACTTAGGCTCGAGATCGAAGTTGAGTGTAAAAACCCCAGTGTATGCAATTAGTTACCATAAAATTTTCGTGCGCATAAGAATATGCCGCTGAATTGAAAGAGGATATTTCTTTGTCGCGGCCACTTTTAATAAGTGCTTCAATTGAGGCGTGAAAAATTAAAAAGCGCCGCGGCCCTTATTCCAGTAAAACGGTACTCTCTCACCTCTCTCGCGCATGATTGAAAGCGAATTAAAATCTCACCTGACACTGGTTACTGGGGTTTACTCTGCCATACGCGTAGCACTGGTTGTTGATTTTGCACTGCCTCAGGTCACATTTTAAACCCACTTTGGTGTAGCACGAATGGCAACTGCATGTAAAACTACCGAACGTGTTGGTACAAGTATGCTGGCATGGTCTGTTATTACACTCATTGACGTCTGTTGGAAGAAGAAATAGGACATGAAGAGTAGAAAACCTGTAAGTAAGCTACTGAGTTAGATGTAAGGGAGTTTAAAATAACACTACAGTGATGTGGTGAAAAGTTGCAGAAAAAACCGTAAGTTATCTTCCCATAAGATTTTCGCCGATAGCTCGATGCGTTAACCGTTTTTGACGGCATGACATTTTAACTATTGCCTACATGTGATTGGAGTGTCGAATTGAAAGTAAAGAGGTGACTAAATTGCTGTTGTTTTTTTCCAGGACTAAGAGACGCGTGCAAGAATGACGCATACAGCAAACAATTTGCATGTGGGCTATCGAATAATTGTTTGACCTTTACCCTTTCCACAGAAAGACCCGGAGGATTGTCACAACAAAGGCGAGAAAACTCTGAACTTTTAAATTGCGTAATATATAAAGCAGATTCAGCACTGGCTACAATCGACATACAAAATGGCCAATGAAGCACTTGTCTTTCTTGAGCAATAAGTAAACTAACCTACTAGCACTAGCGACAAAATTGTTTATTTAGACAAATTTTCTGTCATCACCAACACTTTACAAGTGCGGATGGTTTGTCACGACTTAATAATTTTTCGCCGAAGCGGACAAATTTTCAAACGCACCGCTGACAAAATTTGTACCGGGTAAAAGCTTGGCGAAATTTACTAAACAAACAAAACCGTGATAAACTTGTCTATCATTTGTCGTAAACCCCACCATTAGTGTGGTAATTGAACTAGGTTCAGTTTACCAGAAGATAGCAGTAATTCTGCATCGTTGCGAAACTCGCAGATTTTACAACTTTAACTTAAGATGAATGCCGGTAATTGGAGTTTTAATACATTGGCGAATAATAGCGACCAGTCATATGAGCAGATCAGGCGCCGGAATGTGCCATCCTATGAAGACCAACAAGGAAACAATTTTAATTCAGTCGGGGCAACCTACAACGGTGGAGGAATTTTCCAGTCGCCGCTTCACCAGACTATTAATAACGCTGTAGATGTGGCCGCACAAGATCCTCCACAACATCTTGAACTGCCTCTAGAACAGTCGATCTTCCAACTTTGAAATTGAGAGTTCTCGTGCGCCAGACGATAAAAACAAAGTGCGAGTACTTTTTCTGGGGCAATGCAGTCAGGCAATTTTGTGTTTTCGCGTATTACAGCGGGTCGCAAAACATTTAGCAGAGTTTCGAAGGTACAACGATCCATTCGCAGTTTCCTTCTGATAAACTCCCTGGGAATTGTTCGGTCATTATGGTGGATCTAAAACCAAGACCGGTTTCCAAGAGTACGGGTTGTGTCGACGTGCCCGGCGCCTCCGTCTTCTACGGTGTTCAATCATTAAAAGAGTTGCTTGGTGTCCAAGAAATTAATGCCTTAATGACCTTAACACTAGGCTCACCATGAACATCATTTCGATCTGAGCGAAATTTAAAAGCAAGATACACGCCACAAGTTGAAGCATTTGGACATGTTTCATTATCCCGCCAAAACGTTTGATGTTTTGGTGCGCACAGCTAAATTGAATAAATTACAATGGATTATAATATCGGTGTTGTTTTGGCTGTTAACCGACTTTGACAGTTCTTTGACAACTTCGACATTTTTAGCGCAAATGCAACAGAGGAGAATAAAAATTGTTATGACTAAATTTGTCCTTCGATTTTGTCGGGACAATTCTAGTTTCGTCTGCTAGTGCGGATAGGCCCTAACACGTTAAATGATCAGTATTTGAGTCTTTTCACTCAATTACTCTTTTCAGTTTCTTTACTGGTTTAAGTACAATTTCAAGTTAAAAAATCTTATTTAATTCCACTTTAATTTCAATTGATAGAGCGCTAATTGTTTCAAGACGCATCAAAACGTGGAAACCGATTTTTTAGGGAAGGAATTCATCCCACGCTTTTACATGTCCAGAACGCGCCGCTGCAACGCTCTCAAACAGTTGCTGTCACGCATGTGCGATATTTCATCGTTTTAAAAGTACCCACATCAAACTGTCATCGATGGCGGATGCTGCGCCCGTATTCGAAATCATGCGCATATACACTATTCTGCACTTAGCATTAATTGAAGCGTACAAGTTAAAAATCATTTTAAATCAAAGCTCCCCTTTCCATGTCTGAAGTAGGCGCTTGAAGAGCGTTAAATTTTATCACATTTACAGAGGCGTTGAAATACCCGGAGAGTAAACATCTCACACTCATTAATCCATTTGGAACAGTTGCTAAATGCGAACGCGCGGAGCGATAAAAAAAAAACTGGAAATTTTTCATTTGCTTACTTCACATTGCTAAAAAGAAATAAAAAAAATTTAAATGAAGGGCTCTGTTTGAAATCGTCAGCTTTGCATAATCATGTCAACGGATGTCGATTTCCAGCTTTCGCTCACGAGAGTGTTTACTTTCGCGTTCACTCGTGCATGGATCTACCTACCTCCTTCGCAACACGTTCCCCGATATCCAGGGCGACACCTACATCCACTACTAAAAGGGGTTCCTCCGTTCTTACATTGATCTCTGTTGCACGCTCGCACTTGATCTAAACTGTACGGGCAAGATCCCCCGCAAGCTTGAACAACAGTTTTTCTTCTTGTTCTTTTTTGAGTTCCGCTTGTTCCGCAGGGTTGGCTGCAAGCACTCCATGAACTCCAAGAGCTAACCTGACATGGTCGTGCACTGCAAGGAGGAGGAGAACGTCGCCGTCGTCGCCGCCGCCACGAATCGGTGTCTCTCGCCAGAACCAGCAGCACCCAAACGATAGCCAAAAATTCGGTGATCCGCATCTTTTCTCTACGAATTTAACTATTAAACGAAATTTTATCGTTTTAAATGAAAGGTTAAAGTTGAAGATCCCGAAATAAACCCGTGTAACGCAACTCTGTAACGGTGTGGTTAGCCGTTGCTCGAAACGTTACCACCGCACGGTTTCAGATAAAATTGTTTTAGGAACAAAGTCTCAAGTCTATTCGACCACTCTCGATAGAGTTGGGTTCACTAAGATTTTGCTGCTTACCTGCACGAAAGTGGTTGACGTAAAACGTGTCCGATGAATTTGTGGTCAATAAATATTGTTGCTATTGTGTCATAATCTTGTTTACAATTTTATTGTGTAAGGTTTTAAATTGCGTCATGGCTTTACGTGGTGGAGTCAAATGAATTCCAGACCCCCCGTTTCAGAATTTCAGTAAGCACTTAGGTCTCAGTGCAGCTGGAGTCATGCACTGGCTTCGTTGTTTTCCGATAATATTGGAGATTATTTTAACGATTCACCATGCAGGAGCTGCAGCAGTGTTAGGACAGAGGCTCTCGTTTGTAGCGCAAAGCACATGTACATATGATTACGAAGTTGCAGTCCATACTGCAAGAGGTACACGCTCCACAGTCAGCGAAGGATTTCATCTTCATGCGCTGGTGAGTAGAAAAAATTTGTTTACAGTTCTTTTACTGCTTCGTAAATTGGGTTTCTCGCGTATTAAGAGCAGCGTGTGCGCTAAGGGACGTGCCCACAGTAAAATCAGCGAAGCGTTAAGCCTCGATGGTTTGTTTACGCCGAGTTATTAATGCTCGCGCATCGGCGAGATCGTGCGTTTAAATTGCACGACTTTAGATCATTGCACAACCCACCATTCGTGTTGCATTGCACTGTTTAGGAAAAATACTAAAATTTTGAGATGAGAGGGAGAAGAAAGGGGAAAATATTTCCTCAAAATTAACGTGGTTCGCCACATGTCAATCAAAATATGGTGTGAATTCGCAAGGGCTTGTTTTGGAGCTGAAGTTCTAATTAAATATTTAAATATTTTTATGTCAACTACTACTTACAACATGCCTTGTCAAGTCTCCTAATAACGCATTTCAGCGCGATTCAGACAAAGAGTATCCCTTTGTTAGTTTGCCTCCCCTCCATAGACGCGTGCAAAAATGTATTGATTTAGTGAGGAGAAATTAAGCGTCAATCTCGATTTCCTCGAAAGTTTCCTTGTTGTTCCTTTTATTAAAAGCATTACCTATCAGTGAGGACATACTGTTAGAGAGCTCTCTCTCTTGGATTTTGGAACGCTGAAGCACATTTTGGAATACAAATTCTGGTTTTTAAAACGTACAATGATCCCGTGTGCTTCACTTCCGCAAGTGTTAGTCGTCCTCGGTATTAATATATTTTTACTCGCTGATTTACGCCGATATAAATTCCTTGTTACGAACTCTTACGTTCTGCGAATTCAAGCTTCATTTGTCTCAACAGACATTTGACCTTCGTTTGTGAGATCCAAAATGTTTGCTTGTTTTAGTTAAACAACAACAACAAAAAAAAACACGATACACTCTCTTGGGTGTATTCTTGACGTATCATACATTGTTGTTTTTCGTGAGCGGCGGTGTTTGTGGGAGCATCTGAATAGTTTCTTGGGTGGGCGACTGAAATGGGACAGTGACTTAATTTCCTGTTCCGATGAATCGCTTTTTTCATTACTCAAACCAATATAACGTAACTTTCGCTTCAATAGCGGTAGAATATTAATCGTCGGAAGAAAATTTTCGCTGTGAGATTTCACAGTGGTTGATCCGTGATGACGACTCCTTTAGCAGATCCTGGAGTTAGAATGTCCTGTTCGTAAAGAGTTTATTTATATATATACGATCAACAAGGAGGGAACAGACAGCTGTGTACTGCAACGAGCTGAGAACGTCTGAAACACCAATACACACACCTACTAAACCTCGAAATATCTATTTTGATACAGATCGCGGTTAGTACAATATACCCACACGGCTTGGAATAATTGTGTCCCATACGTCATTTAGTTCAAATTACTTGCGTTTCCTCAGTGGATTTTCTAGATCGCACAATTAATTAAATGTAGTTTGTTTCTTTTAATTAAAAAAAGCCGGGTTGTCCTGTTTGCAAATAATTCGAGAAAGAAATCCACTTGAAAGCGCCCCCGTCTCTGGCGTGTCGCTAACTTTCTAGCAATAAGTATAAACTATCCGGTATTGCTTTATGTTTGTCCAAAAATAGCTCAGCCGACTGACAAAAATTGCTTATTAAGAATACCTTACTATTCACCAAAATTTTAGTATTCACCAAAGTAAATAGCCGCGTGCTTAGCCTCATAATTATTTTTTATCGTTGTGCTAAAGTCCAATACATGCAGAAAATTGACCAGTGCAACATCACAACATGAACATAAACATGAAAATGATAAGTATACACAATTTATGGCGAGATTCGCTCTTAAATAATACAGGTAAAAATTTCTTCATTTTGACCTGTTCATAAGATGTGCTTATATCCAACACAAGAGGATAATTGTTTCGGTGCAACATTACAACATTAAGGTAGTCATCAAAATGATAAAGGTTCACGATTGACAACGAAATAGGTTTTAAAATAGTGTATATGACAAATCAAATTTTGACCCATTGATAAGAGAACAGGGGACATTCCGGTAGAAAGCATGTTCAGGTTATTGCCTTTTCGACGACGGAGAATTCTAAACTATACCGTAAGGATTACAAATGATGAACTGCGGTTGATTCATCGAGTAGTTTCCCCCATGCCGAGACTAACAGTCTAAATGCGATAACCGTTTGTCGTTCAAAAACCTCACCTTGTTGGCAACACATTCCTCCGTATCCCAATCGGCAACTACATCCACCATTATTTGGTGTGCCACCGTTTTGGCAGTTACCCCTGTTACAACCTTGCGTCTCCTGCAAATGATATGGGCAAGTTCCACCGCACTGCGCGGCCTGCAGCTGCTGTCGTGTGCGAGTCTGTGAGCCACTCGTTCCGCATTGATGCGAGCAAGAACTCCAACTGGTCCAGCTTCCAACCTGACAGTTTCTGGCGTTACACGGAGGAGGCGACCTTCGTCGTCTCCTTCTCGACCAGAAAATCGAATTCGTCCCAGTGATCAAAACCACGAAGCAGATTGTTAAGACAATGCTTTTCATAGTGTGTTTCGGTCAAAAATTTTGTATTTGCTAAGTATTCTCGTTACCCTAATTTATCAAATTCTAGTAAAAGTTAATTACTTTCCAAAGTCTTGAAAACACGGATACACTTCTTTTGAAATAAAGTACTTTCCGCTGCCAATCGGGAAGAAAACAACTTCCGCTCGAAATATTGTTGTTCAAATTGTATACGCAAACGCAAATTTCAATATAATGTTGGGTGGGCATGAAACAGTGGATTATTTGTGGGAAGTATTTTTAGGGAATATTCGGCATGTTGAGACCAGTCTCTTTTTCAAGGCAACAACTTTATTTGTATTAGTAATTGCCTTTTCTTTTTTTAGTTTCATCAAAAAGCAAGCCAGCGAAAACAGGATTTAAAGACAGAGATCTTTAATTGACCTTTCTGCTTTGTTGTGACATTTTTCCTTCGCAAGATTTATTTTAATTACCGCTCATCTGTACCGCTTGTTTAATGCAACCTTTCTTTACGTTCGATGGGCACAGCATTAAGAACGTTGACGTTAAGGGCTAATTATAACAGAAAAATTAAGGTAAAAATGTTACGAGCTCCCATAAGCTCAAACTATTTCAGTTCCCGTTATATTGGTAAACTCTATTGTGCCTGCATACGCAACTACATCAGAAGGAGGCGCTGTCGGAAAACCCCTTTTTCACGGCTTTTGCAATTCAGTATTCGCAAACTCCGTTGCGCAATTAATGCATCGCTCATGGTAAATAATCTCTAAATAAGTAACATCAACAAACGGGATTCGATCAACTGTCTTTTCTTTTTAATCTTCACTCCGTTTTCAAAGTGTTTTTTCTAGCGGTTTTTAATTTTTCTCTCGCTGTGAAGTTAACCACAAAACGTGTTACTTTTCGATTTGTTTTCAGTTAACTGAATTTTTGATCGTTGACGTTTTATGAAAGTTTTGCCTCCGTGATTTGGAGTTTTGTGGTGTGTGTTTGTGACATTCAACTTAAGTGGATCTGCAGAGGCAAGATATCAGCTTGGCTGGAATGTTGGGCGCTGCTTCACTCTGAATGCATCTTTCATAACCCCTTTTAATCTCCCCCCCTTTAGTTCTACCGGTCTTAAAAATCTCTTTTCGAACGTTGTTATGTATTTTCTAATAACTTTCTTGGTCAGAGTAAAACTTTGGGGAAAATGAAATCCTTGTTACTCCTTGCCCACCCTATTGAGTTCGTGTGTGTCCGAAAAGTAAACTCTGCGCTGCTCAGTTGATCATTTTCCTTTCAAAATGAAGTGTAGATTCAAAGATTCACTTGATCTTTACAGGGTACAGCAAATTTCAAGCATTTTGGAACTCAAAACAACTTTTTATGATCTAACGAACACCTTTTTTTACACCATGAGAATCACAGAACAATCGTGAAACAGAAAAAAATAAAAAAATCATCCACCACGAAGCCCTTTTTCTTTTGAAAGTATTTCCTCAACATCTCGGCTCTTAGTTTAGAAATGATATTTTGAACATATACATCGTACTGATACTGGCTAACAGGTGGGCACAACATTTGAAACAGATCGCGTCAACTTAGTTTGGCTGTCAGAGATTTGTCAAGAGTTGTATGTTTACACTGATCCAGCCTTGTTCACACCACCTGTATGACCTCAAAAATTCAGATCCATGTATTATTGGACTAACCTTGTTCGCAGCATTTCCCATTGTATCCCACTCTGCAGCTGCATCTGCCGCTAACCGGCGTGCCTCCGTTCCGACAATTGCCTCTATTGCAGGCCTGAGTTTCTCGCAAGTGGAACGGACATGTTCCTCCACAGAACGCGCCTGTAATCAACGACCGCGTTCGTGCTTGTGCACCACTCGAACCGCACTGATGCGAACACGAACTCCAACTTGTCCAGCTTCCAACCTGACAGTTCGTTGCCTTGCAAGGAGGGGGTGCCCTTCTCCGGCGCCGTCTTCTCCATGCTTCTGTTTCAGTCAAAACGCAACAAAGCCATATTACGAGAAATAACTTTGTCATTTCTGAGTCAGTCTCTGCCACAATAGAGAATTAAGATTAGCTTTTCTCTTTGCAAGTAGCCACGATTAATTGTTTGAGATAATTCTTAAATTCTGATTAATGCTAGTATTTACAGCAGAGTAGATTTTCCTAAGAAGAGGTTTTTTTTCTCTGATAAATATATCCACGATTTGCATCACAATAACATGCACTTAAACTGCCCTCTGACGGAAGTCATCACAGAATTGAAACAAAATGTTTGATATACCGACATTGACTGTATATATTCGTCCAATATAACTGCGGTTTTAATTTCGTGATCGTTATTGACTGACTTCCGCAATACGGTTTCTAAGAAGGAGAATACCTTGGATCAATTAAGGTTTGTCAATACATTTGAAATTGTTCTCAAACGGTAAAAAAAGAGCAAACCTTAAGACAGTGTATCCACGAAATAAGATTGAAGAAAAGTGTGTATCGCAAATTTTAGAATGCTCAGCAAGTACCTCCTTGCGTGGCTAATAATTTTACAGGTTGAAGGCTTGCAAGAGAAAAGCGCCACGCAGAAATCGCTGCGATTTCAGCACCTCACAAAATGTACCTACGATTACGAAGTGACAGTTTACACCGCTCGAGGAGACAAGTCCACCCATAGCGAAGGGTACCAAGTTCACGCTTTGGTAAGGTTCATCTTAATTCAGGTCAATGGACTTTGAATTCTGTAACACTGTTAAATCTCCTTGATTTCTTGTATGTACGACAGCGTTACAAAATATGCAAATGACTTACGTTTTTCTTCGAGCAAACACAGTTTGTCACATCGTATTTAAAATTCATATTGTAGAGAATAGACGAATCGGATAAAATGGACATCTCACTTTGGGAAGAGATAATAACAGCTCGGCCTGCGTTTTCTACGACAGAAGAAAACTGCTGAAATAATTGCTTCTTAGCATTAAGAGAATAACACTGGATTGACTGATCAAAGAGGGACATTATCGCATTTTGGAGTGGTGATTTTTGATAGCCTTTGCGTTTGCATGGAAATGGTGTTTGGCTTAGCGCTTTCGCGGATTGAAATTTCTCTATTTTTGCTTACTGTTTGCAGTTACGGCATACAATTCAAAGAAATTTTTAAGGAAATGGCTGAGACCAAATCTATTTTTATTTAGTATGTATTAGTACTTGTTAAACGCTATACGTGCAATATATATAGCAACTGGAGCGAGGCCGATATTTCGTGGGACTTAAGGTCATTTTCAAAGACTTTCAGGTTATTCTCGTATAATCGAAATTTATCATCACTTATTCTTGCTGGGTTGTTTCAACCGTCTTCAATCTTTCTTTCCACACGCCGAATGGAATTCATCAGCCTGCAGAAAGCAATAGACAGATTTATATCCATGCTAAAAAACTGATCTTTACACAACAAATTGCTTACTGCAATGTATATTTTACAAAGTTGTTTACTGAATGACAGCCTTCTTTCCATAAATGGTGTGTAACTAATTTCTAAATGAAGGAGGCGCCTAAATTCAGTTAGTGAATCTGTCGCTCTAGAGTTACAAGGTAAGCTTTTTCCAAGAGTTGCATCACTGTAACTAAAACTATTTTTGAGATGGCACATAGCTGGTTTATTATAGGACCACAGGAATGTTTAGTTGTGGCAACAGGAATCATTCCGTCACTTGGTGATGGATTCCACTCAAAAGCGCGTCTAATATATGTCACATCCTGTCGAAACTTCGCGTGATTTAAAAAAACTTTGGTTCAAGAGCCATTAATCTTTTTTCCAAGAATTCCCCGGCACAATGATGTAAGAATTCAAGACTTACGGTCAAGGATTTGACCATGTAAGGTCATGAATTGGATTTTATTGTTCGATATTATGGTTTCAATTCTCACCACTTTTTTATAATGTTGGTGTGCGGCGTATTCTACAAAAATATTACTCTCGAATCATCCTACACGAACCGGCACGCAATTAAATTTACCTCAGGCGTAATTTCCGCATGTCTTTTATGTTATTTTCACCGGTATGCATGCACTAAAGAATCTGAAATGGAAAGGAGTAAAAGACATCCCACAACGTCTTGAGCTTAAATTTACACGTAGTTTATTTTCGGACTAATACACACATATATATATATATTTTTTTTTTTTTAAACATGTCGTCCTTGCCAGTGAAGATGAAAAAAAAAAAAAATAAAAAAAATAGTAGTAAAATAACAACATGGGACTTAAAAAGTCCTCGTGTCCTTAAGGCGAATATTCCTCCTTTTTCGTCAGAGATTTTTCTAAGAGCGAAATTTGAAGTGAAGATTGCAAGAAAAGGGCACTTAGGTGCTTGTCAGTACTTATGTCAGTTTTCCCTTACTTGGGCACTTATAGAAAAAATATGAAACCTTGATATGGATCACCGAGCCTGAGTTACAATTACTTTCCAAAAACAACAAGTTGCGCATAGATGTCTTAACGTCTAATTATGAAACGGGTTTAATAATTACAATAACTAGTCGATTGTTTACTTTTCAGGAACATTGTCCGCTTTAGCAGCATTCTCTGAGCTATACACTTCAGAGTCTTCCTCTTAAATCAAATTTTTCTGCTCTGCCTACCACATTACATTTGAACATATTGTCCACAGAATAAAGAACAAAATATTTATAATGCCTATGCCAAGGAAAGAAACCAATTTTGGACGTTTATTTGGACCCAATTCATTGACCAGCTCCCAGTTGGCTTGTTAGCTCAATTGGTAGAGCGCTGCACCGGTATCGCAGAGGTCATGGGTTCAAATCCCGTACGGGCCTGAATTTTTTTCAGGTCCTATTTACAACTATTTGTTTCAGTAGTGTTCTTAGCTGCGAGGATCTCTTAATTTCATCAAATCAAAGTTTTTATTCCAACGAGCAACTGATTTCATTCGTTATTCTACTTAACCTTGGAATAAAGCCCAGTTTCGTTAAAAATTATAAAAAGCTGAAAATGGTTTTTTTTTACATATTTTTTCTGTGATGAAATGGCCTCAGATTGTGAACAGAAAGTTATGTTCTGTTTCAGGTCGACTTAACACCAGCATCACGTGACTTCAATGGGAGGGAACAGTCGCATCTCATTAAGCTTGACGTGCGGGAACCCCGCTTAAGGCGCCTTCAACATGGGCGTGTTCTTGCCAATCACCCTGTCAATGAAGAGTTTGAAGAGCAGCTGTCAAAGCCCTTTTACTTCCAGCAGGAAGATCATGGTACTATTACTGACGTTCTTTTCCCAAAGAGGTCTGAGTCTCCCGAAATTGCTGCCTTCAAAAAAGGTAAGGCGTAGAAAGACAAAATGTATTACCAGATCATTCAGCTGTTTGGACCTCCAGATATAATTTTCGATGGACCGAGCATGCTCGTACTCAAATTTTACAAGATGTTAGAGCCGTTTAACTGAGGAGCTGAGAAACTACAGAATATTTCACGTTTAAGGCCTTCGTTATATATTGGTATTGGGCCTTTTCGAAATAAATCACATTTGTAAATGTATGGTTGTGGCTCAATGACAAACTGCCTAATCTCTCTCTTTGTCATAAGATGGAACTAAAGTGAAACAAAAGCAAAACACCTTTCACTCAAAGTGTTCAGGTTGTTTGAAACACGCTTTTTTTTGTTTATGTTTTTTTTTTTTGTTTTGATGCTGGTCAACTGGAATGGTAGATTTTTTAATTTATTCTATTTTATGTTATGCACGGGAAGATGAGTGTTTCTTTTAGTTAGCTCAGACTTATGCAAATGAACTCAATCCAATGTGACTAACCAGTATGGTTATTTTGTTGAGCAACCTACAATTTTGCACCCTCTGCTCGTTGTTTGACAACAGGTATTGCAGGCGCATTTCAGCTAAACCTTAGGGACGCGCACAGATCCAACATCTATGAAGTACAAGAACATGATGACTCTGGTTTCTTTCGAACAAAGTACAGTGTGATGTCAGCCAACGATACGCACGCTCATCTGCATCGCACCTGGACGAACCAAGACTACCAAACGTTTGCAGACGGCACCCCAGCCAAGGCAGAACACAAGGTGCAGTCTCAGCACAATGCGTATATTCATGTGAAAGACGGAAAGGTAGAGAGAGTTCACCGTACTAATAAAGCATTTTTTAGACCTGCCAATGGTCATCCAAGGGCCGACAACTTCGAAGGATTTAAAGGCCAAGAGCAAGACATTGAAATGTCAACAAAGGGATACAGCAAACTGACGTTAAGATCTTGTCTAGGACCTGAACACCATCGTTCCAAGCGATCAGCAACAGAGGAACAGCATTTAAAGATAGCTCGTACTCTTATCAGAGACAATCTTTTGTTTACTGACACTGAGAAGATAAACTGGTCCAAGATCGGTGGAGAGAAGAAAAAGCCGAAGCCTTTCTATGAAGTGCTGCGCTGTTTCACCGACAAAAGCATGAAGGAGCGTCAAATCGCTGATTGCTCTAATGAGATGCATCGTATGGTTCGCGAAGATGAAGACGCTTTTCGAACAATCAATCGACTTGTTCGGGACCGAAGTCACCAAAACATCACGTCTTGGGCAGTATATGTAGCAGCACTTGCCGGTCACGGAAAGTACCAGGCCCAAAACACTTTAGCGCAAGCAGTTAGCGCAGATTACCCTCGACCTCTTAGCAAAGAAGAGTATGAGACACTTCTGATCGGAATTTTTTACTTACCAGAAGGTCCACTTCACTCACAACTCTTTGATGCCTTGTTAAACCTTGTGTCACGAGAAGAGAAAGGAGATGAAGTCACATCTACAGCGATGCTTGTCTTAGCAGGACTAGCTGAAAGAGCAAAGAGATCGGGGTACAATGACACCTTATGCGAAAGCGTCGCTGAGATGATCCACAACAGGTACCAAAACAGATCAACATTGTATGATCCCGACAGCTCGGACCACGAAATACAGCTAAGAGACCACATCTGGGCCTTTGGAAATCTCGGACATCATTCCGGACTTCCAGTTATCCTTCAACACATTGACCACGATAACTCTGGTATACGATCGGCAGTGATCTCAGCATTACGCAAGCTTCCTCCAGAGCACACGAATCAACACTTAATGAATGCACTATACGCAGATGAACATCCCGATGTTAAAACTGCCGTTATTAATATCTTTGTTGAGCGTCATCAACATTTAAGCGACTCAGTGGTAAAAGGCCTAGAGCATGCGCTGTGGCACGCCCCAGAAAGCGAAACTCTTGATTCTATGATTATTCAGCTTATTGAAAATCACGGTGACCACCCCAAGGCACTTTATTTAAGGAAAAGACGACGAGCAATTCATCGCCAAAAACGTGCTCTCTTTCCATTCCTCCGTCCAAGAGAGTTCGCTCTTGGCCGGTCAAAGCGATGGTTGAAGACCTATGGTGGTAAGTGGCTTGGAGCCGAATCAATCATACAGTTCATTAATCAGGTAAAACTAAGAATTGGCATTTTTGGGGGAAATTTTGAGATTAATCTTGACAACTATGCGCATATTCATGCCTACATTCTCAAGTTTGGATTTGAAGTCGTCCGAGGTAAAGCTGCTTTTAAGGCATCCGCCAGTTTTAAGAATGATTTCCCGAAAGATCTCATCCACGCCGTTGCAGATGCTGGAGACGATCTCCTTAAGCAGTTTGATAGTATTACGAGCGTGATTGCTGAACAGATAAATCAGTTTATCAGCAAACTTGCTGGTTATTTACCATTGCACATCGACAAATTTACAGAGTTCGTCAACAAGCTCGTTCAGTTTGTGCAGAATCTGGTGCAGCCTTTACGACCGATTAATGTGATTGGAAAAATCATAAAATTTACCAAAGATGTTCTAAGCCGCCTCAAGGACTGGAAGTGGCTGACAGACATGATAAAGAAAATACAGCAAAGTCTCGGAAGGCTGACTGCCATAGACGACGTTTTTCAAAACGTTATTGCAGCTCTGGACAACATCCTCGGCATTGTGGGTAAAATAACAAACTATTTGCCCCATAATCTGCCGGGAAATTTCAATATCAAGACACTCCTGAACATTCTTCGCTCGGTCTCTGTCGACCTGCATTTTAACAAAATCAAAGAATATTTCAATTCCCTAGGGATGTCTGTTCCTAACGGTTTCCGTTTCCAGCTTCCGTTCAAGTTCTCCATCCGCCTTTCGTTTTCTCTGGAAACATTTCAGAAAATTTCCTTAAATCTTCTACGGTTTGCCAATCGTTTCCTAGATATGTCTTCTTTGCTTGATTTTCTCCAAAGCATCAGATTCCCCAGGTTACAGTTACCAGACATGAACCAACGATTCCCTTCTTTTCAAGGGAGCGGTTTTAACTTTGGTCTACGTTTTGATTGGCGAATCAGCCTAAAGTTCAAGCTCAATCTGAAATCACTGGGCTTCCAGAATTTTATTACTGTTTTAGAGAAACTTGGAGACTTTTTAGCACAGTTCAAACTCCCGGGCTTCGATCTCGAAAAGTTTTTTGAAGAAATATTACCCGGCAAGAACTTAGATCTTGGACTACTTTTCAATGAGCTTTTGGGCGGAAACTCTAACTCGAATTTTACTAATCCGGGTGACGTTCTGCAAGAATTCCTTGAGAATCTTCTTGAAGTCCTTGACGTTCAATATGCGAATGTCTCAGCAATAGGTGATATCACAGATTTCTTTCAGGAGCTCGGGCCGGCAATGGAGCAGTTCGCGGAAAAAAACGTACAGCGTATCTGTGGATTGTATAAACTGGCTTTGAATTCATCCCAGGAATTTAAGGAGTTTGGAGAAAATGTTGAGCAGGAAGGAATTCAAGTGCTTCACCTTGTAGAGAATACTACCCAAAGTGCACTAACGGAACTCCTTAACTTTACTGTCCTTGTAGATTCTCTAATAGACGAAATTCAACGTAACTTTACCACGGCTGCAAAAGGATTCGTCTCAGACTCGCTGCAAGAGCTCACAGGCAAACTGAAAGATATTCAGAATCTTGCAAATGATATAGTGGACTTTGCCAACGGGACAGCCTCAAAAGTCAATGGTGCATGCACCAAAGCTGCAAATTTCTCCGCTGACGTAATAGATAAAGTTCAAGAAAACGCCCGTGAAGCACTTATGGAGCTAGGATCGTTCATTGGACCTGTTGCCATAAACACAAAAAAGGTTGGAGGACAGTTGAAATCCGCTGTGTCTAATGTCGAGACGTGGTATGAAGAGAACATGGCAGCTCGTGTCGGGAAGATTTCTCGAGTTGCCCAGATAATATCAGATTTTCTTTCAGTTCTTAACACAAAGAAAGGGTTTCTGAAATCCGTTCGTGAAATAGCTGCTCGAATCAACGAGGCCCTTGCGCGTCTTCGGAATCTTCCAGCGTATGCGAATAAAGCAAGGAAAACAGTTGATGATATACTTAACTTTGCAGACAAAGCTCAAGACTACGAAAAAGAGATCCAGAAGCTTGATATTAGAAAGCAATTTGGACTTGACTTTGATCAGCGAATAAGAGATGTCTGCAACGAGTTTAAGACCATTGCTGTTGAGACGCTCGACATGTTTGGAAACTATGACATTGTCGAAGAAGTTGATACGTTTTTCAACAAAGAGGCCGATAAGCTCATAAGAAAAGCCGTGTCGAAGTTTCTTAGAATTAAAAAACCCATCGACGAGATGCAAGACGAATTACGAAATATCAAGGCCATGGTGCGTGAAATGATGGGTGTCTTAATAGAGCTGAAGCCTTTCACCAACAATCTTTCGCCTATTTTAGAGACGGCAGGTCAACTACCTGACTGCAAGCAGATCAAGAATATACTCATAGAGAGCACTAAACCATGCGTCCGCAAAGCTTTTGGGGTTGGGAGATACGTCATCGATCAGTACAAGGACTTCAATAAGGAAGTGAGAGTTCTATACGACATGGTTCCGGCTACATGGAAGAACTTTAAAATACAGAAGTGTATCAAGGGTGGAACTTGCATTTCCAAAGCTTTTATCGATCAAGCTAAAACCATTAAAGATAAGGTTGATGTCCTTAAAGATAATTTTAAAGAAGCGAGTGGATACACTGACCTGCTTCAAACTTGCGAACAAGGGGTTGATAACATCACAGCTGTTATCGACACGGTGAAAATGTTAGTGGAACAAGTCCAGAATTTCTCCCTTAAAGATGATGTTCAAAGAGTAAAGGCGGTTTTCCAAAAGATCACTGGCCGACAGGCCGAGAATAATGAGGGGAGTGGCATTCAAAAGCGCTCCATAAAAGAAGTAAAAGAAAGAATCGAAAGAATCGTGGACTATGTACAGAAGGCAAGGGAAACTCAGAAGAAAATACAAGACTTGCTCGAAAACACTTTCAAAGCAATGAGAAATGTCTACGATGATGCTGTTCTAGAACATATCAAAGCGGTTGAAGATGTGCGTTCCAAACTTAAACTATCATACGAACTTTGGAAAAAGACAAAGAATATCAACCACGTCCTGCAAGCATTAGATACTGTTACCCAAGGTGCTTCAAAATATGCTGAGAGCTTAAAAGGTGTGACGAATTCATTCTCGAGCCCAATTATTGACCTCTTATCTGAAACAGGAGAACTCAGTGATGTCGTGAAGCCCTATCTTAACAAATACGCCACCAAATTCACTGACACTATTACAAAAGTCAACAACTTTCTGGACAAGGTTACAGACTTTCTTAACAAGCTACAGCTGCGACAGAGAGGACTAGACCCCAGGGCTTACAAACCCTGGGAACAAATACCCTATTGTTCGGAAGAAGTTTGTGTACGATCAATCAAACGATCGTCATCACTTTACCTAAAAACCATTTTCACTTGGAAGTTCCCACATCTAGATGACCTTTCCTCTATGGACAAGAGTGGGCGTTGGCTGACCCCAGGTTTGTTTGATGACTATAAAGTAGAGGGAATCTCAAGGCTCTCCAAAAGCGAGGTTATTTTGGGTATGCATGGAGTCTCTAGCAACAAAGGGAAAGCATCACTTTTAGTAGTAACCAACTTTGGTAATGGAGTCAAAAAGATAATTCAACTTGGTAGTCAAGGAAGCCCTCTAGTTGTAAAAATAGGAGGAGTGGCTGTTGCTCGAGATTACATCTGGATCAGTGACAGCGCGTCAAACAAAATTTATTCCGTAAAGAAATCTAGTGTGACAAGTTCATTCTCGTCGCCAAAGCCATCTTGGGTTGGTTTGTCCAAATCTGCGTCAGTTGAAGGTACTGCAACTTCTCTTTCTTACGATGAGCCATCCAATGTCCTTTGGGTAACAGACGGCAAAGGTGGAAAGGCCTACGGCTATAAGCTATCTGCTAACGGGGATCTGTCTCCTTCTGGCCTAACACCCGAAAGAGTAATCATCATCGGAGCAAACGCACAAGGCATGGCTATCGTCAGACAGTTCAGTACCGAGTATGTTTGCATCTCGAAATGTGCCATGATTTCTGGTTTCCAATGTAAGCTGGAGTTCCATGACATTAGTGGTGGTGATGAAACCGGAGAAAACACGCTCTCTAGAGTCGTCAGAACCCCCTCGGGCTTAGAGTCCGTCTCCAGAGTTGACAGTGAAGTAATCGCAGTGGCGTTCTCAAGTGGTACTTATGCCGAGAAAGATAATGTAGAGCTTATAGGTGGTGACTTTGAAGAAAGATATTTCTATCTAAGACTTCCGATTTTGAAAATGACTTTTGGAATCCAAGAAAACTGCTTGTTCTTTACGGTTATGAATGACTACATTCTGCGACCGCGGCGGTTGTTTCCATTCGGAGACATGATTTGCGGAACTACGCGAAAGCGAAGCACCTCGCAAGAGCTATTGGAGTCTGATGTTTACTCTGAGCAACTGGAAAAAGATCATAAGAGCAATAGGAGAATGCGCAGGCAAACCTCAGATCTTGGATCATGTATGACTTTGTTCCGTGGAAATGTTCTTAGGGGATATCAGAAATTCTTCCCTGAATATTCACAAACCATCATTGTGTTTGGCATACCAGTAAGACTGTTCGCTGGGGCTGGTGGCTATTATAGTGTAGACTATCAAGGGCAAGTTTGCATGAGAGACAAAGTTTTCAGACTTGGTCTCATTCCTGGAGCTTGGATCTCTGTATACGCTGGTGCTTCTTTATCAATTTTTATCGTAGAAGCTGGAATTACGATTGAGGCAAGACTTCTAGAATCCTACTTCGTACCAGAACTAAGAATCAAGATCGATAAGTGGCCGCTTAAAGCTTGCATAGAACTTAAGTTACGAATGACTCCACTTCGCATCAGAGTTTGGTTGTGGTATAGATTCCGTCTTTGCATTAGGATCAGATGCAAGTTGTTTGGATGTAGTATAAAGATTAGATGGTGTTCGAAGAAGACCCTCGCGGAGTGGTGGTGGTCAGCGAGAACGATCGACCGGACGCTCTTTACAAATTGCCATCAAGATGTTGATACGACGCCTCCTGTTGCTGGCGAATGTACTGCAAGGCAAGCTGCTGACAAAAAATATTTCGTACAGTGGCATGGATTCTACGAAGATACTAAAATCAACAACTACCACATCAGGATAGGATCCATTCAGGGTTCTGGCGATGACTACTCTGCATGGGTGGGAACATCTTTAAGCGTAGTTGTCAACGATCTTCCAATAATGCACGGACGAGATGTGTATGTCAGCGTATTGGCAACAAATGACATGGGGCGTGACAGTAAGTTAGTTAACTGCCCTAAATTTACGGCGAGACGTAAGAGTCCTCAGATTCGGTATGTCTACGATGGTGTCAATGAACATCAAGATGTGGATTATCAGTCAGATACATACGCTTTAGGTATGAATTTTGCCTTCAAGAGCAATATAGAGGATATCGCATACACAAAATGGGGAGTATCGTCCTCTCCCAGCTGCACGTTTAACGAAGCTGAAGCAGATATCGTTCCCTTGACCACTCTCGGTGACTCAACTACTATCCAGACTTCTGGCCTGAATTTGATTCACGGCAAAAAATATTTCACACGCCTTTATGCGATGGATTTGTTTGGATTAAAAGCAGTCATGTGCAGCAATGGTATTTTGATTGACACGACACCTCCTTTTGCCGGGTATTTCCAGGATGGTGCTGGTGAAGCTGATGCAATGTTTCTTCCATCGCTAAGGCGTGTTCGGGGAAAATTCGATCATTTCAAAGATCCTGAGAGCCCTCTGGTGAGATATGAATGGAAAATTTCAAGAAACAACACCGATGAAGATGTTACGTCATTTGTAGATATTGCACTCACTCAACAGACACCCTTCATGGATGGCCTTTCTCTTGAAGCTGGTTTAACTTACAAACTAGTACTCCGTGGAACAAACGCGGCAGGACTTCAAACAGTTATTGAGACAAATGGATTTGTGCCAGATAATACACCGCCGTATTGCGAAGAGACTGCTATTGACGTAACGAACGATGAAGATTTACTTGACGTCGACTTTGTTAGAAAATTGAGCAGTATTCAAGCAAAATGGAAATGTGTAGATCAGGAAAGTGGCCTTCGCGCACAACTGGTGGGAGTTGGTACTTATCCAGGAGGAGATGACGTGAGAGCATTTGAAAATGTCAACTTCGTTACCCACAAAATCATCCAGGGTGGTATGCTATTTGCGAGTTTCTCTGATGTCAATATTCTTCCGCGAGTCAGATATCACGTCACCATAAAGATCATAAATGGAGCTAACCTCAAGAAAACTATTTGGTCCGATGGAATTATCATTGACGATACGCCGCCCACAGTGGCTTCACATTACATTAAAGATGGCGTAGAGGGAAAGGATAAGAACTACACCAGAGAAAGATACACCTTTAGTGCGCACTGGGAACAAGCATTTGCAGATTCAGAAAGTAGCCTGGTTGAGTACCGCGTTGCTTTAGGGACGAACCCTGGATTCAATGACATTCAGAGTTTTAAGACAGTTGGCTACCAAACCAGAGTGACCATTGCAGGTCTTTTCCTGAGCAGTGGTCAGCGTTATTTTGTTACAGTTGTTGGCTGCAACGGGGTTGGTATGTGTATTAATGGCAGTAGTAACGGAGCCATTGTGGACTTTATTCCTCCACACACTGGAAAAGTCATCACCGGACTAACAGGTCCTCCTCAGTTGTTTCAATGGATTAGTAAATCAGTATGGGCAAGATGGAATTGGTGTTTAGCGGATGAGAAGAGAGTATTTGGACCAGTCGACTCTAGTCAGTGCAGCAACGACAGCTTCTACGATGTACATAGTGGCGTTGCAGGTTTCGGTATTTCAGTGGCCTCTTTGAAGAATGACGACCTATTAGCAGCGCCTAAGACGGCTGGACGGGTTAGGGTTACTGGGCGCAACATTGACCTCGAAGATGGAATGTACTCAGTGGTTATTGAAGCAAAAGATAAAGCAGGTCTTGCTGCTCGCGGTTTATCAAATACATTCATCGTTGATACTAGTCCCCCTCTAATAACGTACATCCAGCATGGACATTTTGGCGAAACATTGGCAGCTATTAACACACCGCGTATTACTTTCAGAGCGTATTTTGAAATTGAGGACGATTTATCGAGAGTTGCGACGTACAAGGTGGGAGTTGGAAGCTATTCTGGAGCTGATGACGTCATGAGATTCCAGTTGATTCCATTAAGTAAACCAGAGTCTTCACTGAGAGCCAACTGGACAGCGCCAAACTTGTTGTCCTTGGAAAGCAACCGACGTTATTTTATTACCATTTGGGCCATCAACAACGCTGGGTTGTTTAGCATCAAATCATCGCCCCCTCTACTCTCTGACCTAGAACCCCCAAAAGGGGGAATCGTCCTAGACGGATGGGGCTCAGCTGATGCCCAGTATCAAAGCTACTCCACCCTTTTCCGTGCCCATTGGTATGGCTTTATTGACTTCTCTGGTATTGAAACAGTACTATTAGGTTTATCGAGCAAGGCAGACTCAATAAGCTGCGATGTGAAGAAGGAACAGATTGTTCCATCCAATTCAAACTATCATGTCTTATTTGGGCTGAACTTGACTTCTGGTCAAAGATACCACGCATGCCTCAAAATGACAGACAGGGCCGGGAATCAAGCGTTTTTTCATTCTAACGGAGTGATTGTGGATAGCACTCCTCCCCTTCTAGGCTCTGTGACCGATGGAAGACCTGGAATGGAAATTGACGTACAAATCGAGAGTTCAGTTCTTCGAGCCTCTTGGTTTAACTTTACCGAACAAGAAACAGAAATATTAACTTATCAGCTGGCATTCGGCACGTCTCCTGGAGCCCAGGATGTGCAACAATTTACAGATGTAGGGCTCGTAAATACAGCTGCAAGCTCTAGATTACAAATTTCAGAGTTGACAAGTGGCAGTCGTTATTATGCGACAGTGGTTGCATTTAACCTGCTTGGTATGCCTAGTGCAATGGTTTCCTCCAAAGGTGTTTTGGTGGATTTCACACCTCCCGTTTTCTCAAAGCATGTTCTCGATGGTGACGATCCAAATCAAGACCTAAGTTTTACTTCAGGAAGTTCCTTGGCTGCCACATGGACCTGCAATGATCCAGAAACATCTTTAGCGTCCATAGAGGTTGCCTTTGGTTTACAGCCTGGAGAAGCCGATGTTATGAACTTCACAAGCTTGCCGATTCACAAAACATCGTTTACACTAGCGGGCGATCTTCAACTGGGATATCGTTACTTTGCAACGATAAAATGCACCAACAATGTGGGCCTTAAGGCAGTTGCTGTTTCGAACGGCGTTGTCTTTGATGACACTCCTCCAGATTTAATTTATGTGCAAGATGGGAAATACCAATACTCTACAAGAAACTTGACGGTAGAATTCAAATTTGCTGACTCGGAGAGTGGTGTAAAAGAATATGCAGTGAAGGTATTCAGCTCAGTCGAAGACGCTTACGGATCCTTCAGTTTCAACGGCAGTGTCTCCACAGCGGCTTTGATATTGGCCAAAGATCTTGATGGAGGGAGAAGGTATTTTGTCAATGTGACAGCAGTGAACGGTGTTGGGTTGGAAACTACCGTGAAATCAGATGGATTTACCGTGGATACTTCACCTCCGGTATGCTTGCACGTATGGGATGGTCAGGGAGATCTTCAGCAGGACTTAAAATACGCTCCAAGCTCAAGCAAACTGAGCATTTCGTGGTTGTGCTATGATAATGAATCCCCGATACTTCGCTATCGTTTCTCAGTTAAAAACTTACGCACGAGCGAATACGCTATTCCTTTTTATACTTTAAAGACACCTGTAAACTCCACAGGGTCTGCAATAATAACAGGAGGAGGTCGAATTTCAACAGACTATAAAGAAGGAGAAACCTACGTCGTTGGTATTGAGGTTCTGAACGCTCTCGGCCTGTCCTCAGTAAATTGGACGGATGGTGTTATCATTGATAGCTCCCCTCCTGAAGTGAACGACTTAAAATTAACATATGATCCAAATAATGATTCTGTGAGCGCTTCATGGACTGCGAAGGATGACCAAAGTGGACTCGAGTCTGTCGCATGGGGATTGGGTACTAATCCAGAGAGTAACGACATCAGAAACTTTACAAAAGTGTCAATTTCTATGTCAAGCGTTTTGATTTCAGAGATTCCTTTGCTACTTGGTCGGACGTATTTCTTGAGGCTCCTTGCTGTAAATAACGCCGGCTTATCTAGTACGACAGCATCAAATGGTATCATAATCGACCAAACTGCGCCGGACCCTGGCTTTGTGGTTGCTCAGTATGTTTTCCCAACCAATTATGATCGGAACAAGAATGAAGTACCAGGATCATTGATGGTGGTAACTTGGACAGGCTTTGCAGATCCTGAAAGTGGTATTAGACAGACTAGTTGGGCTGTTGGTGAAGATCTTCTTTCGCTTAAATCAAGTGCCGGCGATTTTTACACCGATGTTATCGCAGACGACTCAGTGGGTGGAGTGGTGATCAATAATCAAACCCTCGTCGGAAATAAGACTTACTTCGTCTGCATTCGAGTTAGAAATGGCGCTGGACTTCAAAGAACTGATTGCTCGTCTGGATTGTTTGTCATACTTGGAAAGTTTTCTGCTGGGGTAGTGAGCGATGGCCCAGTAATTTCAGCGAAGGATATTGACTTCCAACTAGACGACAAAGCAATTTGGGCGCACTGGAGTGGCTTCAAGGATCCAGTATTTGGTATCTTCAGGTATGATTGGTGCATTAGGGATCAACCACCTAACCCTTCTGGATCTGATCTTTGTAAGGGGCCATTCTTGGAGTCACATCATCTGAAAACGTCCACTAACCGCTTCCACAACCTGACACTTGAACACGGCAAGAAATACTATGTCACAGTGAGAGCTGAGAACTACAGAGGAGAGCATGTCAGTGCTTCATCGGATGGTGTTGTTGTCGATCGAACGCCCCCAATAGGAAAGTCACTTCAAATATCCCCCACAACTGGAAAAGGAAGTTTGTACGTGAACGCCCCTTCTGCCCCTGTAGTCACGTGGTCCATAGACGATCCTGAAAGCGGTATAAGCCATTTTCTTGTGAGTGTAGGTAGTTTCCAATTCCAAGACAACTTGCTAGGATTTCAACGTGTAGACAGCCTTAGTCGTTCCATCGACTTGGACCAACTTAATTTTACTCTCCACCAAGGACTAGTCTTTCACGTAACAGTTATTGGAGTCAACATGCTTGGCCTGAAAACCACTCTGACATCACAGCAAGTTGTAGTGGACTGGACGCCACCACAATCTGGTCTTGTAACTGATGGAAATCTTACCTCCATGGGTAGTCAAGAATTCTTCGATATAGATTATCAGTACGAGAATGGGGTACTGTCTGCCCACTGGAAGGGATTTCAAGATACTGAGAGCGGTGTCGTCGAATACAGCTGGTGTGTTGGAACAACGCAAGGTAAGTTGTTAACTTTTTTATACTCGTAAAACGTTTCTTTTTTTTTCTGAGAGCATCTTATTAACAAAAATAGAAGGTTTTCGGTGTTGATTCGTTAATGAATATGGAAATTATAGAATCTAAGTTTTTTGTATGGCTCGGCAATTTTATGAAAACCACGTCACACGGTGAAGTCATGACGTTTCTAAGCCATCTTACAGCGCGTGCACCTACACCCTATGTAGTTTTTACCTCGATTCCTTCAATAATTCTGAGATTTTTTTGTTGAGGTAGATGTATTTAAACTCGCAGCATTCTTAGTCAGTTTTTTCTTCTGTTCAGGGAAGATCTAGAAGCTTTGTTCTAATCGATTTTTCCTAACAAATTCATACAATTAACTCGAAAAGTTAGAAATGAGATTGCATTTCATACATGAACCCTTAGGGTAGTTTTTTATTTCTCCCAGGCGCCTGCAACGTACACAACATGACGTCTGCAAATCTCCAAACAAGAGCGCATCATTACGTTGTCCTTAAAGAAGGTCAGCGGCACTTCTTTACTGTAGAAGCTCTAAATGGTGCTGGATTAAAAGAAACAGCTTACTCTGATGGCGTTATGCTGGACAGTACTCCACCAAGCGTTGGGGAAGTTTTACTGGCTAGTGAAACTAAAAAACAAGCAGATTCGCTGCCTCCCTCACCATCAGGTGTCCGTCGGTTTGCAAGATCTGTATGGGACACACCAGCTGATGCAGATCAAATTGACGCTTTTGGTGTTTCGTCCTTACGTACCTCCTCATCTGTCCAGTGGTGCAACGATTCTAATAATTCTTCATGCAACATCAAGCAACAAAGTGATCGTTTGTTATCGTTTTCCTGGGAAGTACCTTTCGATACAGAAAGTGGAATTTCTTCTGTAGAGTGGTGCGCTGGCTCAAGACCGGAATTATGTGATATTGTCCCATGGATAGATGTAGAAAGAAGTAGAACGTGGATAAAGCATTCTCTTTCGCACCCGCTTGCATCAGGAGCTATAGTATTGATTAGACTTAAGGTGACAAACGGTGCTGGCATGATATCGACTGCCATCTCTAAACCGCTGCTTATTGATAATACTGAGCCAACAAAGGGTGTCGTTATAGTAGGAAACACAATGGAAACTGAGTACCTGCGTAAAGAAGAGCCTGTTACGGCAGATTGGAGTGGTTTCTCTGATCAAGAGAGTGGATTGAGTCGCTTTGAGTGGGCTGTTTGTCACGCTGGTTCTACAAAAGACTGCATCACTCCGTTTGTCGATGTTGGACTTAAAAGGAGCATAAGGAATTCCGCTCTTGACATCAAACCTGGAGTTTCCTATGTTGTCGTGGTGCGGGCCCACAACAAGGTGGGGTTGTTTAGTGAGGCTGTGTCTAATCAGTTCATGCTTGACCTCACAGCACCGATTTCCGGCATTGTATACGATGGCTCGGACGAGAGAAATGACGCAGCACTGCAGATATCTGAAAGTGAAATTTCCGCCAATTGGTCGCCGTTTGCAGATTCCAATAGTAGAATAACCGAGTACGAAATGTGTGTGGGAACAGAACCAGAAAAATGCGATGTAAGTGACTTTGTTAGTTTTGGAATGGCTCTTAAAGGTACAATCACTGGTTTAAGTCTGAATCACTCTGGGCGATATTTTGTGACTGTTAGAGCAACGAACGAGGTTGGCTATAGCAGCTTGGCAGCCTCTAATGGTATTCAAGTTGACAGTACTCCTCCTGTTGCGGGAAAAGTCAGAGATGGGAATACACTTGAGGACATCGATTTCCAAGCTGGCGGTGCATTTATTTATGCCAACTGGGACGAGTTTCAGGATGTAGAGTCTGAGGTAACCAGGTACGCATTGTGCGCTGGAACAATAAAGGGAACCTGTGACATCATTCCTGAAACGGATGTTGGTGAACACACTGCTTTTGGTCAGCAGATTCGTCCTTCCTTAGCTACAGGAATGGCTGTGTTTGTGACGGTTAGCGCTTACAACGGTGCAGGGGCAGTTACAAGGGGGTCTTCGGACGGTGTTATAGTAGACAGCACCTCTCCTGATATCTCCAAGGTAACTTAATATTTCTCATGAGATGTTACTGATAAATTCATATTTAGGTCCTCTATGACATCTATTTGTTTTGTATCAATCCTCGAAATTATTCGAGAAGTATGTTCCAAAAAGTTGTCTTTTCATTTTACTTGCTTAAAAGCTCTATTATTTCTAGAAAAACAACAAGTGAAATCCTTTCAGCCACAGCTAATGTTTTTACCTGTTTCTCTTTACATTCACATAGGTACTCGACCTACAATTACGATCGCCTTTTGGTGATAAAGATTACATAACTGCCAAAGACGCTTACTGTGTCAGCTGGGAAACAAAGGATATTGAAAGTAGCGTATTAAAGAGCGAAGTGTCCATCTGTTCAGCCATCGACGAGACCAACTGTTTGCTACAGCAGATGGATGTTGGAAACCGTACTATAATTTGCATTGCTGACTTAGAGCTTCAAGAGGGCGTGAAGTATGTAACAACAGTTCGTTCTACAAACGTTGTTGGTGGATCTAGCAAGTCGTCATCGAATGGCTTCGTGGTTGACTCAACTTCCCCAGTAGTGGGTGAAATCATGCACGTTGAGAATCTACCTTTAGGAGAAGGTTCTGAGGTGTTCACCGACTCGGAGATATCGGTAGAGTGGAGTGGATTCTTTGACAAGGAGAGTAGAGTCGAGAAATATTATCTTTGTGTGGGCACCCAGCCTGGCGAATGTAATATCATGAACTTCACTGACCTAGGTAACGCTTCTAGTTACACTCTGCGAAACCTACAGCTTCTTCAAGGCGAGACGTACTTTGTTTCTATAAGGGCACAGAACAGAGCTGGTCTGGTCAGCGATGTTAAGTCCTCAAGTGGCGTCATCGTTGACAAAACAGGTACTTTGGGCGAGTTCTCGTTTTAAAGCATGGTTAGGATTATGATATTGAAAGAACGTGAAGCAATCTTGATAATTAACTTGTTCTTTGCTACCTTTACTGTAAGTTGATACCTTAACAGGAATAGAGCTGTAGAATATTCTGGGTCGTAGTGGAGGAATTTCACAGTCCGTCAATATCTAAAACAGGCTAAGTTATGAGCAAAGGGAAACTTTATGGGCTTTTTCGGTTTTTGTCCTTTTTGTTGATGGAGTCCTTGTTAGGCAACTTTTTTTTTTCTTAAGCACGTTCTCATTGTCCTCGTCGATTTCAGAAACGATGTGGTTTGTTGTTCCTTGCAGGTCCTCTATCTGAAGGACAAATTATGGATGGAACAAATGAAGGTGTAGAAATTGACATTCAACAAAGCAGAACCCACATAGCAGCTCACTGGAAAGCATTTGAAGACCTTGAGAGTGAAATCATTCGTGTCACGTGGTGCGCCGGCTTGTCACCAGCCTCTTGCGATCTGGTCAATGAAACTGAACTTACCATATCCAGTACGTCCGTGAGCAAGGTTCTCGTTGAACCCGTGACGAATGGTGGGCGGTACTTTGTCACAGTGAAGGCAATGAACGGTGCAGGTGTCCAAACCTCACTGACATCGGATGGAGTGACAGTGGATGAAACGCCACCAACATCCGGAAATGTTATTGATGGAAGTGACGCAGATGTCAAATATGTGAATGGGGAACAAGACATCCGTGCACATTGGTTTAACTTTGAAGACTTAGAATCTGGCATCGAATCCTATGAGATCGCTTTATGTGACGTCAGGAACTTTTCCTCTTGCCCACAACCTTTCATTGGAGTGGGACGAGCTACAAACGTTTCAGTAACAGGTGAGATATATTTAATGTGTTCAAATTACGATATATACGTTTGTATGAGTGGGTTCCAAACAAACGCTCAGTGATGTTACAACTGCCAAGAAGAAGTCTTGCTTTGTACCACAAATCTTCCCCGCCTTTAATGAAATGCCACTCCGATAAAGTTAAGTCTAAGGTTATTTGCAGATAGCGACATATACCGCTCGCTGTTGGTTCACCATACCCACATTGTTCTGTTTAATTTCAGGGCACTTCATGTAAAAGTAAGATTGAATATGTTTTAGAATCTAGATGATAGACTGAGTGAAGAGTAAACAGGTTTTTTTTGACCGGAATGTTTGACTTTGATATATTCTTATCAAATTGTACACCTTAAAACGTCCTACAAGTATAGGGGTAATCTTCACGTTTTTTCCTGTAGGATTGGACCTCGAGAGTGGCGCTCAGTACTTTCTCATCGTTAGAGCCATAAACTTCGCTGGTCTCCATGTTCAAGCTTCCTCCGATGGATTTACGGTTGATTTTACCCCTCCCTTGGCAAGTACAGCAAGATTAGGAACTGGAATTGAGCCCGCCAAATACCAATCAGATTTGACGAAGTTGGTTGTAAGGTGCTGTACACAATTCGCATTTAGCTATTAGGATGAGATGTATGCTCGGTTACGATTAGACAATGACGTGGTGGCTGATATAGTTTTTAAGAAACTAGAGACTTGATTTAAAAAGGACTTAAGTTAATCCTTGTAAAATCAGCACATGTACATGTACATCTGTAAGAGTAGAAGTGTGTCAGTACGTTACAGATTCTTAGATACGATAATCAATATATATATTTAGTAATAAAAATAGAGATTTGTCATCAATCGTGACGTGTTTTCTTTTGAAAGTTGTAGCCACATAATTTACCGTTGTATGGTAAATGCGCTAATTAATGAGCTCGTCTAGAATTTACAGGATCTCAACCCGAAAGTTGCTTAGCTCATACGAGTTATGATTTCATCATCGTACTAAACTACCTTATGTTTTCTCGCAGATGGGATCCATTTATTGACCCTGAAAGCAGAATTTCGGAGTATCAAGTATGCATCACGTCCGTGCCTGGGAACTGTACAATCACTAACTATATTGACGTTGGAATGAATACAAGCTTCACTTTCCATAGCTTACAACTTCTCCATGGTGAAGCCTATTATGCCCTTGTCAAAGGAACAAACGAGATTGGATTATCTTCGGAGAGAACAACGAATCGATTATTGATCGATGCAACACCCCCTGTCTTAAAAGACATCGACAACGGTCCGATCAACACAACTCATGAAACTCCTGACGGAAACAATACCGTTGGCCCGGTGCTTCAATTGCCACCCAACAACACGACTCAAGGAAGCAATCATATACGATTCAGATGCTTGGAAGAACTATTGCAAGCTGACTGGGATGAATTCAAAGATCCAGAGAGCCAACTAGCGCGGTATGAATGGTGTGTCGGGACATCTCGAGGGCTCTGTGATATGGTAAATTTGAGGTCGGTGGATGTAAAGACAAAAGGAGCTGCTCTTGTGAAGAGACTCCCTTCAGGCACGTTGCTGTTTGCTACAGTATACGCCATCAATGGAGCAGGATCGAGGGCTCGTTTGGTGTCTGAACATTGTAAGGTCATATCCATTGCACCTAAGGTTGTGGAAGTTATTGACATTCCTACATTGAACACGAGCAATCTCTCTGATATTGACTGGAAATCTATGGCGGAAAGCCTCTCACTCAGATGGGAGATGATTGGAAGATATGTTAAGGATATTTCCCGTTTGCGTATTCAGGTAGCCATCACACAGCCTTCCTCGAACCTGTCTTTACCGCAGATTAACTCGGATAGGTCCTGGCGTAGCGAACCCCTAATACACGATTTCATGGACGTTTTGACATGGCAACGAAACGTGACTATCCAGGGTGTGGCTCTACAAGCATGGGAACGTTATCGAGGGGTTGTGAGGGTCTGGAACGAGGGAGGTATTTATAGTGAGTCCGCGAGTGATGGACTGAGAATCGAGCCCACTGCTCCTCCAAAGCGTGGATTATTCATTTCAGATAAAGCCGCTGAACAAGAGCCCCTACGTTGGCTTCCAAATCTTAGATTGCCCAAGGTTAACGACAGTGCATTAGACTCGGAGATAAAATATATTTCTTCCCCTGGGGAGGTGGAATTGATTGTGAGAAGCGGCTTAAATGACTCTAGCAATAGAACAGCTTTCATTTTGGATCACAATCTTTTCAGCCCGACCAAGGAATTTAAAATTATTGTCCAAAAAGTTACGTCTGAGGCCAATGAAACTAACACTACTGAGGATTTCAGCGTAATGAAAGTTTTCCCGGGTTTTACCAATCCCGAGGGTCCGTGTTGTACCAGGCGCCCAGTTGATCCACAATCTGTCTTCAGTGATAGGCATTTCAAAACCACCATACCGTCCCAGCATTTTGGTGTTTCTATCGCTAGACTACCAAACGATCATTTTGCTGTTGGTTCTGCAGATAAGGCGTTTGTTTTGCCCCTTCGAAACAGGGCCGCCAGCCACATAACATTGCTAGATGACATTGTTGGCTCTCCGACATCACCCATCATTGTAGTATCACACGGTAATAGGTCCGCATTCTTCGCCAATGGCAAAGCTTATATTTATCAAAGTGAAGTCATTGACACCGGCGACCTTGAATTAACTAAGACCGCAGTTCTGGGAAATTGCAAGACTGTATCAACTTATATTTGTGCAACAAACAACAAATGGGCCGATAATGTGAAACATGCGATAGCCATTAATCAAAATACGATCGCTATGACGGGAATCAACTCATCTACGAACGCCAGTGTTGTGGGCGTATTTCAGGAACGGAATGGAACGTGGTGGTTTGCTCAAGCATTGAGAAGAGGAAAGAGTGACTCTGACTTTGGATTGTCTTTGACTTTGAATGCGCGCATCTTAGCAGTAGCTACAGGAGAAGGCAAGAATTCTTGTATCTCGGTATACTCTGTCGAATCTTTTACATTATACTTGACCATCTGCATGTCTGAGCTCGAAGATAATACAGGTTCTCTGTCACTTTATCTTACGGAGACTGACGCGCTAATAATAGTCTCTAAGGACTCCAAGTCATTAAAAGTTCTTCAGCTCAGCATTTCATCAAAGTCTTACAAAAATGTATGTCACCTTGATTTCACACCAAACGAACGTCTGAGTGGATACCTTGATGTCAGTGCTCGGGATGGAAGTTTTATTGTCGCGTTAGGTATGCAGACATTAGATGGCCGGGATGGTGTGCAACTGGTAGGTTTCCATGGAATCTACACAGATCTTGATCTTGAAAAATGCGTAAACCTAGGACGTGTGGTCGCACGAGAAAGTGGATTTAGAGTAGATGATGGAATTCCACGTACTTCCGTGTCATTCGACGATGATACCGTTTTGTTTGGAGCCCCAAATGTTGTCACGTGGCCAGGACAGGGCGAGGATTCAGGTACTGGAAGGGTCTATGTGGCAACATATTGCCCTACCAATCATGTAAGAGTTCGAGTTTCTCAGATCAAGGAAATTGGTTCTGTACGTTGCGTGCCCTGCGAGGCTGGACAGAAGTCATTTGGCGGATTTGTGGAAATGTGCTCAGATTGCGAAGGAATGTCTTGCTCAAAACCTCAAAGCGATGATCCGTTTAGTTTTAAATCAAGTATATGTGATTCGTTTTCCTGTCCTTCTGGATCGATGGTGAATAACTCGACAAATGGCATGATGTTTTCGTTCCCGAATGACTCATTTCTCGTCCCTGGTCCAGAAAACCTTTACACTATACAATTACTTGAAACAACACGAGCCTATCTTTCAACAAGTTCTCTCTCGGAGTCGTTCGTGATCGATCCGACATCCCCTGAGACTGGAATCGTCTACGATGGACTTGGCAGTGACCCAAATACAAACTGCTCGGACAATTCGACTTTCGGTGAAGACAGTCAGTGCTCTACTCGCAGCTTTGAAGAAACTGATGTGGACTATACCAATAATACGCGAGAGGTACACGCCAGATGGCTTGACTTCCTCGACGAAGAAAGCGACATTGTAGAGTATTTCTGGTGTGTAGGATCTAAGCCTATGACTGACGACATTCGGCAGTGTGAAAGTACGGGATTGAGGCCAAACGGAAGTCATTACGGTCTCAACTTTGGGCAAGGTGACTCTTATTACGTGACAGTTGTAGCCTGCAATGGAGCTCGCAGATGTTCCGCCACTCACAGTGATGGCGTCACAATAGATACCACACGGCCTGTGATGGAATATGTCAGGGATGGAATTATGGGGCCTGATATTGATTTTCAGGTATGAAAGCCTGACGCTAGAGTAAAGAATATTCTTCTGAGTTATTTCATAACCTGTTACATATTTTCTAAGATGAAATATTGTATTTGTCTCTCGCTACATCACCAAACTGCTCAAATTCACCGAATTATTCGGACATTAGTTCCTTTAGAAGTTTGAAAGGCCAGAAAGCCATTTTGATTTTCATTTGCTAAAAGATTTCTTATAACATAAACAAACGTATCACTATCATTGTATTTGTTGTTATTCTGCCATCATCATCATTTGTGTCATTATTTTTATCCTTATTATTAGTGTAGTTATCATCGTAAAACGTCCCACATTTCAACTTATTTCCATCATAGGTCTTTGTTGATATCATCTTTGCCTATTTCTCGGCGAGAGATCCTGACAGTGGTGTGACGTCATATGAAGTTGCGTGGGGAACTGCACCTGGTTCAACAGATATCAAGGAATTCGAGGAAGTTACCAACACAACGATATGGCTAGCTAAGTTCAAAGACAACGCACTTGGCGTAGGAAACAAATACTACGCCACTGTGCGAGCCACAAACGGAGCTGGTCTATTGTCAGAAAAGCTGTCTTCAAACGGGATTGTAGTCGGCAAGTCGGAATACATTTTTGACAACGCGTCCACCGCCGAGTTTTTCTTTGATACGGTGAATGTTAAAGAAGATGGATCGCGCAAGGACGGTGGAGTGGGAAAGACATACGGGACATTGACTGTACCAGAAGGTGCTGTCGAGGAGCAGGTGAAGTTGAGATCGTACAGTTTGGATGAGAAAACAATGGATACGAACCAGACTGAGGAGGGTCCCGTTAGCAATCCTAAGTACACTAGGCCCAAGGTATGATTTTGACTTGTTTAAATTATGACAATTGTTTTTGTTCGTTTCCTTGTTCCGTCTCTCTTTCTGTACAAAAAAATGCTCGCTGCATCCGCAACAAACTCACTCATAGCATTCCTTTTTTAATTGGACAGCAATTCATGCTTGGAAATTACAGTTTTGTCATCAAGGCGTTAGACCCGAAGAATAACACGGTGAAAGAAGGCTTCAAATTTGCTGAGCCAATCACAATTACCATGTTCTACGACGTTGATAACCTGGTGAAAGCCAACAGAAAGCACGTCAATAATGAACTCACCAAGGAAGACATAGATCCTGTGTTGTATCTTTGGGATCCCAAGAATGAAACCTGGTAAGTTTTTGTCCGCAGGTTATTAAAACTTATGTATACCTTACAAGCAATGCTTAAAGGATGTGCTAAGCATCGCTGTTTTATTCAGAGAGAGCAAGTAACTTACAGTGATGGATTTCAATTTCAAATCTTAAGATGCTAGAGATGATTTTTTAGGCCCTATTTTTTAAAACTGGAAAGGTTATCATCACTTTAGCCTCATCATCAAGTTAAATTTTAGCTCCTTGTTTGCTTATTTGCTCTGTATCTCTCGCTTAGGTTTGATGCAGCGCTCACGTGCCCTGAGCCCTGGAGTCACGTGAACAAGTCGATCAAACTGTTGACAGTGAAAGTTTGTCACCTGACTCAGTTCTCGTTCCTTTGGTCATTCTACGCAAAAAATGGTCTGGTTTTACTCGATAAAAACAACTCAAGTAAGTGTAGTTGTGCCATTTTGGCCCTTCCTCCCCCATAAGACTAGAAAAAGTCCATAATCTGTATAGCAATAATTTAGACCTGGTTTACCAATGGAAGCTTTATCCATAGAATTAGTCATGAGGGTAGAATTAGCTAGAGGTTGTGATCTAGATCTTGATAAATCAACAAATTATCTTTCTTACACATCGAAAAAGAAAAGTTGTAGCAACTATATAGCACAAATCCGAGTCACATATTGAAATTTGTAGACTGTTAATTTTCTATTACCCGCGTCATCTACACAATATTATTTTGGCCCAGCGAATTTATTACTCGGCTTGCACTTCTTTGACGTGGGTGATGCTTGCTTCGGGGCACATTAATTTCTCAACATTTTTAACTCGACTTCTGACCAAAATAACAATATATCACGGTCCTTCGTTTTTACAAAAGTATGCGGTCATCTTCAAAGCTGAATAGCATATTTATATATGCGTCTTATGTTTTCATTTCCTGTGTCTCTGTAGTGTACAACGACAATGGAGCCGTAGTAGTTACCCGCTCCAGACAAGTCACCAAACTGGAATTTCCAGTACGTAGAGCGAAAGGTTCCCTGGGTGACGTAACTGTGCAATGGTCTCTGTACCAAAATGATTCGTCTGACAGTATGGAGATCGTGTGGCCGAAATCTGGACAGGTGTCGTTAGCTGATGGTCAGTGGAACGACTCGTTTATCATCAACGTCGCCAGTGACAAGAAAGAAGTACACGAGAGTGTGGTTTGGATCCAGTTAGATAAAAGCACAGGCGGCGCTGTCCTCGCATCACGTGATCAAACTACAGCCAAGATCTTAATCACTGGAAATGAAGGAAAGAGTGAGGCCTGGAGATGGATTGTGACTGGCGTCTGCTGTGGCGTGTTCCTTATTGTTGTCGTTGTTCTTGTGTATTGGCTACGTAAAAAGAAACAAGAGTCACAAAGGTATTGATCTTAGGACATTTTTAAGCAAATAATTATCAAAAATTAATATTCTACTTTAACTTCTGCTGCAAAGAACCCGCTGATGAAATGTCAAATATGCCTTATATGAAAGACACCCTGTGAGAAGTCCAGTGCTCTGGTGGTTCTTTTGCAGGTGATTAATAGCAAAGGTCTAAACCTTAACTGGGTTCCCAGGGCGCGCTTTAGGGCAATACAGTTATCTTTTGCATCGCCTCGCTCCACACTGAAGTATTCATGGTAAGTTGATGTAAGTAAGCTGTTAGGGAAACATTTACCGGATAGAGATTTATCCAGTGTATAGTTTATGGAGTGTCCACGATTCCCTTCAGACAACTCGGTCAGAAGGGCAGAGAAAATGTCCCAGCCTCGATATAGAATTGGACAAAGGCTCCAGATGCAACGGTCCCAAGCCCTAAAGACATAGTAACATGATGTTATTGTACTTTTTTAGGATTGTGGATAGGAGAACCGAGATTGAGCTTCCCTTCTGCAGTTCGATGCGCAGAAAACGAGGCTTGACTGAAAGAATGTATGGTAGCAACTTTGATACACTACAACCCGATGAGAAAGCTGTTCCACAAATGTATGCTGGTGATATAGGGACACTGAGTCTTGTTCCAAAAAATACACAAATGTAAGTCCAAAATGCCTGGTTCTACCGTATCATGCGTGATAGGTCGGACAGTTGTTTGGTTAAGAGCTGATACATATTGCAATAGCGTTCCGACAGAATCCTATGTCATCGCGACGCTAATGAATGACTTGAACAAAAGAAAGCATATGATGAAGAGCATACTGAAGCTGGTGTAAAAAAAAATTAGACCTTACGACGAAACTTTCACGGAGTAAAATATTATTTATTTACTTATTTTTCAATACAGGGCCCTTTCTTCATTGCCGGACACTCCTGAAATACATCGCGTGTGGAACCTCGAGCAGGCTGGTGATGAGGAAACGGGAAGCCTTAGTAGTGGTGCAGACTCATTTTTGGATGAAGGAAGCGACAACGCAATGCGACCAATCACTGCAAAAAAGAAAAGCTTTAAACACAGATTGACAAGTACAGTAGTTACCTGTTTATTTCCGCTCTCCTTTTCGTCTCCTCGCTCTAGGCAATATTTCCTAAATTACAACAGTTGGGGTAAAGCGAGCCAATATGAGTAAATCAGTTGATTTTACTCTTTTGGAAGTATTTGGGAATGAATCTAGCTTTTCTCTTATATGTCGAAATGTTAAAGGATGAGGATAATTAAGGAGGGACGAGAGCTAATGAGATTTTCTCAACTGTTCTGAAAAATACCCAATTACTTATGAGTGATGCATCGCCTAATGTTGTATTTCAGACCGGCTCAGGATCACCACGAAAGACAAACACCATCTTAGCCCTGCAGCAGCCCTCACTCCGGCAAGCAGCGACGATGAAATGGAAACGTCTTTCACATCTTACAAAAGGACAGGAATGTGTCTAACTAACCCACTGTATGACTTAGGGCTGAACTCTTCTGCGGATGTCTCCGGGGCGGAATCGCCACTCCCTGAAGAGGGCACCCCAAAGTCCGAAAAACAGAAACAAGTACATGTGAAGTAAGAGACTGTTATCTACCGGGAATATTTGCGGTTTTTGTTGACTATTTATGTCGTTAGTCAAGAGAAGAACTGATCCTCACAGAGAAAGTAAACTACAGAAGGTGGAAATTGAAGTATCTCTTCAACAAAATCCCCCTTCCGCCTCCGCCCCCCACCCAAAAAAAAAAACAACAATAACAAGAAACAAACATACAAAACAAAAAGACAAAACAAAAAGACACACAAAAAAAGACTCAGGATTTACTTACATGTCGGAAAGAAAATAATTCATAAATGTCAAATATGAGTCCCTGCTGACACGATTCAAATTTTACTATAGGACGATCAGGGGACATCGAGTGAACAGCCAGGAGGATGGGTTTGATTCGACTGAAAACACCAACAGTCAAGAAAACTCGATCGGACATGCCCACAATACTACCGAGGACTCAACAGTAACAGCCATTGAAGAAGGCAAAAATTAAGGGAGCAAAGTCTGTGCGGACAAACAGACAGTTACATTTTTAAAACCAAAACATTAAAGAATTGAAGCATATTTTGAGCTGATTTTTTTTTTTGAATTATTGCCTTACTTATTTCACAACCATTCAAATGTTAATAATTTTTTTTTAAGGAGGACCCAAAGTATGACGGAGTTTAATTGATTATCAAATATAGTTGTGTTTCGCTGCTTCCTCGTAATTCTGAGGTAATGTGAGTTGTCCTGTTCTGCTTCTGTTTGAATTTCATAGATTTTTTTTAAGATTTGTAGACTTGGTAAATAGAATAACACTTGAAATAATAATACTTCTTCCTGGGCTGTTAGAGAAACTAAATAAAGCTGCTTTTGAGATAATCTCAATTTTTGTGAATTTAAAGCGCTATGGAGAACGTTAAATGATTCAACCGAAAATAAGGAGAAATGCAATCTTCCTAAGTTGCGAGGCAAACGTAACGATCGACCTATTTAAGCCGCATCAGCTGAATGTATCACGTCCATCTATTGTTTCAGCGCCGAAAATGTCATAGTTTGAGGATGATCTTTAAACTTAGTTATTATTGATTACAGGCGAAAGTTGATAACTGACATCAACTTTTTCGAAAGTTCAGTTCTCTGAGTGTTACTCTTTTGATCTCTGAACGTTGCCAGTTTATCAATACTACTTCGCCTCCGTTTTACCTCGGGCGGGGGGAGGGTACGGTTACACTTAGGCTACAGCAGCCATTCATGAGATGGGAAACCGCATGATATGATATGACTTGAGGTTTTAGAGGCGCGTCATGATTTGTAATCTTTTGATCCACCTTATTAACGGTAAGAGAACTACCTATGGTGAACTTTTGGTTTCTGAGCTGTCTCTGGTAAATTGGTAAGATAACGGGACAGTTGATTCCCCCACCCCCCTCCTCCTCAAAGGATTGCTTCGCTTTTCTCGATAGAATAAACGAGAGCCTGGAAAAGACTTACGCGGAGAGAACTGGGTTATAGAATGTTACCAGGACAACGCGGCCGTTTGTTTTCAACTTTTGTTCGCTTGATTGTTCGCCATTGTAAACTAACAAAACAGCAGAGCGATTTTAGGATTAAGAGTTATTAAGTGAGATTTTACTCTTTTGACTTTCGATTTTGCCAAGATGTCGATGGCAACGAATTACAGATACGAAGTGGATCGTCCCGGAGCGAAAAATCTTAGGAAAGCTCTGAAAAGACAGGAAGAAAGAATCAAGGTTTGTGAGTTATCTCAACATCGATGAAACCCATCAACGAAATTGAATACACCGTATCTCGGCATGATTATGTGGAAGCTGCATATATTGTTTCCCTTCTAAATGCAAAGAAAAGACATTCCTTCTATTATCCGGTGCCAATGATTATTGTTTAATATTTCGTGACAAGTAGGTCTGAAGGGAACGACAATAGTAACCCCTAAATTCCTATACATCGTCATTTTTGTGAAAGGTCTGCCTGTACGTACGTATCTCACACTCGACGATATTACTGTACGTTTAAAATATCTTAATTCTTGGTAAAGTTTGTTCGGTAGGTTCTTTCTTCTTTCATAAATAAGCGACAACCTGAGAGATTTTGTACAGTCGGGATACATGTACGTGAAAACTTTTCGAGCATTATTATCATTTTTTTAAATTCCTAAACCAGCGCTGAACACGTCTTATTTGAACTGCTGTAATTTTCATTACTTGCAATGAAGTTACTCCTGAAGGGAATAATTATGAAGGAAAATATGTGCGTTGAGGGCCTCCACTGATTCCCTTCACAAGCAGCACTGCATACATGTAGTGTCAACATTTGTAGATTTTACCTTTAATAGATGGAGCTCACAATAACTGGAAAGGACTGTACGAAGCTGTCTTTATCTTACGGAGTGACTTAAATCAATACGTACGATTCATATTTTAAATAAAAAGTCAGAATTTTTTCTTTTATAGAATGATGAGTGCAACTCAGAACAGGAAGCAAAAGTGAAAAGGTAACCAATTTAGGTAACTTTAACTTTTGACCAATTAGAGGTGTTTGTTTCCTGGTTTATATCTAGAAATATGAAAAAAATTAGAACATTGTATTGTCCTAGTTGATACTGTAGGAATGTTAATATACATTGTTAGGAGCCCATTTAACTCTTGACAAGGTACAGTAGTCTTCATAGTTGTCAAAAAGAATTTTGAGGAAATGCACCAAGCAGATTTATTTCTGTCAGTGTCATGGTTCCATGCTGAAAACTGAATCACATGCCAGCACATTTTTTCATAGTAGAGCTGTGAAGTGTGGCAGTTGCCAGCTTACATGTATTTCAAAAATCCTGGTGCAAGTTTGTACATGTAGTCATGTACGTGCATGCCATATTTGCAGACTATTCAATTGCATAACCACAGTTTGAGGAGAGGAACTTTGAGGTGTTTGGTTTTGCAGTTTTGGTAATTTTTTTACATTGACCTTTTTTTTTTTTGTTTTGTTTTTTGTTTTTTGTGATGAGAAAAATCAGTTTTTTGGTTCTGTATTAGTTTGCAATTTCCTTACAGGACAATCCATTTTCAAAAGTAAAACCCATGTTCTTTCAAGATTTGATATGGCATATTAGGTTTTTTGTTCCCAGTTTGTTGCAAAACTGAAGACAGAAACTCATGCAGTGAAATAGGACATCCACTTTTTTATCCTTGGTGCAAGATCACTGTTTGCAAGAGCAGTGAGGGTTCATTAATTGGCTGCTGTCTTTTGTGACCAGTAAACATCTGAACTTACTAGTTTCCACTGACAATACAAATATAAAATTCTGTGCCTGTTATTGACTACAATGTTTTTATTAATGTTGTGAACTGTGCCATTTAATTTCATCTTTGCCTTTGCATTTTATGGGACTGTACAAATTTTACAGTCAATCCAAGTCTGCTTGTATTTAATTGTTTTGAGTACTTATTGTAGTCAAATCTTCAAACCAAATCTTATCTAACTTTTCAAAAGTTCAAGGTAAAAAGATGGCTTCTTGGTGGATGTTTTTAGAGCTACATGTATTAGATATCATTTTAAAGAATTTTTACAAACTTTCCTCATTCAAAAAGCTGTGGTTTGGCATATAATTTTTGGTTTTGATCAAGGACTGCTGTAGGATTTTTGTTGTGGTTGATACTTAGTACTGTTTTGTGGTTTCTTTTGGACCCCAATGCCCTCCTCTATGAGAACTTTATGGTGATATACAATGAATTTAACATTTGGTTGTTTTAAATTTCTGTACTTTTTCACCCACATGTGTATTTGTAGCACTGTCAGGGTCATCATATGAATCTCGTTTTCTCTTTTGGAATATGTGGGCATCTCACCTGCAGAATGATTCTCCCAGTCTTGTTTAAGACTAGTTAGATCTACCTGTGAAAAGTGATATTGGAAAATTTTTGTCTACAAAATGTGGGGAATTTTAATCCTATGAAGAATTTAGTGAGCCTCACTACATTTTCTATGGAGGTACAGTAAAGTACACTGTACATGTTGAATGAATACACGTTACCCATTAATCTTGATATTGGATACTACGTGTCCATTCATCTAGCTCTTTGTATGTGGAGATGGAAGAGGTCAATATAAAAATTGAAAGCAGAGGTGGGGATCCTGGCTGTTAAGGCATCTTAGATTATTTACTTTGCAATGCTGTTATCTTCTTGCAGTGAAATTAGAATCAACCAGATTGCAGACTGGATGGAAAAACAGGAAGAGGTAAAATTTTTCTTCAATATTGTAAAAGACAACCACATACAGTTGAACAGTGCATTTACCATTCCCTTGATAAATACATTGTACTGTGTTCAACTTCTGTGATTTCTGTAGCAAGGCAAAAGTGTACTTTTTTTGTCACAACAGATGCATGTGCTGTTAACTGGAAATGATATTATATTGATTTAAAGTTTATTACAAATGAGTTGAATCAAAGACACATTCTGTTGTGCCATGGGGCACATTTAATGTATGGGCTGAAATATTCTACTGTTGGTGAAAAGGATTTGAGAGCTGTTCCTCTGCAATGAAATGTGCTTCAA